TGAATATGTATGCCAATAATAACATATAACATGAAGCAATATATGGTTAGGCCGCGGTTAATTAATTGTCAGTTTCTCATGACCTGAGTTTGTGAAATATACATGCTAAATAGTGTATTTTAATGCGTCAATTCATTGTTCATATTTAAAGGCAAACAAATATAGTTTTAAAGGAAAAATTTTGGAGCTCACTAAATTTGACCAAATAATTATGGAAGTGCGTAATTATTACGGATGAAAACAGACATGCGGGTGGGTCATGAGAAACAAACAATTAATTAACCGCGGCCTTAGTGTAATTCATTATTTATACATTTGGATCATGGCGTGACTCTTAATTTTTTTAATAACCAGAAGTCCGATTACCAAGATAAATCTAGAAATATCAGATAAATTTATACAAGAAATGGTCCCGTGATGCATAGGCGTACGAGCTCGATGAATGTTTGAAAATTTAACTGCTGCAAATGCGTTTTCCTGCTTTTCCAGCCCGTGAATACAGCAACTTCAATGTGGTCCAATATAGCCTACCTATATGACTTGCCTGAATCCCAAATCCCAAACAGCCCATGAATTAAGCAACTTCAAGTTTCCAGTCGGTTTGCAACCGAAACCCCACTCTATGCCGTCCTGAATTCCAACCACCCAATCAGACTGTTGCAGCTGCATTCACAAATGATAATTGATACCCGAAAACTGTTGCACAAAGTAGAAAATGTCAATTCAGTACAAATTCGTGGTACGGTATTCAATTAAAAGAAAGGTAAAATTATTTTGCCAACTAGATGAAATAAATTATGTTTTCAGTTTACCTGTCTGCCCGAAAAGTAAGGCTGTGCAAAAATATCGATATAATCGATAATCGGTAGAAGTTATTTAGCGATACGATAATCGATATTGAAATTCAAATATCGATTATCGGTATATTTACCTTCTGACGGCAAGTTACGGTCACTTTCACATGACTGAACTTGCCGTAGTCTGGCCTGCAGACGAATGAACGAATACACAACGTCAACACAACAACTTTTTTCCCCCTCTGCTTACAAACTGGCACATTTTAAATATATATTATTGTAAAAAAACTAAACTTTAAGATTAAATACATTATTTTAATATTTTCGTTGTTTTTGTTGTTATTACTAGTTGAAACTAAAATAGGTCACGCACTTTGTGAACAATGACGATCGCACGTGATATGGACACAGATCACCAAATATTTTCAGGCCTCTTTTTATGTTGTCAAGTCTGTCATGACTACTTTTTTGACTTCATTTTTTCAGGAAATTAATGTAAAGTTCCAGACATCTTGCTTCAGCACAAGGATTGCAATACAAATTTGTAACATGCCTCTGAGGTTTGAGATGTTGGAAACATTGAAATATTCCCAAATTTGTGAAAATTGTGTATTCTGTGACCCTTCTGTTAGAGAGGGGTGATCGTAGACCAAATATGGCATTTTTTTCATTCATCAAGGCCTATTTTTAACCATAATTCATATTTATTGCAGACGAATGAACGAATACACAACGTCAACACAACAACTTTTTCCCCCTCTGCTTACAAACTGGCACATTTTAAATATATATTATTGTAAAAAAACTAAACTTTAAGATTAAATACATTATTTTAATATTTTCGTTGTTTTTGTTGTTATTACTAGTTGAAACTAAAATAGGTCACGCACTTTGTGAACAATGACGATCGCACGTGATATGGACACAGATCACCAAATATTTTCAGGCCTCTTTTTATGTTGTCAAGTCTGTCATGACTACTTTTTTGACTTCATTTTTTCAGGAAATTAATGTAAAGTTCCAGACATCTTGCTTCAGCACAAGGATTGCAATACAAATTTGTAACATGCCTCTGAGGTTTGAGATGTTGGAAACATTGAAATATTCCCAAATTTGTGAAAATTGTGTATTCTGTGACCCTTCTGTTAGAGAGGGGTGATCATAGACCAAATATGGCATTTTTTTCATTCATCAAGGCCTATTTTTAACCATAATTCATATTTATTGCACCTATTTTAGTTTATATGTGCATATGTTAGCCAGGGATGGTAAAACATAGCTGTTAGACAGACTCCTTTGGTAATGTAAGTTCTGCAACCATAGATTAGATTAATTCAATCAGTGGCATGTTCAGGGGGTAGGCATACATGTTTCAGTATAGATCTCTAATATTACAATCATTGCAACTGGTTTGCATTTTTTCTGTTTGCATATTGTCCACAGATTCTAAAAATATATTTCTTGTCCGTCCGGATATTTAAAAAAGTGGAAAATTATTGGTATTTTGAGAGATGCTACATGTAAATTTTGTACATTTTTCATCACATGGCAGTAAAAAATTATATTTTTGAAAAAAATTCCAAATTATGAGTGTTTTGTATGTAGTTTCTTTGTTACTTGTCTAATTTTTTCACAGAACTCAGATACTGCCTTTAATAAGAAAGATTTTTAAATTTTAGCACAAAAGGCCTATGGACCTGAGATGCACAAGTGTACATAAAGCAGCATGTGTACTTAAAGGGCCATCATTTTTACAGTTATTCTTTGATTTTGATTACGAAACAAGGGCCAAAGCTATTTTTAGTCTTCCTCTCCCTTTTCCTTTTTCCCCCTTTTGCATGGCGATTTTTGTTGACTTTTTGGTGTAGAATTGAGGAAAAGGGTTTGAAAATACATTTTCTGCCAGGTTTTGGTGAATATTCATAATTTTGATGCGGAAGGATACAAGAGTTGAGAGGTTGGTTACGTTGAAATGTAGGGCCTGAAATTGCATGTTTACTTGTCTCTACTTCCAGCTTGTGTATCTCAAGTTTTTCATGAAGAACCTCATACGTGCTTTTGGGCAAGTGGTTGCCACATGTTGCTCCATCTGTGGTAGAAAGCGTTCTACCCAACGAAAATTTGGGAAAAAGTTAGAGCCGGTCTAAGATACGAGAATTAACATTGGAGTCAATGGGGAAATCTTTAGTGAACTGTGTCCATATAGTAGAATTATCTCCCTTCTTTGCTCTTGATTGATTTGTAGAGAAATTGTCTGCTTTCACGATAAAACTAATTGTATTATTAATGATCAACTCAGCTTTTATTACTAAATCATGTCAGATACAGCCCATACAAAACACGTTTTTGACTTCCCGGGAAAATATCTATATCTCTCGTAATTTCTTGGAAGAATTCTACTTTGGTTTTCGTCAAAATTAACCAATCATAAAAATTCTACTTTGAAAGCCGGTAATTATTTTTTTATTGTCCAATCAATAGACGCCTTCTATTATATTTTATTCTATTATTAGTAACACTGTGTGATCGCCAGTAACTTGCAAAGGGAAACCATGTATTGTCTTTGTATTTATCGGAGATATTGGAATAAAAAAAAGGTTCAAATGAATCAAGAACAAAACGTAGAATAATACTCAAGTTAATCCTACATTTAGCAACTAATTATTTTACATTAATTGATTTTTTACGTACATCGGCACAGTATTAGACTAGGATAATAACACTACTGTAACTCGATCAACACAAATAACAGGCCGGTAAAGTTCGGTTTTTCCGGAAGAATGATAATCGATTATTATCGATAATCGCTGACAAATTCTTGCCGATAATCGATATTGAAATTTCATATCGATTCCCAGCCTTACCGAAAAGTCAGATTGCCAGAAATTTAGGGAGGGGGGGGGGGCTGCCCTCCCCCAGCCCCGTACGACTATGGACACACAACAATTATTATTCCGCGAATGGTAAGCACGTGTGCGCTGTATCATTAGGCCTGTCATTGAGTCGACTGGCGTGGTTTCGAATCCCCGGTTGTACGTGACAAGGAGTAGGGTTTCCTGTCCAATCTTGTGGGTTTTCTCTGGGTCCTCCAGTTTCCTCCCACTGCTAAAGAACCCTACGCGCAAGCGAATTATTAAAATAAAATTAAACCATGTGTTAGTCCCGAAATGACCTAGTTTGTGTGAGTGGATGTTAAACCCCATTTCTCTCTCTCTTTAGCGGTCACAATTTTTATCCGATTTAAAAAAAAGTTATCGAGTTTGAATTTTGGGAAATTGCCCGACAAAATGGCCGCTTCTTGTACACAAATTGTGTAAAAGTATGTAAAACGAAGATTGTAGACCCTCTATACGTCACAATTCTTGTTCAATTTTGATGAAACTTAAAGTAGCTAAGTCTCTAACTCAATATCATCCAAAATCTTCAACATTGAAAACACGATTTATTTGTCAAATTAAATCAACATTCATGTTGTGATCTTACCGGAAAAAGATGGGCTTTTGATATCCAATATTTAAGACAAAATAAACATTTTACCAGTGGTACACGAATCGTGTACCAGAATGCGCTTCAGCCCCAGTTGTATCGAGAGACTCGAGGGACGAAGCTAGACACATTTCACCAAATCAAACGGCGTATGTAGACTGGAATAACCAGACGCTAGAAATTTGCACTCCAGGAGACTGCTGGCTTATTTCGCCGAACATAACTGATTTTGAAATTGGAGTAAAAACGGAAACCATTGAATGTAAATCAGTTTATATACATTCATATTACAGTATTATATGCGTTGCGACCCACTTTTGTCAATTTCTAGGTCCCAAATGTTAGCGATTTAGCTCCTTTAATATATCTTTATCCCAGAGATCTTAGTCCCTTTCAATATTTGCCTATTTCAGACAATAACTTCCTGGGTTATGCCTATGGCCCCTGATTGTACGAAAAAACGCATTTTATTTTTTAACTTGCAAAATGTGGGGGTTTCTTGCCTGGCAACTGCTGGTTATTTTTGTACTGAACTTGCATGTTTTACTTTCCACAAAAGACAATACAATCAAATAGAATGTTACAGGGTCCATCAGTAAATGCTTGTTCAGATCATTTAAAAGCCCAAACACCTGTAAACTTTATTCTATTAGAGTTTGCCATTAAAACGCAACACAAGTTCTTTGCCTTTTCAGTCAATAATAAAAAAAAATCATGAATGGTAACAACCCAATTTAATCAAGCTCATGCATAATATAATGACAGCAGTCATCTTTAAATCAATAATATTTGATGTAAGTAAAATACATACATGTATATATCTAATGACTAAATAGTTTTTAAACAATAATCTAATAAAAAGTACATATTTTTCTAAAGAATATGATTACATGATTTTAATAGATAATTTTTACATAACCATATGGTGAATCTGTGACTTAGAATGCAAATAAAAATGAAAGCTTTATTCCATGATCAATATTGCTGCACTGTAGCCTAAGCCTACATACATAGATAATTAAATATGCACAAGGTAAATCTGACTAATGCAGATCTTTCATTGGCCTTAAATGTTACATAAATTATTAATTAGACATTTATTCACATGCCAGGTTTATAATCAATTTGGATGGTTTGATTTAAATACGATTGGCAGTTAATGATTTTTAAATTTCTAAATGGATATCAAGACTTTGTTTATGATCATAACAATGACAATCGAGATTACACTGTTCTACAAACGCTGATAACTTCGCTCAGAATGAAGTAATTTCAACATATTCCCTTTTCATTATCTATTTTTTTAACTATTATAGTAAAAACTGTCATCTCTTTATCTAATTCTTTTATAATGCATCTTTAATTAAAACAAAATAAATCTCAACATTATGATGAAATATGTCTGAAAAACAAAATTTATAACTACTAATAATTTGACCTCTGCCAATGAACACTATACAGTTGAAACTTTGAAACTGCATTAAGAATTGGAAGGTTTGCAGTTCTTAATAGCAATGGTACATTCATGTACATAATATTATAGCTTAATGGATCATGATTATTTGAAAAAAATTTAAAATGCGGACAAAAGTGTTTATAACAGAAATCTAAAAAAAAAAAGAAGAAAAATAAGAAACAAAAATAAAACAGTATATGAATAATGCATAGTATTGTACCACACCTTCACATATTTTGAATTCATGTCATAAATAATTATTAATATTTCAACAATACAGCATGCATTTAACAATTACTAATAAAATTGTCTAAGGTATTATTATTAATAAACATTTAACCAGAAGACCTTGTCATAGGTGATTTAGTATTTAATAATTTTAATATCTACAGTAGTTCAGCTATATCCTCTAATGTCCCAATAATTAAGGCAACGATTCCTTGAACCATGAATTCTTAAACAAATTGTCTACATTATATTTAATAACATGTGGTCTGTACTGAAGCTAACGTAAAGTTATGTACACATAATAGAATTGTGGAGAAAAATGTTTGAGTGACTTGCACTAAGTCTTACATGTGCTTTGTGAAATGGGAATCATGTAATCAATTTCTGGAAAACTTTAAATTAGCTTACCAATATTTGTGAAAACTTGTGAAAATTTTGTGAAATTCAGAAACTTGAAAATTTAGTCTTCCTCGCTGTAGACTTGTGATTTGGTTTCAACATTTTAAACTTTACTTGCAATTACAAACAGACAGAATTACATGTTTCTCAATATACGAATATTTTACATTAAAAAGAGAACCTGCTCCATTAACTTAAGTTTCAATTCAACCACTGCATTCAAGAAAACCATATCTCTTGGCCATAGGGCTACTGTTCTGTAAAATTCCATAATTCTTGTTTCCTCCTGAGATATAGTTGAAAGTTGGACTAGTTACTATAGTTATGTTTTTATTTCTTATTTTGTTCATCATAGGCCTTTTTCAGTCTTTTCTTCAGTTCTCCAGGAAACTTGTCATAGCATAGCTTACATACTGGCTTAAGATCAAACTCAAAAAATTTTGTTCTGAAAAAAAAATGAATAAAAAAAAATATAGCAAGACTGCAGTAAGGTAATTGAATATATGAGGATGGCATTAATGTCTGGGTTTAGACAATAAACTTCTATTATAAAGGGAGCAACGGTGACTCGGTGTGCAACGTTTACCAGCTTGCTAACCAGAGCAACCTTTGGTTATTATGATTTCTTTACTATAGTCGAACTAACTGAATCCGAATTTCATTTAATCTGGACCATAATCAGAAAATACTGAACCATGCTATTGTAGCATGGTCAGAGTATTTCCAAGATGGCGGGTATCGATGACACATACATGTAAGTGTAGAATATGTAGAAAGAATCTATTTTTATTAAGCATATGATTTTAGGAAAGCTTGAAAGAATTCTAAATGGTTGCTATTTCTAGGAGCAGATATTTTTTGTCTCATATGTTACGCCGGAATCTACGTTGGTCTAAAAATTATGCATTATTTCAATATTTGTGTTAAGAAAAAGTAAAGTCAAATTACAAGGAATTTTGTCCTAATTTGAGTCGTGCAGTTTAATTTCATGGAAGTAGTATTTGTTTATTAAACTGTATAACATCATATAGCATATGGTCAAGTTCTAAAGTATAGTAAAATGACATCACCATGTCCATGGGAGCAGCCATCTTTGAACAGATGATGGTCCGGACCATCCGCCTTTCGGTTTCTAGTTCTGACCACTAGTCGTCAAAAAATTATAACCGAAGGTTGCCCAGATTCAATGTTGGTATTTGCTGAGAAAGTTCCCTGGGATTTTCCAGCTTGCTTTCCCCTTGTGGTGCAAGATGACATACCGGGGAGAAACAGTGTCTAGTTGTTTAAGTAGTGCATCAATAAATCAGATTGCTGTTTATAATTATCTCAAGTCAACTATACAAATAATCTAGCCATCAGACTGCTGTAGGTTATAAAATATGCCCAATACCAAGTCAAATTTAGTTGATATATTATGTTCATTAGATGTAATTTTATGCAAGCCACTGTAAAAATGAGATCCATTCACAAAGCTGAAGTAACCTTAATGCATTTTAAAGATGGATGAATGAACTGACTAGTTTAATAGCCAATTAGAATAAGGTTATAATAACAATAAATTTTTACTTACTTTTGACTCATTTTCCTATCACAAATAGAACAGGCGAAATGATTTACACACCAAGCCTTGTTGAAGGCACTAAAAACTGTAAAATAAAATTACATTTCATGACACAATACTCCTTCAAACAATACCTAACAAAAGCTGTAATGTTTATAATATATCTATACTAATATTTGTGACTGTCGTTTGTCTGTCTGTCTGTAGGTCTGCCCCGAGTATGAAATTTGGGGTATAGGGGTAGCTCGGACCGGGGAGTAACATAGGCCAGGTGGCGTTAGTCTACCGCTTCAGGTTTCGGGGTTATGACCCCCGGGCTGTTCGGGGTTGGCGGCTACACTAGGTCTGCCCCGAGTCTGAAATTTGGGCTATAGGGGTAGCTCGACCAGGGAGTAACATAGGCCAGGTGGCGTTAGTCTACCACTTCCGGTTTCAGGGTTTTAACCCCCGAGCGAAGCCAGGCATTCTGCTAGTTATAGATAAAAGCTTTGTCATCCAGACATAACTAGCAGTTTACAGTTTCTATAAAGTAGGTATAAATATTCATGAGCTCTATCAATGTTATCTTGAAGGATCAATATAATATTTTTTGAAAAAACAACTAATTTCAAATTAAATAGAGGATATTTGTCGTTTTGTCGTGAATAACATATTTTATTTCATCGAGAAGTAAGAAAACTTATATTTTCACGAATGCGTAGCATGAGTGAAAATATAAACGTTTTCTTGCTTAGAGATGAAATAAAATATGTTATTCACGACAAAACGACAAATGTTCTATTTATTTTATGATTTTACAATCATTTTAGGTAAAAACAACATGGACTTCTGCTAGCCAGTGGAATAACACTTTTATTTCACTGATAAAACACGGTATTCCACTACTGATCATAAAATAAAAATCTATCTTACCATCTCCATTAATAATGTTATTACATACAAAACAGATGTTCCCAAATAACTGAAAAAAAAAAAATCAATTTTTACTGATAATTTATATACCTAGTACCACTGGCACTGATCCTACCAGATACAGATGGTACGAATCACCCATTTCACAATTATTGAATTTAAAGAGACATATTTAATTCAACAAAACAATGATTGTAGTTCAGTATAAACTAAAACAGTTGACATAAAATTATTGTTGAACAAAGGGCTTTTGAACCTGGTCATTTAAATACAGTGTTACCCATGCACTGAAATAACATGTATTCAATATTATGTAATGATGTTAATCATAAAGTTTCACAACCAAAGGTAAACAAATTTTATGTTATTTCCGAGTTTTGAACAAAAATATATGAAGATCTGAGACTGACATACAGTATGTTTTTCTTTCAATAATACTGTGGTTTTAGCAGTGGAAAGGACTTCAACTTTGTCACATAACAAATGTGAGATGGGACTCATAACTTGGCATTGATGGCAGACACTGTGATGTACAGCACATGCTTGTATTAAGTTTACTTAAGTTTTGTATTGCGAAAATGACCTTAAACACTGCGAATGAATTTCAAGTCAATCAGATGATAATTTGGTCTCTAGAGCATCTACAAGATTTTTCAAAAGTTATCAAGGGCCATAACTGCAGCAGTAATTATTGAAAATTGCTGAGAATCAGATGAATTTGAAATCAATTACAAGATTTTTCACAGGGATGAAGTTCTGTAAGTCTGCCTCTGGCAGTAATTATCGGGAATCGTTGAAAATCAATAGGATTCCTTATCTCTTGGCCATAAACACTATGTATAAATATCAAGTCCAATCGTATATTAACTTTAGCCTCTAGAGCGCCCACAAGATTTATCAAAGTGATCAAGGGCCATAACTCTGGCAGTAACTATTGGAAATCTCAAAATATCAATAGGTTGCTTCATCTCACGACCATAGACACTGTGCAAAAAATTAAAGTCAACCGGATTATAAATTTTTGCCACAAGATCAAGGGCAATAACTCTGGCAGTAATTATCACAGATGCCTAAAATCAGTAGGATTTTTCTTCTCATGACCATAGACATGGACGGATGGTTGGGGTGATTGCAATACATTTCAATGTGGGCATATAAAAAGAAAGTATAAAATTTACTTGATGATAATGAAGTTCACAATAGGCCAACCCTTTCTTTTCATAATGTCGTGTTCCTAAAAATGGTTTCTCGCATTTGGCACAAACAAAATGCTGAAATTTACAATAAAATATATTATTAGATTCAATTTAATATAATCTTAGTTCAACAGATCAATATAAAAATCCGCATATTTCAATGACAAAATTAAATTCCACCTGTGACAAATTTTTCTATATGCACTGATATATGATGCCATGTAGCTCATGACCATCCATTTGGAGCATCAAGAAAAGATTATGAAGTCATTGATAGACATTACTGATATAATACAGGCTTCACTACAATAGATATAACTTTGACTAACTGACCGTGGTGAGCCTTAACAAGAGACTGGATCACCAGATATACAGGTAGTGACTACAACAATATACCACCATATTTAAATGTTGGTGTAAACGAAATAGAGGAATGCTATGACTTACCTCAACATGCCAAGCTTTGCCTAAAGCATGAACAACACGTTCTTCAATAGGTCTCCTGTAAAATAATTATAATATTAATGTCTAGTAAGCCTTATAACAATCTCTTCATGGTAGAATAAATCATTATAAATACTAAACAGTGAAGGTGCTGATGGTCACAGTTGTCTAGCCTGTGACAAGTTGGGTACACTGGTTAAGTTTGTGAATAATTGATGAAAATAATATATGTACAGTGGACTCTGTCACATCCGACATCGTACGGGATCGTTACAATAATTCGGATCACACAGCGTTTCGGAATACCGAGCTTTCTCCAAAACCGGAAATACTGGAACTTCGAAAACCGGAAGTATTTTTATATTGTAGCTTCGAATCACCAGAATGCTATTCCCATTATAAATGATAAACTTTTCTGTACTTTCAAAATTTTATTATATTAAATAATTAACAATAACAATGCATGCGTACAATATATTCATAAAATCGTTTACATGTAATATCAATGCATGCGTACAATATATTTATAAATATCAATGCATGTACTCGTTTAAGGTAGTTTGCTTAAGATTACCGGAAGCATATCGTAAGGCGGAGTCCTGGGCATTATCTTCTAACAAATGAATTGTTGCGATCATCTTTTCGTCCTTAATCTGTGCGAAGTGTTTAATGTCGTTGAGCATGCGTAGGAATTTTGAATAGGTCAAGTCTGTCGTTAATGTATATTCTTCATCGTCCCCGTCTTCAGTCAATTGTCCACTGTTGTTGTTGTTAGTTAGTTGTATTTTACGTCCGCTTCCACCAAGGTGATTGTCCACTCTGTTACGTGTTCATTTATAATCTGTCGTTCTATGTCCAGTTTTTCAAGCCAATCAAAGTAAACGGCACCTGTCATCCAAGCTTTGCGATTGGCCGACCAATTGACTGGCAGGTTGATCTTGTCCACTCCCTTAAAACATCTCGGGTTAACTGCTTTACCGATCAAAGTAATCAACACAGACCGGCTCTTGCGAGTTTTAATCTCACCGATAATTGATTGGTGATTACTTGTTAATCTTTTCTGGCTTCACACCCATTGTGTTTTAATCTCACCGATAATTGGATGCCTCACACCCACCGTTTGAAGTACGGATTATACGGTGTCGATTCAATGGAAATTATGTTACGGGACGGCTGATTGATTTCGGAATCCGGAACATACAGAATTCGGATTTACCAGCGATTTTTTGGCTGAAGTAATAAGGAAATAAATCGGGACATGAAAATCATACCGGATGTCACAGCAATCCGGAGTGATCAGAGATCGGATGTGACAGAGTCCACTGTATTGGTGTGAATTAAGGTTCAGATCTTTCATACTGCTTGAATTAATATTAAAGACTGATTCTGACAGTTGATGAAATAATACCTACCTACAGGCACCACAGATAGGTATACCCATCTTATCATGACAACGTAAACAAAATAACTCTCCAGTTTTCTCTCTAGCATCTGCTGTCAATTCAGTACTGATAAAAAAAATATTACATTATATATAGTTATATCAGAATATAACCTCAGTACGTTTTTCTATTAAATACATTAAGAAAAGATGAATGTTGGGCACTAGCAAACGAACCATACTAAATTTATTATGTTCTTACCTCCCTTGAAAGATAATTTGTCTGTTTGATAATTATACAGGCATTTGTGCAACATGGCATGTTTACATGATACATTACTTTACCTTGCACTATCGTATTAGTTCTTAATGTAACATGGGGATAAGTACATAAGAAAATGCTATTGTTTTAAAAACTTAAAAATGGCCTATTTAATGATAAATTTGTTAATACGAAATGTCAATGTTTACAGTAGTCGTAAGTTTAAAATACTAACCTGCAATTTGAACAATTAAAGTGATAAGGATGATAAGCTTCACCTTTAAACTTTATATGACCTTCTTCTATAATAGAACTGAAATTAAATATGATAATTGAGACTTATGTTATATCCTGGATTTTAAATAAACTGAACAAGTAATATTGTATATATATGTAAGTTACAATTCCTTGTATATTTAAACAGTGCAGGAATTGTACAGGTTCTATATATTCTGGTGTGTAGCACCAGGGACCTTGGAAGCACAGTTCTAAGTTGCCTCTTCCCCTGTAGTAGGGACTGAACTAACCAACAGTGAGCCTGATATTCCCCCTTATCAATCCCAGCAAATGACACTCATTTTAATGTGTAATTAAAGTTACTTGTTGTACATTTAAAGTATCAAGCAATCAACTTGTTTGTCACTCTGCTTAAGCTCAGCAGAAAATGCTCTGTATTAAACCAGTGTTATCAATTTGCTCATCTCAGCTTAGATGATCATCCACCTCAAGACATTCACTTTATTATCAGCTACACCAAATTTGAGCATTCTACCTCAATTCAAAGCAGATTGCTTATCTCTACTACGCTAAGTATGCTTATCGTGGAACTTAGTACTGATGCTATGCACAAAGTATAAAATATTCATTATTACTTAAAGTAGCTAAGTCTCTAACTCAATATCATCCAAAGTCTTACACGTTGAAAACGCAAATTATTTGTCAATTCAAATCAACATTGATGTTGTGATCTTACCGGAAAAAGGTAGGCTTCTGATATCCAATATTACAGTTACAAAATAAACATTTTAACATCGTGTACCATAGTGCGTTTCAGTGTCATTTGTAACAAGTGACCAGACAGAACAAGGCTAGACATATTCCACATCTCATGTCAAACGGTATGCCATCTTAGCTGGAGAGCAGGGCTCACGCTGTCGGTCGCCAAAGTCGCAATTTGCGATAAAAATATGAAAGTGGCGATTAAAATTTGATATTAGATGTTGTTTTTTTTATCCCAAAATTTTGGCAGATAAAATATTCCAGTCGGTGGAAAAAAAATATGAACATTTTTTTATATAAAAATTATCATCCATTTTGGCAGAAAAAAATTGAAAGCCTGTGTGAGCCCTGCTGGAGAGCATGCGCAATAGACTGGAATAACCAGACACTAAAAATTGCAAATCGATTGAGAATCATGCCATATTTCACTGGACGTAACTGATTTAAAATTAGAGTCAAAACGGAAACAATTGAATGTAAATCAGTTTATATACAATCAGATTACATTATTATATGCGTTGCGACCCATTTGGGTCAATTTCTAGGTTCCAAAATATTAGCGATTTAGCTCCTTTAACATCAACACTAAGAATGCACATTTTAACTTATTCAGAAACAAGAGTAATTTTTGTGTCCCAAAATGTGTGATGGACAGACTGGCAAAGGTTAACCCATTTAAATAATCCCATGCTTTCTTTAAACATACATTATGCAAGAGCAAAATCTGCTTATTACAAGTCTTTCTTTAAGCCTGAAATGTTATCTAAATTATCAATTAGACATTAATTAACTTATCCAGACCATAATAAACTCTCGATGTCAAGGCTAGCCTTCGATGTTGGCTGGATTAGATTCCTATATGCTGCTAACGGCCGTTGATAATTAAATCAACAAAAGTGGATAATCGAGATTAAGCTGTTTATATTAATGATTTTAGTAATGATGACCGAGACTATGCCAAAATTTCACCCGCTTCTTTCTCGGCTCATAGTGGATCAATTTGACTGAAATTTTCAGCAAATTACCATTACACTATCTAGTTTTTAACTATTATAGCGAGAACTGCCATCTTGTTATCTTATCTCCCATAATGTATCTTTAACAGGCGGGGAACATAAAAATTATAAACTTATATAGACTTACTGGCACTTATGGCATACATATTTTCCTGAACCTTTGGCTTTTTCTTTAGCATTACATTCTCTACACAGAGCCCTGTAAAAAAACAAATTCATTCAGATGTTTATTTTGTAACTGTAATATTGCTCAAATAGTATGAGATATCTCACTGTCTAATGAACAGGACCTATTTGTTGTCACTAATATAGCTCAAATAGTCTGACATATCTCACTGTCTAGTGCAGTGATTCTCAACCAGTGTGCCGCGAGATCTTCCTAAGTGTGCCGCGAAATTTTGAACGGCACACTAAGAAAATATGAAAAACCATGTGATACCAATTGACAATTCACTGGTGTCAACTGATAAATTCATTTAGTTTGAGTCATTCTATATTTCTATAACTAGACTCCGTCTACGGATGTATGCCGTTTGATTTACCATGATTATATATTTTGCAAAATTTAAATACTTTTTATATATATTTAGCCAGGTGTGCCGCTATTTCTTCATGTGTATCAATGTGTGCCTTTGGCAGAAGAAGGTTGAGAACCACTGGTCTAATGAATAGGATCTATTTGTTGTCACTTTATTTCCCCCTTTGTTTTATAGATTTCCTTTCATGCAACTTCAAACATACATGATGTAGAAAATTCTGTTATGCATGTTTAGGAATGTAAGCTTAAAAAATCATTGTCAGAATTTCAATTTTTGTGCCAGTATTTTGATAAGCTTTATCATTGTTATGCATTATTTTTCATTAAAATATAAAATTAATTCACCTTCCAGCATTCTTGACAAAACCTGCATCAGACAGTGGTGCTACACACAGTTCACAGCAAAAGCAATCAGGATGCCAGCTATTGTTCATGGCTTTAATAACTCGCCCAATAATAAATTCACCTATAAAATATAAAAGTATCAAAATAGATTAAAAATACTTTTTTAAAACTCTTTTTTCACAAACTTTTTTCACAAACTGTATGTAAAGTTTTGGTCAACAATCTATTTCAGTTTCAAAACTGTGGTTAATCTTGTTGGTTTCAGATTTCATAAAAGAAGATTATTTCTCAAGCATAAATTACTTATCAAATATTGGCAAATATTGGCAAAAGGACTTACCACATCTACCACAGCATGGAGCAAAGTTGACATGGAAATCATGTTCACAGTATTTTCTCCCTTCAAACTGTAAAAAAGAGTTATTCCCCTTTATATCACTATTCAAACTTTGTAAAGTTAGGCCTCCTCCTTTTCAAAACAAAGAGGCAAAATCTTCCTGAAAATATTCATTTCAGCCATACATCATGTTCATTTTCCTCGAGACTAAGCCCAAAAATTGAATGTCCGTGTTCCCCAAATAGATACCAATTATAATATACATACCTCATAGAAAACACCCTCGGGGAATGGCTGAAAGCACTGGGCACAGCTAAAAAAAATGAATAAGAACATGATGATTAACTGTTAAGAACTTTAGAGTTTTAACGATTTGAAAAGAATATCTAAGATTAAAGGTTTAAATGTAAGCTTATTCAATTGCAGCAGAATGATGACATAAAAGGGCCTACAATGTTACGATGTGTTAGCTGGTTACCATTATTAGATATGAATATATAGGTTTAATTGTTAAATAATCATGTAAAATAAAATCTGATAACACTTAGTAAAATTATTAAAATAGAAAATATTAAAATCTTGTCATCATAGAAATTGTTACTTGAGCAGTAAATAAATGTTATGCCACAAAGTAAACAAAAATTTGACAAAGAGTATTGTAAATCACAGTGAGTTAGAAATGGTTGTCATTGAAATAATTTCATTTGTTTGAACCATAATGTGTGCAAATGTGTTTGCAAAGTTCATAGAATTTATATGGTGAGGAGAAAATATATTCTTCAGAATCGGAATAAAGTTGTATCAAAGATCTGTGAACATTATCAAATTGATTCACTAGAAACAGGTTTGTAGGTACAATAATGAATGCCGTGAAATAACTTCAGATTATTCGAAGCATAAAGGTGGGATGGTGATTGATCATTCACAGTAAAAATAATACAACAATATCTAAAGCAATATCAATCATCACAACTGAAGCCATTGACAAATATAACAAATCACAACTGTTCCATCACTTCACAAAAATATCACAACAAATTATGTATAGCGAAACTAAAAACATCAAATTATATTTCAACTTTTAAAAAAAGTTAAAACATTCCCCAAAACTAGGAAAAAGGAACTGAAGTCATCACATACTCACACAAAACATCGAGGATGCCAAACATTGCCATTGTAGTTAACCATTTGCTCATTTGGTTCTATAAAATCGTGGCATTTACTACATGCCGAAGCTTGAGGCGCATGTCCAGTTCTAATAGGAAATATTGGACGAGAGGCATGGAAATTAGTATGAATAATCAATGAATAAATTAAAAGATTAATGTAAAATGATAAAAAATAAAATTGGAAGAATAAAATTATAGTATTTATATTTTGGATTGCCAACCTATGCTAGATTAGTTCATTCACAGTCCTGTTAAACTGTAATAAAAGAAAGAATATTATCAAGCTGTTAGCTGTATTAATGTTAAAGATCCATGCAACTAAATTTTCGGAGTACTTCAGATTTTTCAGGACAATATTTAAAATAATGACTCAAAGATGTCCTTGATATAATATTTTGTTACTTATTAAATATTATTAATGGGTTTGATCCGCATAAAATTCAAATTTTTTTCATCATTATACATGAAAGGAGTTATCTCCCTGCTACAACACGTAAAGTTTGTCAATACAATTCGATACAGGGCAAATTTCACTTTAAAATATTTCAAAACTTTGTGGGTTTACCCACTGAATGATCAGCTCGGGCATACAGCAAAAATAGAATTCTGAATTGCAAATTTTGCAAAGTAAATTAGCACAGAATTTCCGACAGACTTTAATAATAAGATTGGGGCTAAAAAAGGTAAAATAAAGTGAGGAATTCATTACAGCTGAACACTATTATTTATTAATCTGAGGATAAGTTAGGACTGACTGTTTCACCTAAAGTTAATTTTAAGGCAATCTGGTTAAAACACAGATCCTATTTCTTTTCGTTTTTATAGTTCAAAATTTCGTTTTACTTGTCTTTACTACACTTGGATCTGGAAGAGTTATTATTTAACTCGTATTCTGAATGGTGTCAGGGATAATCCAATGAAATGGTCTGTTATGGCGAGCTTTAGGCATGTTTTGCACGGAACTGTGGGTAATCCACTAGTAACATCAATGCTGATTGGTTAATCAAATGTCTGACATCATAGGGTCATAAGTCGGTCTTTTGACCACTGACGTGACCTATCGCTATAACTTATCAGATCTTCGTGTAGTGTAGGCCATCGAAAGTATAAAAAAAAACGAAACGAAATATAGATCTGTATTTTAATCAGATTGATTTTAAGGCTTTTCTGTAACTTTCCTCCAACAAAAGAGCAATTATACATGTTAGTCCAGCAACAATTTAGTTTATTCTAGTAGAACGCATTTCTGATTTTTTTTTTTAAATTTACACACAGTCACAAATATGATAATAAAATATTGCTGTGTAAGTTCTAGTATAAATCTGGATTTACACCCTGGAGCAATAAGCCTTTAATTTACAAATGATTGGATAGATTGTATCCAACAGATAAACATTTATTTATTTATATTAATGTTAGTATAGTTATTTCAAATCTTTAGTAAAATTCTTCTAGATTTGATCTCTAGACTAACATTCTTATGACAAGTGTATTATTTGTTTACAAGATTCATAAAGCTTCACCTCAGTCAATATCCTAACCATTTGGTTGGATTAAACTAACAATGAAAATATATTTGTTGCCATAAACATTAGACCTCACAAGATCCAAACAACGTTCATATATTACAATTCATCAGGTTTTAAGTACTAGTGTATAGTACACAATTAGACCAAAAATCTCTGACTCCCTCCCTAGCATCTTTGATGGACTGTGCTAGCCAGAATGATAAGGCCCTGACATTTGTCAGTTTTCCTATAAATGTTTGGCAGTTTTTGAGATTGTGTACAAATATATACACACCCTTATATATCTTATATTATATGTTACAGTAAAAAACCCAAACAACTTGTGGATAAAAATAAGTTCTGATGGTCAAATAAATAATGAGAAAGACAATTCACACATGCAATCTAAAACAACAGACAACACAACTAACTATTAACTAAAGGTATTAGGAAAGACAACACCAAAAGAATAAAAATAAAACAAAAAACTTAGGTCAAAGCTGAGAGTACATGGTAATAGTAAATAAAACGTGGTGACACTCATAATTTCATAATTTGGATGACATTTATTTCATTATAATTTAGTGAATACTCTAAAATCTAAAAACTGTACGTGGGTGCCCATATACCATTTCCCTTACAGAAACCAACTTTTATAGTTTATTCACATACATACTTTAGGCCTAATAAGACACTAACTACACTGTAAAACCCTTTCAAATTTGGAGACAAAAACATAACATGCCTAAAACCTCACTACTTCATGCAACAAACATAGAGTCGACAATAAAACTAAAACAGAGGGATCAAACACCAACATGAAACATAAACAAAGGAAATGCATCTAGGAGTCAAACCTACTAAGATCACTAAATATAACAGTAATAAAATACCCAACACACACATCAGTTTCATTTCAAAAGATTTTTTTCTCATATTTTTTCTATCATGTGTGTGTAAGGTTTAATGTATAAGGTGAAATCTACAATTTTTTTGCAGACAGGTAATGAAGAAATGAATTAATAAAATAACATAATTATTAAAAATAAAAACAAGTACAAGTGTACTATGGACCAGGAACTGAGCATGATGTCATGACTCATCACCACCATCTTCGATATGTAAATAAAATCAAATTCTGCCAATCGATGTGCAATTGTCCAAGGAACAAGCATGTCAAGTTTCCAATCTGTTTCACTTTCTGTGAAAGCCTTCTTATACCTCTATATTAGATGACTGACCTTCATAAGTTCAGGTATGACTTCTACAGGTGATGTCACATCACCAGGCATAGATCATTGGCTCTATGGAGCATGCTTTATTTGCATAAGATGTTGTTGCATGAACTTGTCAGGACAGAATGGTACCGTTTACTGATTTTATATACCCATTTACACTAAATAGGAAATAGTTTTATCTAGATCTACTTCAAACAACTTTATCTATTTTTCTAATACTTCAAAAAATGTTCTAAAGTTTAATTTGAACGAGAAAAAAAGTTAATATTGCGAGCTTATTAACCAGAACTGATGTTGCCTCTGAGAAGAACAACAATTAGATGAGTAGTGCTTGGGGCCCTGTTCCTGGTCCAAATAATAATATATATATGTATGCTATTATATTAACCAGAATACTGAAAGAAAATATCATAATAATCATTGCTAAACCTTAAAAGTACCAACAATGTGCATGATAATGTAATGTAAAAATAAAATCGTTTTTAAAATACTGTTTCTATCTAATTCTTATATTAAGCTTATTTTTTTAATTTCAATTTTTAACCTTTTTTGCCAAAATGTATAAAATATAGAAAGGGTAAATTGGAATAAAATACAATATTTACTACTAGGTAAATATAGATTGAGGCCCTAATTACCTAAATATACCATCTGCCTACACTACATTAAAAGGTCAAAGGTGAGGCCATCATTCCAATGTCTATGAGTAATAGGTGTGTTGATCTATTTTAAGAAATAATCTAGTAATACTATCTGGCTGTATTTAGTTGAAGATAGAGGGAGTGGAGTACAATTTCTAAGCCATCACCACTAAACATTACATATACACTTACCTCTAAAATATACACAAGTTGTATATAAAGTGGTTAATAGTAGGCTTACGCATTAATAGGGACAGCATTTTCATTTCTCAACAAATTTACATTGCCATCTTTTTTTTTGAAAACTAAATTTTCTAACATAACATTCAAACTTTTTCGGAGCAATGGTGGCTCAGGGAGTAAGGAACTGACTGATTAATCTGGAGGTTAAAGGTTCCATATCGGTGCTGATAGAGAAAGTTTCTCAGGATCCCCCATGTCATGAGTTGTACAGGTCGGAGAGGGCCTGGCAAGGAACAGTGTCCAGTCGTTCGGATGGGATCGAAAATTGTGGTACAGACTCGTGTGTACACATTGGCATGCACATAAAAACTGATATTAGTTGGAATTTGAAATAAAGAGTAAATTGCCACTGTCCAGGCAAAATTTCACTCTTAGAACACTGCATGGCATAGCACGATTTGTATAGAGAAGTAGGACTTTAAACCCCATTTCATTTAAAACTTTTACCTTCCTTAATATATAAATACAATTTTCGAAAGATCATTCTAGAGACAAGTGATTCAATCAAATATTTGTGAGAAAAATGTTTTGTGTTTTAGAAAGATAAGAAAACATTGTGAAAATCTAATGACTTATTTTTTCTAATTAATGTTCTTCAGTTCATCAATCACTTGAGATGTGGTGTGCATCAATTACATGTAGTATTAAAAAATCCTTTAATGTTTATGAAAAAATTAACACAGACTACGCCTTAATGACATGAAAATTACAAATTATTTTTTGTTCATAACATGGTTTATAACATACGAGAAAAAATTATACTTACACGAAACAGTGAGTATGCCATACTTCTCCATTTGAGTTGACTATTTGTTCATGTACTCCGAAACCCTCCCCACATCGGCGACATGCCGCATTACCCAACGACATGTTTGAACTGAAAAAATAAATGTTTCACTGATTTTAAATTAATTTGAAATGGTATAGTTTTTGTCAAAAGCTTAAATATTACCACTATTTTTCTATTCTTCACTGAGTCAACATTTTCTACACTACTATATATAAGTTATCATATTTTAGTGTTCCATTCTAAATCTGTTGTATATACACCTAGAAAACATTATACCTCAATGGATACAAGAATGTGCAGGTGGAATACATGTTTAAAACAGATAATATATTACCCTGTCAATGAGTCAAATATTTATATTGTCAACTTGTGTTAACTTCCGGGCACTTGTATCCACTCAAAACATCTAATAATTTCCCTACTTTATGAAGCTTTGATGTACATGTAGCAATGTTTATTTTTTTACAATTTGACATTAATAATAGGCTATCAATATCATAGGTGTAGCTTATTTTATAATTTATTTATATTATGGAGTATCTTTTATGTTATGTTTATCTGGTTTATGTTTTCGGTATGTAAGTTTACATGTACATGTATGTTGAAGTAGAACCAGCATGTACACTTGGTTCCAATAAAGATTATACAAGGTCCTCATCAGGTTCCAATAAAATTCAATAAGTTTGACCGATTCCCATTATTCATGCTCAAACCATTCCCAGGACAGTTGTGTATAGAACTCTTTGTGCACAAAAAAATTCAATTAAGGTATATGTCACATAGGTGGTATTCTTATGTAACTACATGCACATAGTTACATATGTACTAAAATAACCAGGCTAGACTTGATCTCAATTTACACTTCCAAAATATAAAGCATACCATATCAGTTCCAAAATGACATCACCTACCGTTCTGTCCAGTTTCCAGGTCCGTACTGGAGATTTTATTCAATCACATCATTTGATACTCATAAAAATAAAGTCATATCCAAGTTCTATTAAATCAGATGATAAAGTTAGACTTCAGTACCATTACGGGTTATTCTTAACATAATCCAGGTGAATAACTCCATATTCAATTTCAAACTAGTCAGAGATTTGATGGATAGGCCTACATCTTAATAAAATTAGATGCAAAATCTACATTTTAGAGAGTTTACAAGGTCTCTTTGATATGTTCTGACGACTCCAGCAATAACAGATAAATCTCATACTGATTGTAAAACAAATCTAAATGTTATAAAAAAAAATTCTATACAATCAAATGTAATTAATGTAGTGAACACAAAGCAAAACGTAAATGGATCTGTTTTTAAACCAGGTTGGACAAATCTCATTCAAAATCAAAAGGTGGGGGGGGGGATGTGGTGGTGGTTGACAAATAGTTTAATGTGCACGCGTTAGGTTAGCTCATAACGTTTGTCATTGAGTCAAGCGGCATGGTTTCGATTGTTGAAATAGAATTGAACCATATGTTAGTCCTGAAATGATCTATTTTGTGTCAAGTGGAAGTTAAACCCCATTTCTCTCTCTTTTCAAAATCCAATCCCATCCCACGTGAGTATAAGCTAATAGTCCATTAAAATGTGAGTACATAAAAATGTATTTTAGATAATGTCTTAACCTAGATGTTAGCAGGTACACTAAACAGTTTAATATTTCAAATGCTGAATGAGCCAGGGGCATAGAGTAGAAATTGCATACGGTACATAAAATGTACGTAAATATTAGAACTAATTGATTTGAAAGACATTAATTTTACCTCTGTCGCCTTAGGTCTTGAAAAATGTTTATGAAATCATACTTTCTGAGTAATAAACTCTTGCTTTTGTACAGGTCATGACAATTTATATAGTTTTGTGGGGAGCAGGGCGGTGCAGGAACAGGCATATTGGCACCTTGATGGTGTGACTCAATAAGTGTACCGGTACAGCGCTGGCTCAACATGAGATCTTTTGTACATGTTGGCATGCACATAAAAAAGAGCCCTTGACATTTGGAATTGAATTGATATACCAGGTAACAGTAGGTCATAGTGCCGCTGTCAAGGCATATTTTTTGTCATAGCACACTACAAAACAAGTTGGTGCATTATTTCTGAATGAATACTGATCTAAGTACTGGGGTCAGGGTCATGTCAATTGTCAAATCTGATTACCTTAAATAACAAAGTACACCTAAATAATACTTGTCAATCATCTATTTATTATATCCTCAACCTATTACAAATATATCAATGTATTACTGTTATCATTATAACATCAAGATTGAAATTAGATTCAAAAGAATAACAATCTGATTTAAAGAATAATATCTTAATAAAAGAATTTTTCTATATCTTCCATAACGGGTAGTAGTGCTGTAGGCTTCAGTGAATTCAGGATTTCTACTTACCATAATCTTTCGAAACAAACACTTGATCTTATAGAGCTTGTTCCATCATTAATAGAAATAACACCTCAGATAATTCAATATCTTAATACAATGAGGTTTGGGGCACATTTAAATTGTTTAATTTTGCCAAGTTGCACATAAACTGAATCATTTTTTGGATATTATTATTTGACACAGTTAGTTATGCTTAGACTAGTTGGTCGATTCAAATTGTTAAAATGTTTGTTAAATTCAAGTATGCATTACTTCCCTTCTTTTGGGCAGCTGATTTCACTTTATAAGCCATAAAGCTCACATAATCCTCAGCAGGAATTAATCTTAATGGAACAGTTAATAGTCAATCAATACATTGAGAAGATGTACATGTACCTTTTAACCTCGGCTAAGCTCTGGCATAAAAATCTAGGTATGGTAAACAAGTTGAATCAGTGTAAGACACAGATCTAGAGTAGAGGCCATACCTTATGATTCTTTAAAATATTCTATATTCCAGAAAATACAGTTACTTAACTACTTTCTGTAAGACATAATTCTACCAACAATCATTGAATGCTTAATTCTTCAAAACTTAACATTGCTATCACAAGATTAGACATTGAAGTTCAATGAAATAAATAAGTTATTATTTACCCCAACAAATCATCATCCGTGCCATTCTCATTTGGTGGACGTCTTCGCTGAAACAGTGGACTCTGTGTCGTAGAATTTAATGGTTGAAGTTTGAAATTACCTTTCACAACAGCCATTGTCTATTAATCTAGTTTTTAGAGTTTATGTGTATCCAATGAAAATTTTACTCCAATTTAACATTTAAAGAATTTACCCTGTGCACACACCAGTATTCCTTAATGTCACTACACAAAAAACAAATAAAACTCAATGAAGCATCAGGTAAATGTCACCAGAAAATGAAACCTGTCGTATTAATAGGTAAAGCAAAGCACCTTGAACTTGTGGTTATCACAAATTTAGCTCTCTATATACAATTAACCCTATCACTCTGTAGACCAACATTATACTAAGAGGAACAACAACTGAAATTGTATGGTTGTAAAGATTGATTCTAAATGTCTAACACTACAGCCAATGGGGCGTGAAACGACCAACCGTTTACTCAATCTCTTAAACCTCAGGTAAGAGTGGTTAATTACACTATAAAGTATACTACATGTGTCTAGGTTAACTCAAGTTTACCATGTATGCAAACTAGTCTCTTAAGATTTAAAAGAAAAAAAAACCAACTGCAAATGAAAATTTAGAATTAAAATCTGAATCCGAAACAAAAAACAAAATCATCTGTTTTCCAATACCATTGTTTAAAAATGTATATTTATTTATGTCTACACACGACTACAGAATAGCATCAAACTCTTTAATCAAATCCGACCAATAAAAACTCACATAGTAATCCTCATATTTAAACTGTAACAAACATAGATATATCCTTGTTACATTCCAATATAACAATAGTACAATAACAATAGTAGTACTAAGCCTATACATTAATTTACATACTCTCCACCATGTTATTTTGTATCACCTACTATACCAAGTTGATATTTACATAAAAACTTCATTATTTATCACTTAACAGCGAATAAACAACATACAAGATAGATGTATGACAAACTACATAAGTACATATCTATGTCACATTAACACCATTTATTCTGAATTGATAAATGTTGGAGCATGCCAGGTGAGGTACTTTAACATGATTCAGAATAAATGACCAGAGTTACTGTCTTTAACACATGGATAACAAATAGCAATTTGTACAATAAAATTCTATTCAATGATTTTTATAAAAAACTGAATTTATTTACTCCCATTCCAATATACTAAAATCATGAGGAAACTTTTGTCAGCCAACACCAGGATCAAACCCTCGATGTCCTGAGAAATGTAAGGTATTTTGTATGGGATGTAAATATAAATACAATCTTTGATAAATAAGGAATGTCTTCTGTAGTTTTTACGCATGAGTGAAATTACAATTTATAATCCATGTTTGTAGATTACGGATATAACGCCCATCCTTTAGAAGGCACTGATTTCAAAATGCAGGTGATTTATATAAATATTCATGGTCTAAATCTGCATTCCAAAACAATGCATTGACATATTCTGTGAAAAACAGGAATAATTTTAATCTGAATTTGAAATTAAATTACAAGGTAGGAAGATTACAAACTAAAATGTGATATTCTATGAAACTTTTACCATGAATATACAATAACTTACATTATGGAAAAAGAACACATTTACGCGCCATGTCAATCACAGTGACCACACAATACGATATTCCTTGGAGACACTTGATTCACAAGTACTCCCAAATACATACACTCAAAATCTAAGAATATAATCCTTTTCAGATAATGCAGACAAATATAAATCCCTTTCTACTTTCTTAAATCACCAATAATTAGAATTAAACACTGTAGAAACATATCTTTCTTAATCTATCTTTTTTTTTTACACAAACAAGAGAAGCAAATATATTAAATATATTTTAAACTATATAATCACATCCTTACAGCTGTATTACCACATCTGAATTTTCTACAAACAAATATGCATAGGAAATCCAGTGCTTGGTTTAAAAGGGACAATATCAGATTTACTATAATGGTGTCACTCGAAGCGTATCATAAGATATGGATTTCAGTGTTACTATTATATTACATTATACATACTATCAATCTTATCACCTTAAATACCAACCATTTCTAGCCGCTATTTTACTACCTCATTTACATATCAAACAAAACATCTGAATACATTTACTATTATTGTGATCTCATTAATCTCACAAATTTAGTGTAAATAGAGCATTTAACACTTTAGAAGACAAACAAACAAATGCATCTAACAATGGCAACATTAGGTAAACAGAAACTGCATAATTTCATTTAGGAACAAAAGTGTCAATTGCAACTAAGTATATAGAGCAAAGTTAAAATTTGACCCCTGAGGCACTTGTATATCTGTCGTATTGTCAGTTATAATTTGTAATATCAAATATAAAGGGTGTTGACTAGAACACACACTGGTTTTAGAAGTGGTAAAAATATCAGTTAAAAACTTCACTGTAGATACTTTTATAATGTAATGTGTGCTTTTATTAATAATCATTGGTAAAATAGAAGTCTTGTGTAATGGTTCACATGACTTTTTGTTATGAATGAAAAATAACAACAGAAGGTACATGTATATTATATGACAAACACAAATATAATACGGTAAGTGAAATGCATTGGTTGGGATTTTTAATGTCAACCTTCATTTTCAGATTATGAATACTATTTTTACAGGGTTGCAAATTTACTATTTTAATTCTCAAGTGATGTTTACTTTACTCTCAATATGAACTCTTAACCAAGGAAATAATGCAATGTGGAAATTTGCCACCTGCTTGTATGAAATTCCAGTTTTGCATCCACTTCATTTGAGTAGAAGATTGAAATTGTCAAAACATTTTTCAGGATTTGAACACCTAAGCTTAATAATATATTAAACAATTCGGTACACTTCAAAAGAGAGAGAGAGAAATGGGGTTTAACGTCCACTCGACACAAACTAGGTCATTTCGGGACTAACATTATTATGGTTTAATTTTATTTCAATAATTCGCTTGCGCGTAGGGGTCTTTAGCAGTGGGAGGAAACCGGAGGACCCAGAGAAAACCCACGAGGTTGGACAGGCGACCCTACTCCTTGTCACGTACAAACGGGGATTCGAAACCACGCCACTCGACTCAATGACAGACTTTATGATACAGCGCGCGCACGCTAACCATTCAGCCATCCAACCCCCCCGGTACACTTCAAGCTTTACCAAATCTACTACATGTAGGTAGTGTGAACACAAATTATTATCCACCTCAAGATAGTAAATATATGTGGACACATTTATTGTTTCATTTCATTTCAATGTGAAATCAAATTATGATGTTTTTTTTTTATGAATAAATAACTCCCTGTTTATACTTACAGCCACACAGTGAACAATGCATCATTCATTCAATTTATCAAACAATTCAAAATAGGAAATTTAAACCCTTTCTTGATCCGATAAAAAGGGATATATACTAAAACATTTTGGTTACACCCTTCTTTTTATTCTTATAAATAAGATTTTGTAATATGACCTAATAAAATCAAATAGAAGATGTTAAATTTAATGTAGGCCTACACAATATTGTAGTCTTTGTTCACAAACATGTGGGAGCCCTAGTGGCTAAGTGAGTAAGGTGCGGACCCACTAACCAGGAGGTTCAGGGTTTGATCTCCGTGTTGTGAGAGTAACTACTTAACATGATTTTTCAGTGTGGTTTTCCCTTATCAGCGAAGCAGGACGGAGGTCGGGCAAAATAAATCATTGAGTCATTCAGTGGGAACTAAAAAACAGGAAACTGTGAACACGCTGGTGTGCATGAACATGTGAAAGAAAATTTGACAGTTTGAATTCGATAAGGAGTAGGTGAAAACACTGTATATTGGGCAAAATTTCCCTCATACACACGACATGGTGCATGTATGCTGTCTTCATTCGCCCAGTAGGTACAGAAAAGTAGGCATTAAAATAAAACTCCTTTCAATGCATTACAATAATTACATTGCACAGACTTGTTTTTTCTGTAATAAAACAAGATCTTCAATATGGTAGTATATTTTCAAAAGGTAGGTTGCCAGGAAAAGAAACATAAGCAGCTAAGTTGTCCGGGTAGTCAACAAGAGTTGTCGCATATTTTTACTTTTTTCGTTAATGAAACATTTATAATACATTAAAATCTGATTAAAAGTAACAACTCATTAAGTAATTATCAGAAAACCATTAGAATTTGTTTAGTTTTTATAAAGTTCTGCCCCATGCTAACGTTTAGTATACGAAATTTTTAACATCATGGATTTAGCTGTTCAAGTCATAAAAATTCATTGAAAATCAATATACTTGTTCATCTCAAGACCTTAAACTCTGTATCAATCTGAAGTCAATCTGAAGTCAATCGGATGACAACTTTAGCCTCTAGAGCTTAACAAGATTTTTCAAAGTGATCAAGGGCCAAAACTTTGTCAGAAATCGTTGAAAATCAATATGATTCTTCGTCTCATGACCTCAAACACTGTGTATAAATTTAAAGTCAATCAGATATTAACTTTGACCTCTAGAGCGTCCACAAGATTTTTTGAAGTGATCGAGGGCCATAACTCTGGCAGTAATTATCGGAAATCGCTGAAAATCAATAGGCTGCTTCGTCTCATGACCTTAAACACTGTGTATAAATCTAAAGTCAATCGGATATTAACTTTAACCTCTAGAGCATCCACAAGATTTTTCAAAGTGATCAAAGGCCATAACTCTGGCAGTAATTATCGGAAATCACTGAAAATCAATAGGCTTCTTCGTCTCAAGACCTTAAACACTGTGTATAAATTTAAAGTCAATTGGATTTGGATATTAACTTTGACCTCTAGAGCGTCCAAAAGATTTTTTGAAGTGATTAAGGGCCATAACTATGGCAGTAATTATCGGAAATCTCTGAAAATCAATAGGCTTCTTCGTTGCATGACCTTAAACACTGTGTATAAATTTAAAGTCAATCGGATATTAACTTTGACCTGTAGAGCGTCCACAAGATTTTTTGAAATGATCAAGGGCCATAACTATGGCAGTAATTATCAGAAATCTCTGAAAATCAATAGGCTTCTTCGTCTCATGACCTTAAACACTGTGTATAAATTTAAAGTCAATCGGATATTAACTTTAGCCTCTAGAGCGTCCACAAGCAATTGTGCACACCAGACGGCTGGAAGGACGGGGGCGACGGCAATATACAACATTTCAATGTGGGCATATAAAAAGAAATGTGGTTATGGTATCCCACCTGCCTAGCAATTAAGATTCATTACTACTGGGAAACTTATAAATTTTATTAATATTTTTAAAGTGAAGTTTATTATTATTTTACACCAATAAACTTATTTCTAGAAGTTAGACCAGCATTTGATCCACATGTACAGATTTATTCCTGTAAAATAAGCTGATTTATTGTGGGTCTTACACATGTTTAATGTGAATAGAAACACAGATCTTGTATTATTAAAATTAAAACCAGCATTTGCATATATTTATCACAATTCATCAAAACTTTTCTTCAATCTAAGAATTAAACTTATGACAGTTGTAAATTTTTATAAGATTATATATCTTCAACATAATCTAAGAATGTGGTCGACTTTTTGTTTTGCCTGAATTTGTGTCAATTTCTAATCAATTTCTAGCATAATCAATCATACTAAATATTAAAATCTTTTTTTTAAAAATAAAACATGCACTTAACTTACTCTTCATCAACTTCATGTTCTTTATGATCAACATATTCCACCGCTTCCATCTTATTTTATTATTTTTCACAATTAATATTAAATTGATTTCAAAAATGTTATTTCGATCTTAATATCTTATTTTCAGAACACTGCTTTTAGATCACGGCAAATGTAATGCATAATCCATTACAGTCTGACTGGCAAACACATTATAAGATTCAACTAATGTTGAAAAAGGTCTCAGATCCGTTCCAGATGTGGGTATGTCTAGACCATTATGCGGGTCCTAGATCAACCAACATTACAATTTCTATAATTGGTCAATTAAATAGCGTTAATAGGTAGAAAATCTGTGTAGTTTGAATATGATTGGTCATAATGATGAAAACAAATGGGTGTTATCTACAGTTGTTCCTCTGTGTTGTATATTGGTCAAATGCGGACATGTAGTGAAATACTTTAAATATGTGACTTCCATAGTATTTCCTTTTCTCTCTTATCACACTTATCCATCATTGTACTCATGTAAGTATTAGAATGTAAGTATACTGTACCTAATATTAATCATATATCATTGTTGTTTATCACTAAATCCAGTACATAGTTTTAAACACATAGTATGACATACATTGTACATGTACCTTGGAATTTCAATTTTTAATTATTAAAATTTTTTGATAATTTTGTGTTATTATGGGATTTGTTCTTTTTGATCATTATGGGATCATTTGTGCTATTATGGGATCATTTTTGCTATTATGGGATTTGTTCTTTTTGATCATGAAAGGATACAATGCAAAAACAATAATACTGAGTCTAAAGCATTTCAAAATCTGTTGCATTCTCAGACTTCAGTTAAGAATTTACTCAAAATTATTTTAAGCCCTTTATAACTATTGTTGTTTTAGTGTATCAAATACATCAGTAATAAACTACATGTATACTAATCTAGTATATGCTGTTTGAAAAAAGGTTCCATATGAAAACAAAGATCCAAACAGATGCTTTTTCACACACAACCAATGCACAAGGAACCAAGCCAAACTGGGTACCAAGTCATACTGCAACTGCAACGCTGGAAAAGTATGCAACAACACACTGCTTGCATCATGAAGTTATTCCAAATATAAACAGCTAAATAAAGGGCAGACTCACTACAGTTGGTGAATGGGAAAGATTTGCTTTGGGAAAACAATCTGGCATTTAATGTTATGCAAGTTTTAACTGCTGTCTATTGTATATCTACTAAAGTATTTCCTTTTCCTATATATAGTTAGATTTACTGGTGTATATGTATATTAACTAGTGTGTATTGGATATTGACTGAAGTATACTATATATTTCATTTACTATCTGAAAATAGGACTGGTGTTTTCTAATTTGCAGTATATTGTATACATACATGTATATTGTTCCATATTTGTGACACCTACTGACCACTATTTATTTCTTATTCCAATATATACACTTTTCTTATTCCAATGTAAACTTTTATGTACGCCACACTGACAATTAAACATGTGAATTCACAACATCACACCACAAATAAATCCATGAAAAATGAATTTAATTTGCAGAGTTTCTGTACTTTATCAAAAGTGACTGACAGCCAAAAATTTGAAGTCTAAACCCTGGTCAGTATTGAACAAAAAAGCAATTATGAGGAAACTACCCGTTCCGATAAATGTCTCCATTTAAATAGCACATCTGACAGAAAAACATATTCCTATGAAATAATAAATTCTTCTCTTTTTTTAAAGAATTTATTGTATGTTTTGAATTTTAATTCCTTTTTTATACTTAGTACTTACATGTCAAAACTGTCTGTTATTACTGCTGGCATTCTTGACTTAATACTGTAATTAGTCTCTGTGTACTAATTGATCTTTTACAATTATCAGTGAATAAATATAGATCAACCACTATATAAAATAAACCACCTAACTCAAGTAGTTAGCAGACTGACTCAGAAGAAGTTTCAATCTTACAAGAAACAGGAATGTATAAATATATCTTCTCATTCTCTGTTTACCAGTAGTGTTTTTTATAAAAGGGTTAATGGGATTCAGATTGTTGAAGACTGGTTAATAGAGTAACAGGCTAACAGCAGTGATAAGGAACAGAGATGAAAACTTTATCAAAATATCAATTTATCGGGAGGAACCTGCTAATCTGGTTTTCTTAGACTTTAATGTTTACAACCTTTTATCCAACCGCCAAACCTGTACATGTATTCATCATACACCAAAATTTTAATGTAATTTTTGTACATAAAATGTTGGTTTAACTTCAAAAGAGTTTATATATATGTATCTTAAGTTGTTAAAAATTTTCAGGGACCAACTTATTTTGAGTTAAGTTAAAGGAACTAAATCTCGTAACTCAATATTTCCCATGATAATAATATTCAGAATTAAAAACATGAATTGGAATTCAATATTGGTCCATTTCAATAAATATTGATGGTGTTATCTTGCCATGAAAATATAGGAACCCAATATCCAATATTTAAGACACAATGAACATTTTAAAATCACTACACGAGTTGTGTAGGCTATGGTTTTGGGCACCATTTGTAATGAACAAAGAAAGAAATAACCTACAAGGCATTGTGGAAGTAATCAGTAATAATAAAAATCTTAGTAAAAGTAGAATCAACTAAGCATTCATAAACGACTGTCGGTCGGTTTGGACAGAACATCAAATATTTCACCGAACATAATTAATATATTATTAGAAATTACAATAAAATTATTTTCAAAATTGAATAAAAATCACTTTATATAAGTCATTCATATTACATTAATATGTGGTTTTTGACCCATTTTTGTCTATTTTAAATTCAAAGTAAGCCCTTTAAAGATCATCCTATATTTAAAGATGGGTTCTCGCGTACAAACTGGGTGATTTAATGGTATATATGGACTAAAAACATATTCAAACTAATTAATTTGTCATAACTTTGCTTCAAATCCTTCTCAAACATTGTAATTGCGAAGGAATGTCCTGCTATAAAAATTCGATCAAACCGGGCCCGTATCTAGACACCATTAAGCGGGGGGGGGGGGCATTACCTTTCGGTAGGGGGGCGAACATTTTGAGGAAATTTTCGGAAAGGTCATTCTAACAGACTGTTGTAATCATCATGCTATGTAGTTACCTAGGCGTCTAATAAGCATTTTAAAATAAGTATTCAAACAAAAAAAAAATTGTGATTTTTTAAATTTATTTAAAACTATTTTAGATTAGTACAAAAAAAATGGTCTATAAAGTAATGAGATACCGCGGGATTAATATGCGCATAGTCGCCTGAATTATACCTCCTCCTGCTTAGGGAAGCGTAGTTTTTTTAGGTTAATATAAGGAACTGTGTATACTTTAATGATTGTTAGCAATTTCTGAGCGGGGGGGCGAGCATTTCACGCGGGGGGGCCATGCACCCCCCGCGCCCCCCTGTAGATACGGGCCCGGATCAAACCAGGTCATGTTTACGTCACGTGACTTACCTATTGGAAGTCAGAGGAGAATTCATTGCATACATAAGACGATGTTGTCTTTAATCGCTTACTATTACAAATATCGAATCCTAATTAAATTCTCAGATTATCCACTACCCGCGTCTTTTTCCGTCATTTTTATCTAGAAAGTGTTGTACGTCAAACTCTTCATAAAGTTTATCAACTTATACATAATAACTCAACGTCGCGTGTGACCTTTGACATCACGGGTGCAGAAATTCCTAATCGTTGGGCTGTTAATTAGGGGAACCCTTACATTTTTGTCCGGTATACCCTCCATGAGTGTTTTTTGGGAAATCCAGTATTTTCTAGTAAGATTGGATATCTCTACTTTCCATATATATACCAAAATTACCATACTTTTTTGGAAATAACCACCCGATAAATACTTTTTTGGGAACCCATCTTTAACCACTTTTGAACATATAGATGTAGTATCATTTTGAGACCATTTTTATGGTAATTTTTTAATTTTCTACAGAAACATGTACGCTGAAGACAAGGGGAAGAATTTATGCCAACATTGACATTGTCAACTAATCAAATAATCTTGATGTATATATATTGAATGTATTGTGTCACACAGTCATCTATCAAACACTTTATTTTTATAACATAGTCCTTTATTTAGTTTGGTGAATGTTAATCATGACATAATTAGAACATCAGTGACAGACCCATTGACTGCAATTATTTTACTATTTACTAACATCTCATGTTATTTTCTTACTTTCTTACATTATATCTGACCCCAGATGTTCAATGTCAAGATGGCTAATTTGAGAAGAAGACTGATTTTGAAGCCTAGTCACAACAATATTAAGCTACTACAACACAGAAGATCAAAATATAAAATTATGTCACTCAATTCAAGTTCAGAAGTTGGTCCAGTTGATAATACCATTGGGTGAACTGACTCTCAAGACATTATAATCAACATAACATCACAGGCTGTTTAATAATCTCTTATACAGGGTAGTCAAACACTAAATGATATCCCATTATCTTATTTGATTTCACTTTTCTGACTGATTTTGTCAATGAACCTAGTGAATCGCCTTAGACTTAGATTAGGAGGAGTTATCTCCCTGTAAAAAAGTAAAGCGCTTTACCTGCTCTATGTTGCAAAGCTTGTCAATAACAAATTGTTCAGTAATAACTAAATATCGCACCTTATTTCAAAGACAAGATTCCCAATACAAAAATATACCCCTACACCTACTAATTGTTTATGGATTAAGGTATGAAAAATGCCTGGGAGGCATTGCAATCGTTTTTTCGGGAGTGCCGAGTGTGCCGATTTTTGACGTTGTCATTTATTCTTCTTGAACAATGGAGTCATATTTGGTATCAGTTTCTTTCTGTCTAAAGTCAATGGTGCGACATCATTCTTTTGGAATAGATAAATATAAATGATATTTACCTGCCGGTCATAAATAAGGATTTAATAATATGGGAACACCTTTATCTTAGTATTAATTATTACCCTCACATTGCCATGCGCTAAATTTCACTTCCGGTTTACAAATTTGGTAGTTTTCTGAGATTTCTCGATTCCAAGAGGAGTGCTATAAGATAGCCGACCCCCGCGCAATGTCCATACTGTTTTCGGCACATTGTATATTAAGTAAATCGAATATGCGATAAATAAAAGAAAAACCGACCCTTGTTTATTTAATTATATTTAGCCGTGCTGTCATATGAAGAGCTGGACTATAAATATAATGACTTTTTATTGTATGGCAGGTGTAGCTTTTGAAAGTGATGGTGCAAAAAGGGTTTAAAAATGAAAAAGAAATAAACCCATTCCTTATAAAAGAAACGTGCCTATAAGGCATATATTATATCGAGAGGAAATGTAAATAGCTATGCCATTGTATTGTAGGCTATTATTTCTTTGGCATAAATTATAGTAGAATTAGAGGGTGAATCCCTTATGAAAAAGTACACGTTTCTATAGAAGTTTGTGGGATTCTATAGAATGCTATAGAATGCTGCAGGAAAACGAAATCATTCTGGGTTTTTTTTTACATGACTATAGATTCAAAAACATATACAATAGTTTTGTGTAGGATTGGTAGATGAATATTTTCCAAGTGTAATTTCCTATAGAATTCTATAGAATACTGTAAGAAACTATTGGAAAAAAAAATAAACCTACAGATTCATTGGTGCTGCAATAGTTTTCTGTAGAACTAACTTGTATCCTCGAGTCAGTTGAGTAATCCTTCAGTTTTCTATAGCCTTTGTGATAGTTTGCTATAGAACTAACTTGCATTCTCATGTCAGCTGTGATTCCTATAGATTTGGTGGTAAAAACTATAGTTTTGTATAGAACTAACTTATTGTCTCAAGTCAGTAGTATATTCCTATAGTTGTCTATGACATTCTGTTGAAAACTAAGAATTTATATGTATACTGTACTTAAACCATTTTAACAAATAGCCTACTATAGTTTCCTACATAATATTATAGAAACAATGTTCTATACTACAGATTTCATAAATTGGCGATGTCTTTTATTCATACTATAGTTTACAATAGAATTTAGTGATTCACTTGTGTGAATAATGTAAACTTTTCCAACATAATTGTCCTGGATGCAGTTTTCCTTAATTTATTGTGATACCAAATGACAAACTAAAATAAGCTTACCACGAAAAATAAAATATAAAGTATAAAATAGTGTATATAATATGAATGAAATAGTTATACGATGTTGACACTCAAAGGAATTCCCCACCCCACCCTCCAAAAAATGCCAGTAAATGTAGATGTTTACAACAAAAATATCAGATAATTAATTATTCTTCAGAAGTCAATGAAATAAAGACACAGTTTATTTAAATTTTAATAACTATAGCAGATTCTGTACTCAGATTCTGTCAACCGTGAATACCTGTCGACAAATTATAATTAACAGCCAATGTACTCTCTTGAAATCTGTTTGGCCATTGGCTGAATTTAAAATTAAAAAATTCAGTGTATTACAACTTTAGTATTAACAAGAAACTGAAGAGAATGGTGGTGTTTTTTCACAGAGTCGATTAAAGATAGAAAGATAAGTATACTTTATTACTTTTCTTAACAATAATATTAAATTACTTTAATTAGATAAGATTTATGTGATTTTGTTATTTATTTAACTTTATTACCTATTCTTTTCCCTATATTTCAGTTTTACCAAGAAAAGAACTTTTCATGGTTCCGGCTGGTGAATCATCAACAGAATTCAGATTAATCCATGAGAGAAAAAATGAGCTTATCAATTTAGAAGAATCCATGAGAGAAAAATAAGCTTATCAATTTAGAAGAAATCATTGGCCAACTATATTTATTCCCAAAATAAGATTTAATAAAAAAAGTCTATAGAATTCTATAGTACCCATTCCTACAGAAAACTATAGTGGCCCAATTTCCAAACTACAGCTAGAATACTACAGTATTCATTCCTATACATAACTGTAGAATTTCCTACAGAAAGTGCAATAAAAAACCTATAGAATACTATAGTATTTTCCTACAGAAATTTTGCCATAAATCTGTAGGAAAAACTATAGGATGTGCGCTACAGAAACTGTAGAATATTTGGGGCCGTTATTTCCTACAGGCCCCCAAAATTCTGTAGAATACTATAGAATTTTATCCTATAGAACATGGGACACGCCCCCCAAAAAACTCTATAGATTTTCTGTAGAATTCTACACTGCTATTCTGTAGGACTTTTTGCTAAGGGATGGTTTTGGCCTAGCCTTAGGTTATAAACATGCAACGATTCAACGATGATATCTTGCTTGCAACCGAAATCCCACACATCAGTATTACCGACCTGAATTTCTTATCAAGCAATCACACTGTTAAGCAGCATTTCACTTTCCGTTAAATAATGTTGATAGCCTACCCGAAAAATTTTCGCTACTTAGTGTAGGATTTTGTTGAAAAAATTAATCCCCCCCCCCCCCCAGGCGTAGTGTGTTTCGTATATCTCCGTGGAATTCGTTGAATCTAAATCTCGCGGCTGGTGAAACGTTGGGTCATTTAATAGAGCGGGAGCCCAGGGGGTTAACCTAGCTGAAAAGTGTACCAATGGTCTCCTATATGGTATCAATGTATGTATATCTGGTATCATCAGAATGTAAGTCTGCCGGGTTTCTGGTGGCGGGTGTGGTATTCCACGCCCTAAATGCCATGCCCCTCAACTAGTCTAGATTAACTCAAAAGTGTACCACATGAAAATCGCACAGCAATGTACCGTATATCTTCGGGTATTACAAAAACACTCTGACAGACATTTCTAGTGGTGGTGAACCCCTGACAGAGCTATGTAATTGCCAGACATTTGTAGTGATGGAGTATCCCTGACAAGAGTTATCTAATGTCTGTTGGGGTGACCCACCGCACAAACTGTCTGGCAGTGGTCATTCATGACTCCTGTGGTGGTACTGAACAACTCCAAAGCTGTTTTAGGTGGTACAGATTTCAGCTAATCAGCCTAGCTTTGGTCTAAATATTAGATAACTCTTGTCAGGGATACTCCACCACTACAAATGTCTGGCAATTACATACATGTAGCTCTGTCAGGGGTACCCCACCACTAGACATGTCTGTCAGAGTGTTTTTGTAATACCTGAAGATGTACGGTACACTGCTGTACGATTTTCATTTGGTACACTTTTGAGCTAATCTAGCCTAGTTGGGGGTCATGGCATTCAGGGCGTGGAATACCACACCCACCACCAGAAATCCGGCAGACTTACATTCTGATGATACCAGATATACATACATTGATACCATATAGGAGAAAATTGGTACACTTTTCAGCTAGGTTGACCCGCTGGGCCCCCGGTCTATTAAACTAAATTACAATGACTTTTCTTTTCAAAAATGATATACATACATATTTACACGGATGTGGAATTTTTTTTAAGGAATCATAAATTACACATCGATAATAGTTTGTAGCTGTAATAAATGATCATTTGCACAGAAGACGTCTGATTCCTGAAATTCGTGGGTGTGACACAAACAAATAACTAAATTTCAATTTCCAGGGACTATTGTTCTATTTCCCGTTGAGTTTTGAATGTCTATATAGAAGGCCAAATTAAAATAAAATAGCTAGAAACGTTGAGAGAAATACAAAAATTCTCTTAAAAATGTTTTCATTATTCGAATTTTCAACTGCAGCGTCTCAGATGGATGTCTTTTTAGCTACGATTGGAAGTCTTTAATTTCAACTAGCAAATTTAATTTCTTATTGACATGTACACATTTAACATCTTAAAATAAGATCATTTATACTATTAGGACACCATTTTCGCTTGGCTGCATCAAGCGATGTTTTTAACCTACTTTTCCCTTTGTCTATGTTGCGCATTTTGAGTGGCTAATTACATGTAGCTCCGCTTTCATGGTGCCAGACCTCACCGGTCTTAAAATGTCGGGCGTAGCAAAAGCTTTTAACGCTTTGATTTAAAAGAGATGATTTGTAGCCGTGTCCGGTAGAATTATATGCCTAATTGTAGTTGGGTATGACAGGAATTTAATAAATAACAACAACTAATCGTTGTTTTGAAGAAAAAATTGACAGGTTTGCTTTGCGAATTCCGATGTGATCGGCATCTTCCAGAAAGACTATACTATTAGTACCATCTTATCCCCAGACACGCAGGGCCGAGATATGACGTTTTTTATAGTGGGCTCGAACTTCGGGACTTTTTCAACTACACAGTTGATGTAATCACCGCGGCTCACTAACCAGGAGGTTCGATTCCGGGTTTGTACAATGTAGTTTCTCGGGGGGGGGGGGGGGTTGGCCGAATGGTTAGCACGTGCGCGCTGTATAAGCCCTGTCATTGAGTCAACTGGCGTGTTTTCGAATCCCCGGTTGTACGTACGTGACAAGGAGTAGGGTCGCCTGTCCAACCTCGTGAGTTTTCTCCAGGTCCTCCGGTTTCCTCCCACTGCTAACGATCCCTACGCGCAAGCGAATTATTGAAATAAAATTAAACCATATGTTAGTCCCGAAATGACCTAGTTTGTGTCGAGTGGACGTTAAACCCTCTCCCTCTCTCTCTCTCGATTTTCGACTCGTCGTGACAATGGTGTATGGCCGGACAAGGAGAATCCGCGTTTGGATGGGTTACGGGTGGGACCTATATATAATATAGGTCTAGATGGCAGGCGTGGGCCTATCTTCATGATTAGGCCTATCTCGGTGTTGCAGAAAAACGATCAGGCCAAAACCAATTTCATAAAAGTGTTTTAACGACTTGCCAAATCGATTTGTATAGAGGTGATCAGGGTAAATAATTTGAATTAGACGGACGTTAAAGATGAAAATTTGATTGAATGGAAATTACTTTGGCTAATCAGTGGTCGATAAAAACGCCTTTTAAAGTTTTATTTCGATTCCAATGGGGATAAGGATGCGGCGGTGAAAAGTCACACCCGTACCCAATTTTCTCTTCGTATTACGGTGCTTCCGTACTTTTTTTTTTTTTTATCAGCCTGACAATTATTTATATCTGGTAGGCCTAAGTCTTTTCCTCTTCACCAATGACATACTAGGCCTAATTGTCGTTCACAGTAATTCACTCACAGAGTAAAATTTACTCTGTGATTCACTTTTCAAACAATGGATAAAGGGAGAAGACTCCAGTTTTTAAGCATGATGCACTGTTTTCTTTTTCAATTGAGTTAAACTTTACCATTTTTATTCGACGGCAGCCTTCTTTCAACAGCCACGGATAAAATTGTAAAAATTATCCAGTTTCAATAGCGATCAATGCAAACTGTAACTTTTAACACATTTTATGCTTGCGTGTTACTAATTTGTCTTTTAAAATGCTTTATTTATTTTTCAAATAATTTCAAAATTGTTTAAGAATTTTTTGGCAGCGAATAAAAAGTTAATATTGATTGATAGATTAGATCTCGACAAGGATAGTGGAACGAAAATTAACTGTGGATCAATTTGTTTCGGTTTATTTACTAAGACTAAGAGTAAGACTTAAAAAAATCTCAGTCTAAATGTTGATATTATATCGACGGAAACCAGATTTAAAATGGCAGAAGGCTAAATGTTGATATTATATCGACGGAATTCAGATTTAAAATGGCACATAGGTTTACACATACTAAACTTAAAGGTTGTCTGTCTGGGCTACAGTTAGCTCCGTCTGTGTGCCTGAGGTTACTGTTTCGCTCACGGCCTTCATTTTTTCAAATAAAAACGAAGGGTTCCGAATGTTATCTTGTGACCGAGTGTCACTCAAAAATATTTTTAGTGGCACATCACGTTTATATTCCTCTGTCTTAGTGGGAGTTTTCTGGAAACGGCCCCTATATCAAATGTATTGCTGTTTACTATAAACTCTGAACATGGCTAATTTATGTAAAAAATATGTTATTGTTGTGTGTGTACTAATTAATTTGGCAATGCTATGTTTAGCTGACGTTAAACCAGAGAATCTAAAACCATCGATAGATGTGAAAGAGGAACAGAATGTCTCCAAACATCATAAAACGGACAGTTTGACAATACTTATGTTGTTGGCCCTACTGTTACTTACAATATTGACAATTTGGTTTTTCAAATATCGACGGTTCCGTTTTGTACACGAAACTGGTTTATCAATGATTTATGGTAAGTATCAACAATTACAATACAGTGTTGGGTAAATGAATGTAGACTTTGTAAACGGTGTATTTTTTCACCCATGAGATATTAAAACCCAATTCAGAAGATTACATGTCATTTGGGACTCGCGTCATTTGGGACTCAGAATAGGGACTATTATTAGTATTACATTTGCACAAACATAAACCTTGGCCGTTGGATGGCCGAATGGTTAACGTGTGCGTGCTGTATCATAAGATCTGTCAATGTCATTGAGTCAACTGACATGGTTTCGATTCCCCGGTTGTACATGACAAGGACTGAAGGAGTTGGGTTGCCTGCCCAACCACATGGGTTTTCTCCGGGTCCTCCGCTACGTGCAAACGAATTATTGAAATAAAATTGAACATATGTTAGTCCCAAAATGACCTAGTTTGTGTTGAGTGGACGTTAAACCCCATCTCTCTCTCTCTGTTAGATAGGAATGATGAATCGATGTATTACTTTATTTTCACTGCATACAGCCATACTGGTATACATTTACAAATGATGTAACAAAACAGAATGCCAGTTAAATTCTCCATAAGCAAACTCGTCCACATGAAAAGTCTAGTTATGTCGTCCACAAATATGAAAATATGTTGATTGACTTTTGCACACAGCATTGGTTATGTTATGGATATGGAGATAATATTTAATTAAGTGTACCGAGTGATGCTTTATCGTCGCATCCATGCGTTTGTCATAGTGTTTGATATATAGTGTTTAACACCATATCACCGTGTCTTTGAATGGCTTCCGTCTTTTAATTTGTTAATTAGTTTATTGTTACCGGTGTAATGGCCTATTGGCTCATTATGGTCTATAGATCAATAGACAAGGCTTTATTGTTGAACATGTGCTTTATTGAATGGTAAAACAATATGGATGCCCCTACTCTTGTGACCACTAGGCCTAGAGTGTACAACAGATCATGTGATAGGTCATGTGAGTTATTTATAGATATTTAAAGGAACAGTGCTTGAATATGAATATATATGAGGATATTACATCCCTCCCTAAATAAAATGAAAAGACTACAAGCACTATACCGTGAAGTATCTAAACATAAAATATAATACTAAATGGTTCATGGAACAGTTTTAAAGTCTTGTAGTGGTTTTAGTCTTTGATTTATGGCATGTTCGGTTGTAGGAACTGCATATGCAGGGATTATTGTGCCCTAGTTCACACATACACCAACATAACATTTCTAGTTTAACACATATTAACACATTTCTGACCTTATATAGGTCTAATGCACAAAGGGATTATTATGCCCTATACAACACTTGTGCATTTTAATCACATCTGTAGTCTTTTAGGTAAGACGGTTTATTTCTTGTCCGATGACTTGTTCGTAACTTTATTGGTGTATTAGACGCAATTATTTTATCTGTTGACTTCTCCGTCGGTATTGGAACCGGTTTAGTGGGTGTTTTAGGTAGGTATAACGGTAAGTTATTATTTGGTTCCAATTCCAGATCTTCCTTTTCTTCGACAGGAATGTTAAATCTCACTTTCTTAAATCTTGAGGAGTTTCTAGTTATTTTCTTCTTCCCGTTTTGCGCAGTTATCATGCTTCCTTTACGTTTTATGATATCATACGTCTCTGGCTGATACGTAGGAACTAATTTTCCTTTTTCTTCGCTTTTCAGCATTACTGTATCTCCAGTCTTCAAGTCACTTGGTTTAGCTTTTACCAAGTCATCGGCTCTTGTCTTCATTTCATATTGTATTTTGCTTGGCTGTCATTGTTTCTAACAATCTCATCGATAATTGTATTGTATCGAGGTTCTGTTACAGAAGGGAGCTTAGTATTCGGCTCTCTTCCGAATAATAATCGATGTGGTGTAAAACCTGTAGAGCTATGTGGTGTTGCTCTGTATTGGCGTAAAAATCTACACACTTCTTGTTTTCAATTACGCTTTTCAATTATAGCTGCTCGTACTATTTTCATTAATGGTTTGTTAAAAGCTTCTGCTTGTGCGTTTGCTCTAGGCCAACAGGGAGTTATCCTTCTGTGCCTAAAACCGATGTTTTCAGCATATTTCTCGAACTGGTAACTGTTGAACGGACTACCATTATCAGTTTTGATAATTTTAGGAATTCCGAACGTGCTCAGAATTTTGTCCAAAACAGGAATAGTTGCATTCGCCGAAGTAGATTTCATTATCTCCACCACAGGATACCTTGTGTATTCACCAATTACTACAAACAAATAATCACCACTTGGCAGAGGTCCACAAAAATCAGCCCTCAGGTTTGACCATGGTTTGTCTGGTAGATCACTCATCTTGAGAGGTTCTTTATGTTTACGATCTCGAGTCCCTGTTGTTGCTTGACAAGCAATGCATTTCGAAATTTTCTCTTCCACTAGTTGGTTAACGTCCGGGAACCATATTTTTGATCGTATAAATGATTTCGTTCTTGTCATACCCTGGTGACCTTCATGGGCAAGTTCGACTGCTTTTTCTCGTAATGATTTTTGTAGAACTATTCTTCCTTCTCGAAGCAGTATATTGTCTTGGTGGACAACTAATTCGTCTTTAACCGATTTTAGGGCGTTCAGCTCTTCTAAGTTGATTCCATCATTAGTATTCAAGTCCTTAGCAAGGTACCATTTACCATTCCTTGCAAATTCAATGGCTTTCAAAATAGTCTGGTCCTTCGCAGTTTCTTGTTTTACTTCATCTAACGTCATCGCCTTTGGTACTGCAGACTCGGCAAGAAAGTTGACATATTCATCTGCTAATGCTCCTTGTTTTGAGCTACCATCAACTGGATGTCTTGACATGTAATCTGCTATATTTTCTGTTCCAGGCTTGTAGATTATGGTAAATTTATATGAAAGTAGACAAAGTCCCCACCTTTCTATTCTTAGAGGTGGTTTTGATTTCTGCCAGATACGTTCCAGCGGCTTATGGTCGGTGATGATTAAGAAGTGAGGGGAACCACGGAGGTAAGTATCAAAATGCTCACATCCCCATACAACACTAAGTGCTTCACGTTCAGTTTGACTGTATCTGGATTCTACATGAGATAAAGCTCGGCTTGCATAAGCGATAACTTTACTGTCTTGTGTCAAAATTGCGGCTAGTCCTACAGGACTTGCATCAACTATTAATTCTGTCTTCTTCCTTGGATCGAAGTAAGCAATTACAGTTTCTTCAGAAAGTTTTTCTTTGAGTTTGTCGAAAGCAGCATCTTGGTCTTCTGACCATTTCCATTCGACGTTCTTGTGTGTCAATCTTCGCAGAGGCTCGCTAATTGTTGCATAATCTTTGATAAATCTTGAGCAATAACTGGTCATACCCAGAAAACTTCTTAGGTCCTTTACTGTTTCTGGTTGTCTTGTCTCTCTGATGGCTTTGACTTTCTCGGGATCGGGAGACGTTCCATTTCCCGAGAAAATAACTCCAAAGAACGATATCTTGGTTTGGTGAAATTCACATTTCTTCTTGTTCAGAGTTAAACCAGCTTCTTCAAGTGCTTTAAATGTTGCCTCTAATGCTCTGTCGTGATCAATTTTGGTTGCACCAAAAACTATTATATCATCTGAGATATTCTTTGTACCAGGGATATCTTGAATTATTCCTTGGATTGTTTCTTGAAACACTTCTGAGGCTGATGATCTACCGAAATTCAACCTTTTATTGCCAACTCGTTATCGAATTTCTCATAATGTAGGAGTATAATTTTTTATGACGTCAACTATCTCCATTCACAAGATGACCACTGTTTAGACCAATTGCATTACGTCTTTCTTGTATATTAGCCCTTATTATTGAAAATTGCATGATTTTACAAAAGGGAATTTTACAAAAAGGGCTGAGGATCACTACGTGTGCCAAGAATTGGCGGTAGTGGCTTTCCAAAGGGCCCCAGTCACAGGGTTTCGAGGGTCCTGAGATTTACAGTTCTTTCCTGTTGATTTACATGTAGATGCAAACTGGAACTGATGATTTCGTTTCCCACATCTAGCGAAAAACAAATGAAATTGGGTTTAACATTCTGCTCTTCTGGATTATTGAAGAAAGGCAATGTGTTATATGATGTGCCATTTTGTTCCGTCGACTCATCTCCGAGATCCTGATGTTGGGCTTGGAAGTTCCTCAGAATTTTCAGGTGAGTTTTCCAGTTGTCAGTGGTGCAGAACGGCGGGCCTGGCAAGTGTCTAGGTATTTGGATGGGACAAAAAAATGAGCTGTGCACATGGAATTGGTCATAGCCCCGCTGCCCAGACAAAATTTGGTGAAGAAAAGTAGGACATTAACCTCCATGTTATGGATATCTTGATAGTACTAGAAGCATCTGACATTTCCATATGACAAAGCCAAGATGAAACTCACATTTTAAAAAGAAAATAAGAAGCTTATTCAAACCCTACATTTAATTGTCACAGCTTTCCTGACCTCATTACTGATACGGCTTTCTAAGCATTTCTTGTGCCAAAATAGTAGTTTCATTAATGATGGAGGATTCTAATTAGATTATGCGATTTAATAGTAAGTGCACCAAACATGAATAAACCCCCATTAAACAAACACGCCCCTTTTCTTGGACTATGGGGTCCTTTTATTGTATTGGGGACACCTCCACTAGACTTGTGGGCCCTGCCTCAGTGGGTTCATATGAATTTTTCTCCCTGGATTTGGTGTTTTCTTTATGTTTTTATACACCAACATTGTAATGTGGTCATATATATTGTTGTCTCCCCCATCGGTCTGTCGTCCACAATTTCTTGTGAACACTCTGCAGAGTGCAGACTACATTTATTTGAAATTGATATTATGTTTTTTTACATTAGTGAGATGAAGACTTACTCTGAATTTTGTTAATACGTGTATGTTGTATTTTGAGATCAATCAGCGGTCGTCAGCGTTCAATTGAAAGGAATCGGCAGTCTTATATTTTATGTAACATATAATTATAATCATAACGGTTGAAGATTTTATCACCATAATCAATAAATGAAATGGGGTTTAACATGCTACATTTCTTCGCCAACCAAGCTAATGAAGACCGGTATATAATCAATTAATTTACTTATTAATATAGATTAATTAAACAGGTTGATTATTTAAATTTAAACATTGCACCAAGAGAAAAGAATTAGAATTAATACTTTACATTGTATCAGCTTACATGCTATATAGACCTATATATGCTGTGTTATAGCCCATTGTATAATGTCAGAAATATTCAGTCTGGAATCTTCTGTTACTCATATTCCCCGGTGGATTTGTTTTTGGACAATTTGTCAACAATGTTTAAGCTATCATAGTATCATGTGAAGGTATAATTGCTTGTTAATGATTTTGCTGAAGCGTTGTTCCAGAAAAATAGATTAGCAAATCAAATGTTTTTCATTTCAAAGTCTATTCAACAAAATTCTGTCATTTAATAAATTATATAATGTAAGCGAATAAATTTTGTATGATATTTAAGCTGTCATGTGAAAGTATTTATTGCTTGTATGGTGGCATGGTTAATGGTTTTGTTGAACATTTGTTTTGAAAAAAATTGATTGTTATTTTTGCTTTGTTTCAAAGTCTATATGTTTGTACTTTGCTGTTTAATAAAGGATTAATTGATAATATCAATGAATAAATTTCTTTTCTTCTTTTCAAAGTCTATGTGTTTGTACTTTGTAGTTTAATAAAGGATTAATTGATATCTAATAAAATGAATAAAATTTGTATATAATTGTAAACATATAAAAGGCCTACCGGTAGACTTCGAAACTATTGGTATTTGCCTTTTAGATAGGCTTAAGTTAATAAGTTTTTTTAATTAAACCTGGTTTCTATTCTGGCTTATTGTTGCAGTATGAACAGGCCGGCTTAAAATAGCTGGATTCAGATAACTTTGGGATTGCACATTTTCTGACTTTTAATGAAGTTTACATACCGGTACTGCATAATTAACTATAACCTCTTGATAATGGGTTTCAAAACTGATAAGCTGGTTTTGCGTGTAATGTGAGTCTCCAGGCTTAAAAATCAACTACCGGTTCATATAACAATATAAGGAAAATATAGACCATCAGACTATAAGCAGTAGAAAGTAGTCTTCCCAAAAGACATACATGTATTGATCCAAAATGATTAAAATCGATCAATCCATTCCTTAAAATGATATGACCTCTAAAGTTCAGATCTCTTTCTATGGGGTTAAAGCGTGAATTGTAATCGTAATTGTCTTGGACACTATTGAAGTACAAGCACTGGTATAATCTAAGTGATTATTGGCCCTCTGTTTATATTATCAGGCTTTCAAGAGTTGATAATTTGTCGAAAACACAATCAAAACAAGCATACTGACTTCCACAAACTGCTGATATGGAAATAAAATTGTAACAAGCTGGTTTAATAGAAGAGAGAAACACATTTCAACATTTTATTTGAACATATATTGAAGAAATCTTTTAGAGGCATTTAGTAACTTGGTAGATCAATATACTATAACACATACATATGTTATGGGAAAACAGCTACTTATTTATTTGGGCAACTTTCGAAAAGTATTCTCTCAACGTTATCATGCTGAAGAGGTCTTCTTATTTAAATTGCATCATATTTCTAAAAGATAGGATCAGTTTGTACACAAGTATTAAGACAAAATAATCATGTTAAATAATTTCACCAATAAAATGAAAGCTCAACAAAATGATAGAAAATGTTCCATTAGATTTGGCATATTGTACTAGTAATATTATTTGGTATTTGTATGCCAATATTATATCTGACTATCATTATTAATTCAAGTAGAATCGGTAGCATAGTTTATTATAATCTGTGTGCTGGACTACATGCTATGTCACCAGTTCTAATCAATATCCTCTCTGTTAACTACCATTTTGTCTTGTTTCAACATAACTACCACAATAAGATTTATCAGTCTGTACAATCACACCATAATATTCATCACATCTTCAAATTTTATGCATTTAAAACACTAGAAGCTGTTGTACATGGATAAATGATAAAGATAACATGTATATTTAGATTCACAAGCTGCTAGCTTCAGCTTGTTCAAATGAATAAGTGATCATGTTCTATGTAAACCAATACATATTTATTATGTCTCATTAATTAATTTTTTTTACTGTAGTAATAGTAAAATAGGCTTTTTGTTAATTTTGACCCTACATGTACATGTATATTCATGCTGTGGAAGACATTTTACAGATTAGCAGTAGTTAATTACTTGTTTTCATTTCTAATTACTTTTAAGTATAATTTTACTTGTTGCTGAAAAGGTTTAACCATGGACCATAATGTTCATTGTCAAACATTGCTGGTCCTACCCAAAAAGTCTGTACTGTCACCAACTTACTGGTCACAATGTTACCTCGTCAGCAATGCATATACAATTGTCCTATTCTTGATTTTGGCTACAGTTTCAGTTATATTTTTTTCAGGTCTGATAGTTGGAGCAATTATAAGATATGCTGGTCCACTTGGTAAAAAGCCAGATTATGCTAAGGCTGCACTCATCAATGGTACATTCTACGCCAATTCTCCACCTGAGACACTTTTTCTGTCTTTACCAAATTTTAATGACACCACAAATGAAACTATTAAATATAATCTAATAGGAAAAGTATACTCAACTGAACCTGATGGACTTTTGGAGAGAACTGTAAGTATTGAATTATGAAAAATGTTTAATTATTTATAGTTTTAGTGTAGATGTTAGAAATATAAATTATATGTATAGATAGACAACATACACAAGCAGAAATGATTCAAAACAAGAGTACTGGTAGTTCCCCTTTTTGAGATTTAGGGCACATCGATTATATGGATTCTTTTCTGAAATTTGTTCATTACTTTATCTTATTTATGTTGAAATTTATATAGAATACTAGCTTTTATAAGACAATCATTAATAGGGAATTTCATCATTTAATACTGCACCAAAAACAAAATAAATAGTAACATTAAATGTCTTGTAAAAATAATGGTTGTTAGGAAGTTAAGTTATTTTAAAATTGATAATTTCTATCTTTTGGTTTCCTATAGCAAACAAACAAACTTTCTTTTTTGTTATACGCCCACATTGAAATGTGGTGGTATATTGTCGTCGCCCCTGTCCGTCCAAAAGCTAAAGTTAATACCCGATTGACTTTAAATTTATACACAGTGTTTAAGGTCATGGGACAAAGAAGCCTATTTATTTTTACCTTTTTCCGATAATTACTGCCAGAGTGATGGCCCTTGATCACTTTGAAAAATCTTGTGGACGCTGTAGAGGTTAAAGTTGATATCCAATTGACTTGTAAATTTCTACACAGTGTTTAAGGTCATCAAAAGCCCTTGATCACTTTAAAATCTGATTGATTTTATATTTATTCACCGTGTTTACGCCTATATATAATCGTTTCGATTGACTTTAGATTGATACACAGAGTTTAAGGTCTTGAGATGTACAAGTATATACTATTCAAAAAAAGTAGGGGATATTTGATTTTTAAGTGTTATTAAAGTCACCTAATGAAACTGACGAAGAAACAAATGACAAAATGAAATGAAGTTCACATTCATCGATTTATTCCAAATGATCGTTAGACTAAGTAAGGCACAGACTGACCATCATAAGGGTAAAATGATACCCGGGGTCAAACAGCAAAGTTACCACAGCATCACAACCAAGTCAGTAACGGGTAAATCCTCCTCTGTTTGCCAAACAAGCATTGATCCGACGTGGCATACTCCTAATGAGACGTCTAAGGTCATTTTGGTCCAGATTGTCCCATTCCTGTTGCAACGCAGCAGCAAGTTCTTGGACATTGGCAAGACGCTGTTGACGTTGACGTAACCTCTGTCCAAGCATGTCCCAGACATGCTCGATGGGGGAGAGGTCGGGACTCAGTGCTGGCCAAGGTAATGTGGTGATGTTCTGTTGTTGGAGGTAACCTGTAACGATCCTGGCCCTGTGACATCTTGCGTTGTCATCCTGAAAGATGAAACGGCGGCCATAACGTCGTGCGAACGGCACAACATGGACTGCCAAGATGTTGTCCCGGTAGTACTGGCCTGTAACACGCCCTGCAACAACATGTAAAGCCGTTCTTCCAGCAACAGTGATGCCTCCCCACACCATAACAGAACCACCCCCAAATCGATCATGTCTGATGACGTTAACGTCTTGGAAGCGCTCGTTTCGACGACGCCACACCCTTCTACGTCTGTCCAAAAAATCAACAGTGAACCTTGACTCATCTGAAAACATCACATTGCTCCAGCGTCGATTATCCCAGTGTTGACGATCCCTACACCAACGACGTCTTGCCTGAATGTGATGATCTCTCAAACAAGGGATCATGCGAGGACGTCGGGCGCGAAGGTGACCCCTATGCAGTCGATTCCGAATCGTCTGGCCACTCACTCTCACACCAGTGTCTGTTTGAAGACGAGCGCTGATCTGATTTGCTGTGATGACACGATTTCTCAAGGCCAAGGTACGGATAAATCGATCCTGGACTTGAGTTGTCGCCTTTGGTCGACCTGAGCGTGGTCTGTCCTGTACAGATTGTGTATCACGGTATCTGGACCATAGCCTGCTTATGACAGACTGAGAAACATTCATCGTCCGCGCCACAACCGCCTATGTTGTGCCGATCTGTAGCATGCCAAGGGCACGTAACCTTTCATTTTGGGTAAGCCGACGCATATCAAAATTTGTTTTCTGGTCACTAAAACAATTAAACTGATGTTTCCCCCCTGGAATTCAATGCCACAATGACTGTAACATTCAAAGTCAGAGTCGTGCAAATCTTGGGTTGGACCCCCATGATGATCCCAAGCATCACCTGCATTCCATGCGGTGGCTATTGGTGCGTTTGGGCGTCACATGTAACTGGAAATGTTTCTTCTGTTAGGTTCTATAGTGACTTTTTTCGTAGTCATTTGCATATTTTAGTATTATGCCCCCAAAATCAAATATCCCCTACTTTTTTTGAATAGTATATTATTGATTTTCAATGATTTTTGATAACTTGAACAGCTAAATCCATGATATTAAATGTTTTGTATACTAAACGTTAGCATGGGCCAAACAACTTTTAATGATTTTCTGATAATTACTTAATGAGTTGTTACTCTTAATCAGATTTTAGTGTATTATAAATGTTTCATTACCGACAAAAGTAAAAATATGCGACAACTCTTGTTCACTGCCCGGACGATTTAGCTGCTGTGGGCGTATGTTTCGTTGCCTGGCAACCTATCTTTAGATTTGTTATGATCTATGTTGAATTCGTGTTTTTTGTAGTGAAGTAGCCATATATTTTGGTGCATGTCGGTTTTTCATTTTTTTCCCTCTTAACAGAGAAATATTACTATTGTAGGTACTGGAATTATTCATTTAAACCATTTAAATTAATATAATTACTGGTAGTTTAGTTTCAGGTAAAGATGAGAAGATTTATAAAAGAATTCAATGTTCCAATATTTTTGTACTTTATTCAATATGCCTGGAATATTTTAGTTGTGTGTAAATGATAATAAAAGTTATAACTAGTTGATTTACAATGTAGTATACTATTTTTATGAATCAGCTACTTGAGGAAACTATCGTGAAGATATCTATACAAAAAGAGGTACCGGTAGCTAGTCTGTATAGATATATTAAAATCATATATATGGAATATTGGGACAACGTTTGGTTTATTGAGTTTTTTCTTTTGCATAGATTTATTTTATAAATTTTAATAGCATTGGAATGATGCTATAATAACTAATGGCATATTCTTCACATTATTTTTTATATTATGCACTTATCAATTATTGGAAAAAAAACTTTTTGGCTGTCTTCTTTTAAGAAAATTTTGTGTTATTAAGGATCACTTACTTTAACATTGTTGAAGTGAACAGACCTTGGAATGCAGTCTGTTTAATTTAAATGTATGGTAGGCATGGGAGTATATTGTGGGTTATTTAAGACATGTCCTCTTGTATAGTTTATCACAAATGGTTTATGTCACACACAACACCTCTGTCTGTTGTCAGTCTATCCCTTCATCCGACTTCTCATTCGCAACTTCTAAATGGATTTCTACTAAATTTGGAAGGTATGTTGCTTGGGTCGTGAATATTCAGTTTTGTTTAAATTGGTCTTTTTAGATTGGGGTGGGACAACTTCAAGTCTTAAAGCGATAAGTGTCAACATGGTAGTCCTTATTCTGTTTTGTTAAGATAAAGTTGCTTGACAACATAGATGCAGGGCAAATGATGAAACTTAAACTAAAGCAGTGACGAATGTAGACATTTTCACACATTTGCGTCTTCTTTTCTAAATTCTTTAAATGGATTTGTGTACCAAATTTGGTTGGTTTGTTGATTTGGTGGTTCTAATCTTACTCTTCATAAGTTTTTTTTTTACAAATATCCATTCTATTACTTCTTCAGTATGACTTCTCTATATATTTATTTTGTACATTGTTCTATACAACAAATGATGCATGTTCTGATAATACTGGTGGTAAATTGTACTTAAGAAGATATAATTGATATATTGACACATGTATGGATTCTTTATATCTTGTTAATGCATGTCTGACAGCTAGACAACCCTTGCCTGTTCGTCCGTCCACAGTCTCTTGTTTGTACTCAAACATCAAATATTCAGGCCTATTTAGTATCAGGTTTAAATTGATCCCTATCGATTTAGAGCATTATTGCAGAAGTAGTTTAACAGTTATCACAGACTGATTTATTGTTCATCAACGGTACACATAAAAATTGTGTTGTGTTTAATGTGTTCCTCTATCGCTAAATGCCACTAAAAGATTATACATTTAGGTTACTGTACTTATTTCAATCCAGAGAGTACTGAGTAAACGCTGGAATGACTTAGTTGCTGGATGCTTGATGTTTCATTGCCTTACAACCTTTTTATATGCCCAAATTGCCCCTGTTTGTCTGATGTTCGTTGACAATCTACAGGTCACAATTTTTATCCGATTTTGACAAAACTTGAAATATGGGTTTATCTCCAAAAGATCTTTGTTCCTTTTGATATTAGAATGTATCGGACCGTAACTTCGTGGATTATGGCCACTGAATGTATGAAAAAGCGTGTTTTTAGCTTGTGGACACTCCAGAGGTCACAATTTTTGTCCGATATCGGATCGTAACTTTCTTGATTATGTCCCTGATTGTACGATAAATTTTAAAGCTTGGTCTCTGTCCATCTCTTGTTATCCGATTTTGGTGAAATTTAGAATATTTGTTTATATGCCAAAGTTCTTGGTTCCTTTCGATATTAGTGTATATCATATTGTAGCTTCCTGTATTATAGACTCTGATTGTACAACTTGTTCTCTGTCCATCTCTTGCGAAATGTAAGTGTATCTTCCATGGCAACCGCTTGATGGTTATTGCTTTGTATGGATTTCTCCTTGTTTTAAGAGTTCAATTTAGTTAATTCTTACCAATTTTATAACTTAATATAAACGACTGTAATTTCATATTTTATGCTTGCACTCAGAGCAGTTTAATTGTAATTCTATAATAATTATATTCTACATTTCTGTTACAAATTTGTACAAACTTGTGTATTAAATCTTTCAATTTTAGGTGACATTTGATCCAGAATTATTTTTTAATGTGATGTTACCGATTATTATATTTGAAGCTGGCTATAGCATGAAAAGGGTAAATATATAATTACATAAATAATTGTTTTATCTATATAATTACATAAATAATTGTTTTATCTCGCTCTATGGCCATTAATTAGTGTCTACCTATATGTATTTTTGGCATTTGAAGAAGATTTTGTAAGGCCAAAGATTGATATCCCACCAATCATATTGTTAGAAAAACTTAGACTCAATGAATTGGCTCTAATCAAATTACAGGTGATCAATGTCTAAAGGGGAAGAGTCGGTTTTCCCAGAATATGGAATATGAAATTTAGGGACTCAGTGAATTGGCTCTAATTAAATTACAGGAGACCAATGTCTAAAGGGGGAAGAGTCGGTTTTCCCAGAATATGGAATATGAAATTTAGGGACATATATCCAACCTCACAAGGAAACTGAAGGTTTATATTTCTCTGAGAAAAATATCACAGAGCTTCAGATAATGGACAGGACTAGGATGAAGGGTTGCAAGATTCTTCCACCCATATCAACTACTTTAATTCAATAAAATATATCTGGGATTGCTTCTTTAAGCCTGCAATAGATTTCACAATTTTGCATTTTTAAACAGTTATTTTGTCCCCCAGATGAGATATCATGAGTCCCAATTCTTATAAAAGTATTTCTTTTTATTTCAGAGACATTTCTTTAAAAATTTAGGGGCAATTATGTCCTATGCTTTTATTGGTACAACTATATCATGTTTTGCTGTTGGGTAAGTTTAAATTATGTTCTGTCGTTCTGTCACAATGCTGTGTTTTTCTTGTGTGTATTTTACATACCGGTAGTTAAATTATGCAAATTTATCCTGGTGACAAAATGAATTTATAAAGCCATAAGATATTTCCTTTAAGCATATATTTATATAATGAGGCCATCTGTTCTATCAAAAAAAAAATATATCTATATGGAAGTATGATAGATGTAAGTGTATTTTTAACAGAAATGTATTCATTCATGCTCCTACACCCTATTACAGAATGGATGCTTGTAAAATTTAGAATGATGTATTTTAAAAGACATTGTAACAATAAAATAATGTATGGTAAATTTTAAATAACTTACAAAATGAATAATCTATCTAATTTTTTATTTTCCTCACTAGCTAATTAGATGGAAGAGAATAAATGAATTTTTGTGTTACTGGTATTCATAATAATACCATAATATGTTTCCTAATATTATTTTTCAGTGGTATAATGTTTGGATTAACTAGATTAATGTCAATAGATTTCTCTCTCAATGATTGTTTTTTCTTTGGTGCCATAATATCAGCTACTGATCCAGGTAAATATTCTTATAATGTACCAGTAAATATGAATCCCCGGTTGTACGTGGCAAGGAGTAGGGTCGCCTGTCCAACCTCGTGGGTTTTCTCCGGGTCCTCAGGTTTCCTCCCACTGCTAAAGACCCCTACGCGCAAGCGAATTATTGAAATAAAATTAAACCATATGTTAGTCCCGAAATGAACTAGTTTGTGTTGAGTGGACGTTAAACCCCATTTCTCTCTCTCTCTCTCTCACTCTCACCAGTAAATATCTGTCAAACTTTACAACAAAAAGGAGACTCTGCTTGTACATCAGTTAGGCTCAAACAACTGAAGTGGTCATTAACCTAATTGAAATTCTTTTCCACATTTTTACATTAATTAATTGATATTCAGTAATTACCGTCACTATATTCAATAGAACAGCACTATTCTGAACAATTTTAATTATGGCTTTGACAACCAAGGCATTGTTGATAGTTGTTTGTATGTCATGTTGCCTTGCTATATTACCACATTATAGTCTAATATTGCTAACATTAAGTTTGTCTTCATTTGACCTGACCTTTCATATAGCCAATAAACCGATGGAATGAAGTTAAGCAATTTGTTTAGCTAGATTGATTACAAATCTTTATTTATACAAAATAGTATGTTTAAATTTTCTTGTATTTCAGTGACTATGCTGGTTATATTATTGTTTTGTTATATTTCTATAACTATACTGGCTATATTATTATGTTTTGTTATATTTCAGTAACTATACTGGCTATATTTAATGATCTAAATGTGGATGTAGATCTATATGCTCTAGTATTTGGTGAAAGTGTATTAAATGATGCTGTAGCCATTGTCTTATCAGGGTAAATTATATTGCTTTTATCCATTTAACATTAATACTTGGAGATAAGGTTTGACCTATTGGTCTAAAACTGTGCACTGTGCAGGATTTAGGTATATTTATGTCTGACTCACTATTGGTCAGGAATAATTCTGATCAAACTTTTAAGGCCCAATATTCAAGAATCCTAATGCAGTTATGGTCATCTAAAGTTAACATTCCTTTCTATTTTAAACCACTATCTTTGTTTCTCTTTTGATTTTTAAATGACACTGCTCATATATTTTCACAGACATTGAGGCAAAGCTGGTATCTAATTTTTCAGTCTTATTTTTGTTAAATTTCACTAAAGGAAATGTTTATTGGTTTTCTACAGTGTTTCTTAATTGTTAATTAAAAGCATCAAATGATATTCTACAAAAAAAAACATTCATAATATGGATGGAAATCTTTAAATTATACTCATTTACAAATAATGTGTAAAAATTTATTTATAGGTCTGTGGAAAAATATGGAGAATTGTCTGCAGGTAGCTTTGATTCAAAAGCTTTTTTTGGTGCACTGGGCAACTTTGCTGCAATATTTACTGGAGCTTTTGCAATGGGATCTTTAATGGGTTGTATTACTGCTTTGGTATCCTTTTGTAAATCGCTTGAGGGAGTAAACTTGGAAATTTTAAATTGACTTTCACATTTGATATTCTTTACGATCATAATAGAGATGATGGTTTCTTGTGATCATTTAATATAAAAATCTCCTCTCTCAATTGAAAACCTGCGGCGCTAAGGAGATTATTTTGCATAGCCTATGTTTTATGTTATAATGGACTGTCTGTATGGATATATTTAAATTGGAACTAGCAAGATATTAATATTGATAAAGAGTGGCAATTAGGATTGTCTGGATATGTAATGGTTAGTAATAAATGTCAACAAGGAAAGTAAATCATTTAAAACATTTTATTTTGAGAACAGTTTCTTCAAGGTAATGTCAGATTAGACTGACCTGTGTGCTGAAGCTACAGTCCTTATATCTAAAATATATCTAAAGGGACTTAATGATTTTGAATTCTTTGTTTAACTTTTAAAAAGGAAGTAAATTGATACAATCATTGTTGAAATATGCATTCATATGCAAAAAGGTGTCCATAAAATTATACTAGATTATAATCAAGCGCAATCTGATTAAAATACAGATCTATATTTCGTTTCGTTTTTTTATACTTTCGATGGCCTACACTACATGAAGATCTGACAAGTTATAGCGATAGGTCACGTCAGGGGTCAAAAGACCGACTAATGACCCTATGACGTCAGACATTTGATTAACCAATCAGCATTGATGTTACTGGTGGATTACCCACAGTTCCGTGAAAAACACGCCTAAAGCTCGCTGTAACAGACCGTTTCATTGGCTTATCCCTGACACCATTCAGAACACGAGTTAAATAACAACTCTTCCAGATCCAAGTGTAGTAAAGACAAGTAAAACAAAATTTTGAACTATAAAAACGAAATGAAATAGGATCTGTGTTTTAATCAGATTGTATCAAGCGTTAAGTGTTTGATTTGCTTATGGTTTCCTATTGACATACCAATTAAAGGGAAAAAACCCTCATTCAGGTACATAGATATCAATGTAGAAAAAGTATCTGATTTTATTTTATGATCAGTAGTGGAATACCGCGTTTTATCAGTGAAATAAAAGTGTTATTCCACTGGCTAGAAGCGGACAAAGTAGTCCATGTTGTTTTTACCTAAAATGATTGTAAAATCATAAAATAAATAGAACATTTGTCGTTTTGTCATGAATAACATATTTTATTTCATCTCTAAGCAAGAAAACGTTTACATTTTCACTCATGCTATGCATTCGTGAAAATATAAGTTTTTTTGCTTGTCGATGAAATAAAATATGTTATTCACTCTAAAACGACAAATATCCTCTATGTATATAATAGTTTTTATACGCCCACATTGATTTTCAGCGATTTCCGATAATTACTGCCAGAGTTATGGCACTTGATCACTTTGAAAACTCTTGTGGACGCTCTAGAGGCCAAAGTTAATATCCGATTGACCTTAAATTTATACACAGTGTTTAAGGTCATGAGACAAGAATCCTATTGATTTTCAGCGATTTCCGATAATTACTGCCAGAGTTATTGGCCCTTGCTCACTTTGACAAATCTTGTGGACGCTCTAGAGGTCAAAGTTAATATCTGATTGACCTTTAATTTATACACAGTGTTTAAGGTCATGAGACGAAGAATCCTATTGATTTTCAACGATTTCCGATAATTACTGCCAAAGTTATGGCCCTTGATCACTTTGTGACGCTCTAAAGGCTAAAGTTATCATCCGATTGACTTCAAATTGATACGCAGAGTTTAAGATCTTGAGACGAACAAGTATATTGATTTTCAATGAATTTTTATGACTTGAACATCTAAGTCCATGATATTAAAAGTTTTGTATACAAAATGTTAGCATGTGGCAGAACTTTATAAAAACCAAACAAATTCTAATGGTTTTCTGATAATTACTTCATGAGTTGTTGCTCTTAATCAGATTTTAGTGTATTATAAATGTTTCATTACCGAAAAAAATAAAAATATGCGACAACTCTTGTTGACTGCCCGGACGATTTAGCTGCTGTGGGCGTATGTTTCGTTGCCTGGCAACCTATCTTTATAAAATTGTATTTAGTGGGATCAAGTGACTTATCTGTAAGCCACACTCCTAATCTGTTAAGTTCTTGTATGCAACAGATCATTATACCTGTTTCATTGCTTAAGTTTCTACCATTTATTCCATTAATATTTTTTTTAACCGTATGTACAGATTACTAAATTTACAAAGATTCGTGATTTTCCATTGTTAGAAACAGCTCTATTCTTTCTCATGTCATACAGCACATTTCAAGCTGCTGAAGCTGCTAGTTTCACTGGTAAGAAAAAAAAAATGAAATGGGGTTAAATGTCCTACTGTTGGGCTCCGACTGGGCTAATGAAGACGGGCATACGCCATACAATGCTATGGGTGAAGGGGGGTTAGCACTCGCGCGCTGTATCATATGGTCTGTCATTGAGTCAACTTGCAGGGTTTTGATTCCCCGGTTGTACGTGACAAGGAGTAGGGTCGCCTGTCCATCTCGTGGGTTTTCTCCGGGTCCTCCGGTTTCCTCCCACTGCTAAAGACCCCTACGCGCAATGAAATGACCTAGTTTGTGTCAAGTTGACGTTAAACCCCATTTCTCTCTCTCTCGCTATAGGTGAAATTTTGCCCGGACACAGTGCTACGGTCTACTCTTATATTGAATTCCAACTGCCAAGGGTTCTTCTATGTGCACTCCAATGTGTACACGGGACATCAGTTTTCTGTCAGGCCATCCATCCTGTACCAGTGACAAGGGAGAACCACGCCGGAAATTCCTGATGAATTTCCTCGAAATTCCTGATGAATTTCCTCGAAATTCCTGATGAATTTCCTTGGTCGACACTGGGATTGAACACTGGACCTCCGTGTTAGCTAGCCAACGCTTTCACTGAGCCACTGTGGCTCCTCACTGGTAAGAAAGTACATATGTAATTATGTACAAGGCATAAATCCAAACAATATCCTACTGGAGATAATATTCAAATACCCCAAGCCCAAAAGATCCAGAGGGGAACAGAAAAGAAAATGTTATGTTTCCTATTCAAGCTATTTGAAACTCAGTAATACTTTTCCAAAAGAATGTAAACTTTCAATTTCCACTTAAAGTTGACAGATTCCATATTATGTGAGTCCATAGCTGCCGTTAAAGTATATATATAGTTCCATTATAAATTGTGATGATCACTCGTGTAGATATTTGGCTATCCAGGCAGTTGGGGATGGCGTGGAATTTGGGGAGTAATTGATAACTATATACATAGAAATTGAATTGTATTTCTACAAAAAAGTACCACAGAATTTCACTAAAAGATATACAGACAGGATAGAGTTGCATTCACACGTACTATAATCTAAACCTGTTTAACTATTTTGACATTGTTGGTTAAAGCTTAGAGTTAATTATGCATGGGCACATGTCGTCATTTTGCCATGAAGAAAGCTTACTACACATGCCCAAAGCAAACTGGAGCTGGTGATTTTGCTCTGACATGTTCAGATGACAGAGATAATACAGTTTTTAAGAAAAGCCTTCTCGAAGACCGGTACAGCTTTTTGAACTGGTTTATTTGCCAGAAATTACCTGCTCAGCGGGGATTTTAAATTGCGTACATGTATCTGAACAGGCTATTAGAGTTTTCCACACAAAATTACCCTGTTTGATTAACTGAAATATAACTCAGATCACTCCTTTTAATAATGTACTCTAATACAGTTTTGGAAATGTGCCCTATTCAAATAAAAATATGAAGCCAAGATATTTTCTGTAATGAATATGTGATTGTTATTTTAGGTATTGTTGCAGTGTTATTCTGTGGTATAACCCAAGCTCATTATACATACAATAATTTATCTTTGGAGTCAAAGCAAAGGACAAAACAGGTAACTAAACATCAAATTTTAACTATACAGAAGTAATATATAACAAAAATGACTCTGACAGTGAAAATAATTAAGAACCTCCGATTCTTTTATACGAAAAATTTCTGCCTTGTAATTTATGCATTGATGAAGCTAAATGGTCAAATTATAAAATCTAATTGGTTGTTTCTGTAAGACAAATACTGAAACATAGTTATTCCCAGGGGTGGGGGGTCTCTCTGCCCGGGCTCATTTTGGCGTGTATCTGTGGTAAATGGAGGTCACTTTGCTAAATCACAGAAACTGGAATTGAACCTAAAAACATATGACATATCAAATACATGTACTACATTTTAATTTTACTGGGTAATAATAATCAGATGTGCACGATGTTTGACAGGACATCTTTAGCAAGCAAACAAATGGAAAAACAAAAACTGTGACCATCAGACGCCAAAATATCAAAATGAAAATGTTTTCATCACATAAACTATTCGTTTATTGTTTTTCAATACCCAACATCATGTGGAACTGGATTCAAATGGAAGGGGGTCCGGATACCCTGACGGCGATGAAAGCCTAAAGTGGAAGGAGGGTGGACCTCAAAGGAATATATCTCTCATTATTATTATTGAATGCTTAAACTTGGTTATATACAATTTATAAATATATTTTTTAATTTCAGTTATTTGAATTGGCCAACTTCTTGGCTGAAAATTTTGTGTTTTTGTATATTGGTGTGTCTGTTTTTACGTTTGAAGCATTGAAATGGCATGCTGGCTTTATATTCACAGCTATCGTATCCTTACTGAATAATGTCCTTATGGTTCCAGCCCAAATTTTTTCCACTTTGACTACAGGGACAAATTAGGTCAATGACTGTATATATAAAGTTCACGCAATGATTTATGGGAAATGTTGTCTCAATCCACCAGTTACCGATGCATTCTGCTTAATTCCAATGCACAGAAAAGGTCATTCATTCTTTAAACTAATCATAGTACATACAGATTACTCTGTATGACCTTTGAGACAGTATAAATTTATGCTATTTTTGTCCAGGCTAGTATCATATAATAATAGTCCCCTATTAATGTAATCTGAAACATCATTATTTTTACTGCTAATAGAAAGGTGCTGGGCTATAAATAGAGCATTTTATTAATCATGACTCTAATATTGACCTTTCCTCTCATTTTGATGGTCTATCACTTTTTATACGCCCACATTTTCATGTGGACATATATTGTTGTCGTCCCTGTCCGTCCGACCGTCCACAATTTGTTTGTGGACAATCTACAGGTCACAATTTTTATCACATTTTAAGGAAACTTGAAATATAGGTCTATCTCCCAAAGATCTTGGTTCCTTTTGATATTGGCATGTATCGGACCATAACTTCATGGATTATGGCCCCTGATTGTACGAAAAATCACGTTTTTAGCTTGTTGACACTCTAGAGGTCACAATTTTGATCCGAATTTGATGAAACTTGAAATGCATGTTTATAACCCAAATATCTTGTTTCCTTTCGATATTTGCGCATATCGGATCGTAACTTGCTGAATTATGGCCCGTGATTGTACGAAAAAAAGCGTTTTTAGCTTGTGGTCCCTCTAGAGGTCACAATTTTTATCTGCTTTAAACAAAAGTTTTAGTATATCACCGTTACATCCTAATGATAGTTGAGTTCGGACCAAAACTGCCGAACAAAATGGCCGCCCATTGTACGCAAATAGTGTAAAATATGGTATATCAAGGTTGTGGACCCTCTAGAGGTCACAATTTTCAACTGATTTTGATGAAACTTGGAATGCATGTTTATAACCCAAATATCTTGTTTCCTTTCTATATTTGCGCATATCGGATCATAACTTTTTAAATTATGGCCCCTGATTGTACAAAAAAACCACGTTTTTATCTTGTGGTCCCTATAGAGGTCACAATTTTTATCCGCTTTAAACAAACGTTTTAGTATATCAGCGTTACACCCTAATGATAGTTGAGTTCAAATTTCGTGAAAATCGGACCAAAACTGCCGGACAAAATGGCCGCCCATTGTACGCCAATAGTGTAAAATAATATGGTATATCAAGGTTGTGGACCCTCTAGAGGTCACAATTTTCATCCGATTTTGATGAAACTTAAATTTATGTTCCCAGAAAAGTATTTATAGGGTGGTTATTTCCCAAAAAAGTATGGCAATTTTGATATATATGGAAAGAAGAAATATCCAATCTTACTTGGAAAATAATGGATTCCCTGAAGCGCATACAGGACAAAAATGTAAGGGTTTCCCTAATCGACAGTCTGACGATTAGGATTGTCTGCACACAGAGATTGAGCACTTGATGTACATTTTGATAGACTTTATGAAGAGTTAGACGTACAACACTTTCTGAGATAAAAATCACGGAAAAAGACGTGGGCAGTGGATAATCCGAGAATTTAATTAGGCTTCGATATTTATGATAAATAGATAGCAATTATGCCATGAATCCTTCTCCGACTTTGCACCCGTTGCCAGGTAGTTTGTCAGTGAAGTCACGTGACACAAACATAATCTCTTTTAAGAGATTTTTTTATAGCAGGGTATTCCCTCGTGTAAACAGTGTTTTGAGAAGGATTTGAAGCAAAATTATGATAGATTAATTGGTTTGAATATGTTTTTAGTCCTAATACATCATCAAATCACCCAGTTTGTACACAGGAACGTATCGTTAAAACATATCTTTGTGTTCCAAAAATCTGAGTCCTTTTGATATTTGCGCATTTCAGACCATAACTTTGGATGCAGCTATGGCGGGTGTGGCACCAGGCAGGATAAGCTTACTCTTCCGGACACCTGTTACCACTGCTTGTCGTGTATTTTGTACACGGTGAACAGTCCATTTGCTGATTACACTATTTTGCCTATACTGTTTTTTTAGGACTTCGAATTTTGTCTAATGGTTTGGATTGTTCGTACTTGGTTTTATTTTATTTCTGGATTATGGTCCCTGATTGTACAAAAAATCATTTTTGTTTTTAGCTTCTTCTCTATCCATCTCTTGCAAAATGTGGACATATCCTGCCTGGCAGCCACTGGTTCTTAGTATACAAATATTTGTTCTGATCACTGAGTTATTGTTTGTGAATTGTCCCGGGTTCGAATCTGAGTACTCATTGACGTGCACATAAAAGAACCCTTGACAGTTGGAATTTGAAGAAGTCTAGAAGAGTACAGAAAGACTGCTGTCCTGGCAAAATTCTCCTCCTGGCACTGAACACATAACCATTGAAGTGAAAATTGCCATGTTTGTCTCAAATTAACTGATGTAGTAATGTAATACATTTATGATTCCTTACCGTGTCCTAGTTGGGTATTATTGTAGGAAGATTCTTGAATGTTTATCCTGTATCATTTCTACTCAATCTGGGCAGAAGTAATAAAATTAAATTCAATTTTCAGCATATGATGATGTTTTCAGGTATGTCAAGTCATGGTGGCAAATTATATTTGTTGTCTCACCCGATAGAGTGACCTAAGATTTCATGTTGTAAAGTATTTCCCTGAGAATGATTTTGTCAAAGTTAAGGATGGATTGGGTAGTAAAAGGTTTATCTAAGGTTACAATTAATAAAGGACATTGCTAACTAAAGTGACGCATAACACGAACAGTATGAAAATCACTAAACAATGTAAAATTATTCTACAATATGTTGAATTGATATTAAATCATTGATGACCGGGAGAACCTCGAAGTAAGGATCAAAATTTTGGAAAAAAAAAAAAAACGGAAGTGGGACACAGGAAACCAGTTAACACTGCTGGTAGTCGACCTATTGTTGCTGGTATCTTATTTTCCATGATTTTCGGTTTTGATTTTGAAAAGTTGACAATTTGCAACCGTTTATAATCACAATTCCGCAATTAGCTCTGTATTAAAATTGTCAGGGGTGGACTGGCTAGCTCTGGACCCACAGACCAACTTATTTCATCATCTCGTTATTGGGGTGGCGTCAGTTCTTAGTGCTACTCCTCCCTCATTAGGGAACAGAATCAAATGAAACTTGGCATATACCCTTTGTAAGGAATACCACTCCCTTTTGAGGCTTTATTTTCTGTACTTGTAGGTCGTTTAGCCCCTCCCCCGCCCCCCAATAGTGCCCTAGGTTCGGTCTGCCTACCCTCCGTTGGAGGCCCCAGCACGGCTCTGGTTTATAGTGTTATATTTTCAAACCATTTATGCCACCCTGGAAGCGAGGGCCTTGTAGGGTAATCTGTCATTGGTTAAGTACTAGCAATTTGTTTAACTTTAATCTGGTTTCACACCACTCTTTGCAAGCACTGAAGGGTTATTTTGTTTCGTTTAAAAATCGTGGCAAATAAGTACATTTTTACAAACCGACAACCACAAAGCTTTTCATACAAACTAATTGTAATTAATTTTGAATTTAGGATCATTACTTTGTATTACATTAGATCTCAATAAACATAAAGTTTGTGTTTTATTATTAAGGATTAAGAGGAGCCATAGCGTTTGCTTTAGCTATAAGGAATACATCTTCTGATTCCCGTCAGTATATGGTATCAGCTACAGTGATAATAGTATTGTCTACTGTGATATGTTGTGGAGGTTTAACTACTCCTATGTTACAATGGTTACAAATCAGGTAAGATTAAGCTTGTTTAATCATTTGATATGGAAGTATGGTACCCTTAAAAGAAATTTTGACGCAATATAGCCCTATCGGTGCAGACATGCTATTTAACACCATTTATTTATTTCTTTTACAAGTCTCCAGATTACCTTGCCTATTAATACTATTTCTAATCTTATCGTTCACTTAATCTCCTAAATGGTCCGAGCTTCCACTAGATCCCCCCCCCATGAATTAATTTGGACCTTAGTGGAGATGTCTTAAAAGTAAACTAACTTTAAACTGTTTAAAACTATGTTAGGCTTCTTCAAAAAATATAAACAAGTTACATCTCAGAATTTTTGTTTAGGTTGGAATATATATTTATATTCTGGAGATTTTCAGGTAGTATTGTGATGTTATTACATATATATTTATTGACATGAAATGAAATGGGTTTAACATTCTACTGTTCTGCTCCGACTGGGCTAATGAAGACGTGCATACACGCCATACAGTATGCTATGAGGGAAATTTTGACCAGACAGCGGAACTACGTTCTAGTCTTATATTGAATTCCAACTGACAAGGGTTCTTTTACATGCACACCAGGGATCTTAATCGGCTGTTTTTTGTCGGCTTTAGCCGATTGATCTTTAATCTAGCCGATTGGTAAAACAATAAACCGGCCACTAAGGTATCACAAATCAATCTACTTTCGGCTGATTTACAAAGAATTAATTATCAGGCCAATTGGTAAAACAATGAACCGGCTACTATCATAAATCAATCTACTTTCGGCCGATTACAAAGAGTTAATTATTACTCGTCAATTAAGAAACCCATCAAAGAGTCAATCATTACAATGAATACCTTCGGCTTATTTCATAAATACACAACTTAATTACTTGAAGTACTTGAACACCTCGCAGAATGACACCAGGAAACGTAAACAAGATTTAACTGAAGAGATGGCGGCGTTGACCTTGAACTTCAAGCATGCAAGTCATCAATGGAAATTCCAAAAGCCGGAGATCCTCCCACGTCCAATATAGGTCAACCAAATTATCGGCAATAAAATACCATATTAATCTGACGATCATACCTACGTAGCAAAGAAAGACGATGGCAGAACAAAGAGTTTAATTCCTAAATCTATAGAAATTATTTCAAATCGGACGTTAATCCGAAATGCGTATTTCATAGCAAAAAGAAACATTGCCATCGAAAATTATGATTATGAACAATAATTGAACGATTTGACAGAACGGGACATGAAATGACAAAAAAATTATATCGTGAATTTTTTGTGTGGTGAATTTATTTCTTTAATATTCAGTGAAATTGAGGAAGAGATCCTCTCAGATATCCAAACGAGTCCTGCTGCGTATACTGGTAACACTAAAAATAAACTAACCTGAATCACGACAATTGGCCAAGTGACCTTTTGTACGTACAGCATATTTCCGAGTTCTGACTACACGGAAACAGATTTTTGCTACTTTGTTATTTATATACTTTTTTTATTTTTATATATATTAACATGTGCTTACAAATAATATAATTTAAAAAAAAACATTTGTATGTACTTGTAGTTTTTACTAATTTATAACTTCCGTTTAGTTGGATGAAAGCAAAAGTAGGAATATGCAATGCAAGTTGCTGAAATAATAATGACTATAAATGTCGATAATATAGCGATGTATGGATACAAGTATGCAATTATAAAGGTCCTGTTTATTCGGAGTTTCAGCTATTATTATCCCGAATACGTTATGCAATTAGTGAATTATGCAATTACTGTTGTGAATAGAGTATGAATAAACCAACAAGTTTGTTGTTGAAAAGACGACTATCCGTTAGGCCTACCCGTGGCCGGTTCATTTCAAAATGGATTAAGAACCCTTATGCACACTAATATGTACACAGGAGCTCGGTTTTCAGTACCATCCAAACGACTATCTGCTGTCCATTGCCAGGCCCTTCGTCCTGCACCACTGACAAGAGGGAACCACGACGGAAAAACCTAATGAACTTTCTCGGTCAACACAGTGATCAAACACGTGACCTCCAGGTTAGCCAGCCAACATCTTACGCACTGAGCCATCATGGTTTCCTATTACATGTGTGGCTAAGTAAGGCGCTGGCTCAAGTCTAGAGGCCGCAGGTTCGATCCCGGTATTGGCCGAGAAAGTTCAATGGGATTTTCCGGCGTGGTTTCTCCTTGTCAGTGGTGCAGGACAGAGGAGCTGACAAGAACAGCTGTCTATTTGTTCGGATGGGATGAAAAACCAAGGTCCAGTGTACACATTCCCGTGCACATAAAAGATACCTTGGCAGTTGGAATTCGATATAAGAGCAGAACAGTAGAACGTTAAAACCCATTTCATTTCCTATTACATGTATGTATATTATGATCTTGTTGTTGTGTATATTATAATATTGTATATTATAGGGTTGGTGTAGATGAAGAATTAGATACTATACAGACTGCAGAAAATACTAGATCTGTTAGTCAGGTGAGATTTTCATTTATAAACATCAGGTAGTTTCAGTAGGCTTATATAATAGATAATTCATAGGTTTGATAAGGCCACACAAAAAAATATTCTGCTTCTCAGACAATCCTTTTAAAAAAAATTGATGCGGAAGCACGGTTTTTGTTTTTTTGTTTTTATTTTGTTCAGATCTAGATCTAGCTAGTTTTTTTCATTTTTAAGAAACACACAAAACTATTTTGAATTTGATAATTATTCAACTCTTAAACCAAAAAAAAAAAAGGTTCTGTTTCCTGTAACGGATGGAAAATAGGGGGTTTTTTTTATTTATTTTTTTTTTAAATATTAGATCTAGTAGATCTACCGTAATCTTCAATTTTGTGTTATGTTGAGTCGGCGCCGTGAAACATGAAGCGCTAATAGATTGGTAGATGGAGTTCTTGGATAATTGTTTAAAGTGTATCAGAGGCTAGATTATGATTTGAATATTCTCTTTGGGGGCAAATGAACGTTTTAATCATTCTATGCTGAAAAAAAATAGTGTAGGGGGGCGATTTTGTTCAAGGAAAGAACTCGCCATAAAAACTTAAAAAATCATATCAAGTCATCGCACGAAATAGGTCTGTAATAAATTTATTTGTCTTGTTTTAAATACCAATAGAGCAGATCGTATCCACCTGTTTGATATATATTTTCACTTAATAGAACGAAAGTTGTGAGGATTATAGCTTTTCGAAATGTGCAGTGGTAAATCTGTACTTAACCTGTAGTTTCGATTTTCACATTAGTCAGCAATGTCGCGTCAACACTATGGCAGTTCTTAATAATCGTTTGCTGTACCTGCCTATTCCGATGGTAAATGCAGATTCAAAGAACAATGACATTTATAATCATTTATAACAACAAATAATATAGACATTTTCACGAATCCGGTAGACTTGGAGTATTCTGAATGGTCGCTCAGTGAACAAAAAAGTTTTTATTTCTCTTGAAATGGATCGGTAGGGTTACCGGAAACAGAACATATTTTTTTTGGCCTTAATAAGAAAATCTAAATATTAGTAAGAATTTGAAATATCCGCCGGAAAATTCTGTGACTTCATCTATCTACATTAACTCCTGGGAAAATGTTTTCAAATCCACCGGTTTTTATTTTGGCGATGGTGACCATTACGTGGTATTGTACCGTAGTCATTGTTAAAGTATGGATTTTGCTGGCAATTTAAATCTAAGTCTGTGCCATCAATCTCCCCCACGGAGAATATTTTCAATCATCTCTCTCACAGTCATATTTCTTGGAAAAGATCAGACATTTAGATCGTAAAAAAGCCAGATTGACAGCAAAATTGTCACCATTCAATTGTCACCATCTTTCCAAATGATAAATTAACATTTGATTATTCACTGCCGTTTGTGATTGTCACGTACTTGATGGTTACGTACTTGATAGCCAAGTCTAGTATTTATTTCCTGTTGTCAAGGAACGTTCAGTTTAACTACCTTTAATCGCAGGAAATATGAATGAGCGAAAATTATTGACTTTGTTTAAATTTTAAATTTTTATTTTCTTAAAAAAAAAAAAACGTGTGATGCGGCCCATTATTGATAATGCGCCGGTATCAGAGAACCAGAATAATTGCTTTGTGTGGTTTAAGGATAACAAATACTCAGTTTTCTAACGGATCATGCAAGATGCTGTAATTATTGTCTATTTAGACTATAGAATTAGGTGTGCAATCACCATTAAAACTGTTCTGAAATAGTGTCCTATTAATATACATTGACGTTAGAAAGTTCACAGCTGTAAGATATATATGTGTATTTCTTCATCCAGTTGCTTTCATTGTGCTCCTCTACAACTATTCAAAACTTAGTAATTAGCGCTTGCGCAACTTTTCTAAACTAGGTGTCAGGGTGTCTGTTCAGGGAGAAGTTTCTTCCCAATATGAAGCTTAGCGCCTTTCATAAACTTGCCTTATACCAAATTCTTTCATACCATATTATACCATATTCCGCATACATGTATTATTGTAAGGGGTTTGCCTGGCACAGAATTAAGATGAAATTAAACAGGGAGTTTACAAAAACAAAATTGTCCATGGAAAGAAAAATTCCGGTTGTCAGATTTGTCACTCAAAAAAATCCTGATTTGGGAGGGATGTTATTATTGTATAATTTCGGCCATTTCTTTCTCATTACTGGATAATAATTATCATCCAAAATTAGAATGGACATTAAAAAATTAGCAGACAAATTGATGGTTGCCATTTCATAATAACAATGAGTTAATTTACGAATGTTCAGTGCCATTTATGATTGTCAATAACATTTATTTTAACCCTAGTCCAGAATTCTTGATACACAAATTTTCCTTATGCATTTTACTTTCCGTACTGTGTGCAAATGGAAATTTTTAATAGTTATCTCCCTTTAATGTGAAAAATATGAATGTGCAAATAATCAACGGGGAATAAAAACAGGTCATGCAGCCTTTTTATAAGCCCACATATTCATGTGAACGTATATTGTCGTCGCCCCTGTCTGTCTGTCCATCCACAATTGTTTGTGAACAGGTCACATTTTTTATCCGATTTCAATAAAACTTGAAATAAAGGTTTATGACCCTAAGATCTCTGTTCCTTTCGATATTGGCATGTATCGGACTGTAACTTCAAGGATTATGGCCTCTGATTGTACGAAAAATCACGTTTTTAGCTTGTGAACGCCGTAGAGGTCACAATTTTTATCCGATTTGGTTTAAACTTGAAATATATGTTTATAACCCAGAGATCTCGATTCCTTTCGATATTCTTGAGATCGGACCATAACTTCCTGAATTATGGCCCCTGATTGTACGATAAATCACGTTTTTAGCTTGTGGACCCTATAGAGGTCACAATTTTTTAACCGATTTCAAAAAACATTTGAATATATCACCGTTACACCCTAAGGATGGTTGAGTTTGAATTTCGTAAAAATCGGACCGAAACTGACAGACAAAATGGCCGCCCCTCGTTCGCAAATTGTGTCAAAATATTTTGATGAACCTTGAAATACATGTTTATAACCCAAAGATCTCGGTTCCTTTCAATAATCGCGCATATCGGATCGTAACTTCCTGAATTATGGCCTCTGATTGTACGAAAAATTGTATTTTTAGCTTGTGGTGCCTCTAGAGGTCACAATTATTATCCAATTTAAAAAAACGTTCGAATATATCAACATTACACCGTAATGTGTGATGAGTTCAAACTTCTTGAAAACCGGGCCAAAACTGCCGGACAAAATGGCTGCCCCTCGTAACAATCAGGTATATCAAGATTGTGGACGTCCTAGAGGTCACAATTTTGATCTGATTTTGATGAAACTTGAAATGCATGTTTATAACCCAAAGATCTTGGTTCCTCTTGATATTCGCGCATATCGGATCGTTACTTATTGAATTATGGCCCTTGATTGTACAAAAAATCACGTTTTGAGCTTGCAGATTCTCTGGAGGTCACAATTTTTTTCCGATTTTAAAAAACGTTTAAATGCATCACCATTCCACCTTAATGAAGGTTGAATTCAAATTTCGGGAAAATTGAAATGAAACTGCCTAACAAAATTTCCGCTCTTTGTACGCAAATTGTGTAGAAGTGTGTAATACGAAGGTTGTGGACCCTCTAGAGATCGCAAGTTTTATCCGATTTTGATGAAACTTAAAACATATCTTTATATCATAAAGATCTCAGTTCTTTTTCATATTTGCACATTTCAAGCCATAACTTTCTGGATTATTGCCCCTGATTGTACAAAAAACCGTGTTAGTTTTTAGCTTGTTCTCTATCCATCTCTTGTAAAATGTGGGCGTATCCTGCCTGGCAGCCGCTGGTTTGTCACACACAGCAGTATCTGAGAACCAGAATATGTCTCTTTTATGACCTTATTTAAGTTAAGTTAATTATTGTTCATATGGGGTTAAAACAAACTAGAAGGAGGGGGAATGGGAATGACCAACTGGCTTCCCCCCTAAATATGTCACTGCTTCAATGTATACTCTATTCTTGTAAATGGTGTTCTGTCTGTGTCTAGTGTCACTTTTGTGTGTGCTGCGCGTTTGACGATCCAGGTGATGTATTTGAGATCGTGAGTATAGTAAGCCCTGATTGACAGAATGATATCACTATCAGTACACACCACCTCTTATACTACTGCATTCCTTTAAATACTATATCTTTTTGGTAAGTATTACGAATGATCAAATATAAATATCCCTGATACTACTAATAACTAAGAAAGTATTCCTTGAAATCCTTCAGGTTAATAAATAGCAATTTTTTTCATCTTATAAATATTTAAAAAAAAACCCAGTATTGATTTGACTTGATCAGATGAGTGAGAAATGAGTTGACCTTTGCTCCTTGAAAACATTAGTTATGCTGATGACTGCCAGATATCTGGATAATTCGAATTTCTGTACTTGTTTTTAATTTAGCATTTACATTAATCAGTAATTGTATAGTTTATTCTATTTAGATTATACATTGTGCATATGGTACAGTATTGTATCACATGATGCAATTAACTAAAATCTTATTTTACTAAAGGGTGGTGGGATATTTGCTATTTTCTCGAAAAGATTACCGGTAATTAAGGGAAGAGTGAGGCATTAAATCTGCTGATAAACAAAAGCCGAAGCTCCCTTCCAACTCATTTGATAATTTTGAAATGATCTGTTGAGTAGCTTTGAATTGAAACATAGACGTTGTTATAATGGAATATATTGAGGAATAGTCTCAATATATATGTTTATTCGGTTTTCTTGGCATGGATATTAAATAAATCAAGTAGTATATTTTGGCACACAGTCTTATTAAATTACACTTGCTTAGATCAGACTCCAAAAATAACAGATATCTGATAAGGAAGTAGTTAGATCTTCAAAATATATGAATAGGAAGGAAATAAAAAACTTAAGATTGTTTTATTATACACAAGATCCTTTTAAGTAAAAACTGTTCTGTAGTTGATTCGATAGCCAAAAGCACAAAATTGTTGAAAAACTGGCACGCAGAATTAATACATTAGTGCAAGGATTGGAATTCTTGCATTAAAAGATATCCAGAGCTTTTTTGTAGGATAATTTTCTGAAAAGAATCTTTCTACACAGTTATTGTTCCCCGCCTTTCGAAGAAAGCATGCGACTATTAAAATGGTTCGTCCGTCTGTCTGTTGGTCACACTTTTTGGGACACAATAACTCTCTTTCTAATTGAGTTAGAATGTTCAAACTTGATGTAGGTGTTTATTAGGTCAATGCCTTGATGGAGTTCGAAGATGAGAATTTTCTGCGTTGGGTAAGCAGTGATAAGCAATTTGATTGGTTGATGCTTTGGGACACGATAACTTTAGTTCTAATTAAGTGAGAGAGAGATGAAACTTGGTTTATAGTTTCATTACATCAATACCTTGACTAAGTTCGATAATGAGCATTTTCTGCTCAGGGTAAGCAGAGCAATAAGCAATTTGATTGGCTGAGATTTTGGAACAGAATAACTCTCCTTCTAATTGAGCTAGAATGTTCAATTTTGGTGTATGTGTTTATTAGGTCAATGACTTGATGGAGTTCGAAGATGGGCATTTTCTGCTTAGTGTAAGCAGAGATAAACAATTTGATTGGTTGATGCTTTGGGACACGATAACTTTAGTTCTAATTAAGTGAGAGTGAGGACACTTGGTGTATAGCTTTCTTTACATCAATACCTTGACTAAGTTCGATAATGAGTATTTTCTGCTGAGGGTAAACAGAGCGATAAGCAATTTGATTGGTCGAGACTTTGGAACACAATAACTCTCCTTCTAATTGAGGTAGAATGTTTAAACTTGGTGTAGGCGTTCATTAGGTGAATATTGTCTGCTTACGGAAAGCAGAGATGAGCAATCTGATTTTGTGATGCTTTGTGGCATGATAACTTTGGTTATAATTAAGTGGGAGCGATGAAACTCCGAATATAGATTCACTATATCATTACCTTGACTAAGTTCGATGGTGAGAATTTTCTGCTTAGACTAAGGAGAGATTAGCAATTTGATTGGTCAAGACTTTGGAACATATCAACTCTGCTTTTAATTGAGGTACAATGTTTAAACTTGATGTAGATGTTCATTAGGTGAATGTCTTGACTGGGTTCAATGATTAACATTTCGAACTGAAGCTAAGCAGAGCTAATCAATTTCATTGGTCGATGCTTTGGGACAAGAAAATCTTGATTCTATCTGATAGAGAGTGATGAAACTTAGTGTGTAGTTTTATTGCTCGATACTTTTGAAAAAAACTAAATGTGTGATTAATCTATATGTGTCATCTATTTATTTTGGGATTTCGGCCGGGGACATCAGCCTCACTGTTGGCTTGTTGTTATTATTATCCTTTTGTTATCTAATTAAGTTTTATTTACTAACATCTACCAGGCTATATCTACACAGAGACAATACAGCACCATGGGTCCTTCCGACCAAGCAGCAGCTCCGACACAAAACCAACCGGTTTGTCCACCAATCATCAAGCACTTTTTTTTTTGTTGCACTGCATCCTTTCTCTATTTAGTTTGATGTGTGTTTGCAGTTATTTTGTCTTGTGGCTGTTCTATAAGACGTTTGGTGGTTACACAATCTATCATATTTTAGAGGTTACAGACTGGGTACTTATCTGCTTGTCCTGGCAAGTACAAACTCCCCTTGAGGACAAGTAGATTCCAATTTTGACTGTTTGCATATTTCACCAAACATAATTGATAAGAAATTGCAATCAAAATTTGAAAAATTGAATATAAATCACTTTATATACAATCACCTTCCATTAATGTGTGCTTTTAGACCCAGTTTCGTGTTTGTTAATGTTCCAAAAGAATAGAACTATGCACACTTTAATGCATAACCATAGCATAAAAAAAAAATACAAATTACCAGGAAAAATATATTTTTTTGTAAAAATGTTACATCTTAAAGCAGCTCTAATTATGTATGACCCATTTATGCTCTTGGGAACATATTTTTGAAAGATACAAACTCTTATCTATTGTGACAGGCCAATTAAAAGAGATAATGCGAGAAGCCAAGCACTTATTTTTGCATTCTACTATTAAACAAAGGAACATGTCACTCTTGATCAAGATAATGGGGAAATGTTTGATTTCAACTCATAACATTGGAAATTTAGAAAATTTCCCAGCCTGGGTTATAATAATATGTGCAATAACTATCACTATGCAGTGTTGTTTTCTACAAAGCTTTCTTGTTTGTAACTTTGAAAATAAAATCCAATCTAAACCAGTATTGCAAAGAACAAAAAAGACAGATTTGTCCTATTGAAAGGTTAAATGAATTGACAAATGGACTTGAAAGGAAGCGTGTGATAAAATATGAAGATACCCAATGCAAAGCTGATCAATTGTAGATATAGGTGTATCTGTCAATGACAATTTTAACATTGAAACGACTTAGATTTGAAATTTTTATTTAAGAAATTGAGTTGCTAACATTTCAAACCTTATGACAAAATACAATCATTAAATACTGTTTTGACAATGCTGGACAATGGACGGAAGAAGACAGGACCTGACCAGACAAAAATCCTAAAAACCCATGAAGGTTGTATCAGATCTGTCATCAATAAAATACGGTAGATTGTGTACAATGTTTAGTTAACAAAAAGGTTTGTGTAGGAATTAAAACAAGTTATATTTATTATGAAGTTTATTATACAAGTTTGTTGTATACTGTTTATTTCAGACGGAACTAGAAGATGTACCCCCCGGTTCCCCTTTATTAAATCAGGTACTTACACCTAGATACAAACACACTTTATGAATAAAACTTGACATGTACATGGTACAGTTTCAGATCTTGGATTCATTCTAATGAAAATATTAAATATGAAAACAAAGTAAACCGGAAATGTGCTTAAAAGTATGAAATTTTTCCTTAGAGTAATCCAAATTGTTTCGAAAAATAATATGCATGAAATCTGTCTTCAACTTTTATGCAATTAACCTTTTGTTAAATTTATTTTGTGGCCTCTGTTTTTTAATTTAATTTCAAAATTTAAGTGATCATAAGTTAGCATGTTTTAATGGAGTGGTTTTTTGTATTTTCAAATTGTTAATTTGTGCATAAATGTCCCCCCACCAATCACCATTACTTTTGAAATGGCTAAATAAGTTCATAAACTTATACATTGGAAAGCACATTTTCAATGCTTTAAGGAAATGGTTCACTAATATTCTGCTTCCATTTAGATGGTCCTTACTATATTATCTTTATAGTCTGGAATAACTTCTAGTGTTGACAATTAGATACAGTGGTCAAGTAGGTTCCAACTAGACACTTAACAACTACTTTAAACTTCAAATGGTGATAACTTAAGTTGGAATTACAGGCCTTCACGTCAATATATTCCCGGAAAATAAAAACAGGTCTCCTGAAATTGGAATAAGGATAAATCGCTCTCCTAAATTTCTTGAGGAGAGCTTTTTTAGCATTTGTGATAAGAACAGGGATTTTAATCCATTTTGAAACCAACTGGCCAGAATTGAGTCAAATGACACTTATGAGGCTCCGGTAGCAAATAGGGTAATTAGAAGCTCCTGTTCACTTTAATATACTAAACAGCAAAAAAAATCGTCAGGCAGACACTTTAATCAAATCTTTCTAGAAAAATACTTACTAAATGGATCAAAACAATTTTTTGTGAACAGTATGTTGACACATTAGTGATTAATTCATCACAATTCCAAGACATTACGAGAAGGTTTAGAGTCTGTACACAGTCTGTACACAGTCTATACATCAGTACCTGGGGTGTCCACCGCGAGTGTCAATAACAGCAGTGCAGCGTCTGTACATGGAGTGGCCCAGACGTTTGATGAATGCCATTGGCACCTGACATTATTAAGTCTCCTCAGAATTTCATCCCAAAGATGTTCAATCGGGTTTAAGTCCGGACTAAGAGCTGGCCAGTGCATAACATTTACACTGTTCTGCTGTAGAAAGTCCCGAGTAACTCTGGCGGTGTGGGCACGGGCGTTGTCATGCTGGAAAACGTTTCGATGACGTGCGATTTGTGGTAGGATGTGGGGTCTGAGAGCTTGATCGATGTAGCGCACTACTGTGATGCCGCCTCCTCTCCCTGGACCAAGATTTTGGAACACCACAGGACCCACTCTCTGGTTCAGGCTGATTCCACCCCAAACCATTAAGCTTGGAACTTCCCATGAGTCTCGTTCCGTGACACATTGGTCAGAATAATGCTGGCCACGTCAACGCCATATTCTGGTCCTGCCATCTGCAGTTGATACGCAATACTGACTCTCATCTGTGAACAGACACAGTTCTCCATTGCCTGTGTAGCCAGTTCTGGTGTTGTTGGACAAACTGTAGACGTTCATGTCGATGGCGAGGGGTGAGTTTCAGTCCATGGTAAGGTCTAGGGCGGCGCACTGTATCGGTTCTGATAGGTCTTCCGTGTGTTCCCACTGCCTGACGTGATGTCTCAGATGCCTGTGTGAAGGGATTCTGCACGTGCTGTCACACAACATGGCGGTCTTGTTGCCTTGTGGTAACCCTTGGTCTACCAGTTCGGGGCCGATCATCCGTGGTGTTTTGCTGGCCTGAAAGCGTTGAGCCTGTAGATGGTCCAAACATTGACCTGGAAGCAGAGGTTCTACTCCACTAACCCCTGGGTTAAACATGCATTATGCAAGAGCTAAATCTGATTATTGCAAGTCTTAATTTAGGCTTCAGATGTTATAGAAATTATAAATTAGATCTTTATTTAAACAACAAGACCAAAATCAACTCTGTAGACCCACGGATGGCTCGGCTACAGCTCGGATTTAAATAGGATTTCACTAATTGATTAAATCAAATAAGGGATAACATGATGAAAATACGTCAGTTAGATCGAGGCTAAATGATCAGAGAAGGTGAAGACACAATTCGCTACCATTTCTAGGCAAATATTACAACGATGATAACTATGTTCAGAATAAAGTAATTTGACTGAATTTTTCAATATATTCTTCTTTCATCATCTACTTTTGAACTGTTATAGCAAGAATGGCCAACTCTCTATAAAAATCTCCCATAATGTATCTTTAATCTATGGGGGAGACACGTTTTCAAGTTATCCGCCCTTGATAATTGTGCTATTTTTATCGACCAATCGCATAAATCATTAATTGAAAAGGAAGTTCGCAATAGGAAGTAACTCTCATCGAACAAGGTTAGGAGTTGGCCTAAATGAGAGAAGTCCAAATTATTCGAAATGCATATTTATTAACAACAAATTATATAATATTATATTAATGAAGACCAGACTTTTATGTAGGTTCAAGAGTTTTAATGAGAATCGTTCGTTCGCAGAGTTTTTTGTCCAAGTGATATTGTAGAAATGTTAGTGTGAATCAAATTGCCAGGTTTTAGTTCAATAATAATAAACATAACGGAATGAAACATTTCAGACAAAAAACGAAAAGTAATGATAATAACAAAAGTCAACGATATAGATGTTATACATATTTGCAATCAGCGAAACATACTACAGATTTTGATAATACAATTAAATATAAATGAATTAGAAATATATACATTATTTACATAAATCATTCAGTAAATGGACATGAATATTTTTGGTAATTTGTTATGTAGAGTGTCGTATTCTGAATAGGGTAATATTTGCTTTGAAGTTCAAGTCGGTAATATTCCTGAATAAATTACTGACTTCGTTTATTCGATGGATAAACGGATATCATCAGTCGATCGAAATTAAGATTTTTCTACTACGACCAGTATTAGAAAATGCTGTAACCAAAATAAACTGATACCATACCATGGCATTTCTTCATATTTAAAACACAAATTATTGTTTTTGTCTATCACGTAACTTAGAGTTTTTAATCATTCGTGGATGATAGACAAGCGGCACAATGATCACGTGACAACCATAATTGAAGTTACTTTATATAAAATAAAATTCTGTACGACTATACCATAGGAATAAAACTAAAACACTATTTAAGCTAAATCTAGCGATGCTGGTTTATTGACCTAATTTCAACCGATGCATGTCATGTGTTATCAGGAGTCAGAAAGCATGGAGATCCTAACGGAAAAATATATTATTAATGTCTGTTTCTCGGGATATCCGGTGTTCTATCAGGGATTATTCAATGACTATTTAAATTTAACTAACAACGGGTTAGTGAAACCATAAAATGTACACTCCAATTATTATTTTAATATCTACCTGGAATTGGAACGGATCGAGCGGCGAAGATGGCACGAATCCCGAGATTCGCAATCCATGTTGAGCTAGATGTCATCATTCGCTCCATGGTTTATTTTTACAAAAGAAACTTACTGGAGCTGTTATGAATAACCAGCAAGCTTGTTTTTTGGGGGTTTTTTTTAACAGAATTACCAAAATTACTGTTAAATGTGCTAATTACACGGATTATGGACCAGATGGGCGATTCTCACCAAGGTATGACTGTTATTGTAGCCGACAAGCGAGTTGATTGTCGATATTGACAATATTTTTCGTTACCTCTTATGTGAAGGCCTGGAATTAATCAATATTATATGAAAAGTTTCTGGGCCAGTACTTGTAATTATGTATGGTTTAGTAACTTTAGTTCACTTTTTATCGGACTTTAACTCTTTCATATTTTATCAGCTTGATTACATTTCATTTTTTTTGTCCAGTGCTTATTAGATTTTAAATCCAATATTATTTTGACATAAAGCAAATAGTTACCCTCTATTTACATAGGGGTATAAATACACAATTGCATACTAAATAATCTTATCTGTCAAGTTACTCATCTTTTCAACAATTTCATGTAATAAAATATCTACATGTGTTATACTGAAATAATTTTAACCTTTTTTTGTGATGAAATAGGAAATCTTTAATTTGTTTTTTGTTTCATTCCTTCAATATTCCATATATTATATTTTACTGGTGATAGTTTTATTTATCTTATGACATCTTGTTGCTTGTGTACTGTAAACAGCCAATGAATAAAACATTTGAATTTCCAATGAAACAAACATAGTCCAGTGAACTTAATCTGAATTATATCTTATATAAAAATATCTTAAATACAGAAATATAGATAAAATATTAATTAGATTGTTGAAATACTAAATAAATAAGTCAAAACATATTTATTGATTTATAAGTCATTTATTAAATTTAGATGGGCAATTTTGTGTGTGGGAAGTGGGGGAGGGGGTATTGTCAGGTATTCAATTTACCAAACGTCTAATAGACAGCCTGTGTGTAGTGTGGTAAATATGTGGTTCTTTTTTCTTCAGTTTTTGCTTGGGTTATGCATGCTATATCACTTTTTATAGCTGGACTTATTTCTATATTATTTTATGGTTTTATTCTTATGTTTCATACTTATTTTTTACCTTTCCTTTTTTTTTTTTTTTACCTTTCCCCATCTTATAACTATCATTTGTCTTACTGACAATTACTGCTCATTTCTTCTTGTATTTTTTCGTAATGTCATTATATATTTTAAGGGCTCACATGTTTATTTTAAAGAAAATGTAAAAAATGTTTTTGTTTTTTTTTTGTTGAATTATTTCAATTTTGAAAGTATAATTCACAAAAAAACAATGACAATGTTTTGCGTTAATAGCTTACATTAACATTTCAATATTTTTTTGTATAAAAAAAAAAATTCACACATGATTGTGTTTTGTAATGACAAACATTTCTGGAGTCAGTAGCGGGCCAATGATGTACCTTTAAGCAAATATATTCCATTAATTATAATAAAACACTTCTAAATATTTGAATAGATAGTAGTAAGTGTGGGATTTGATGTGAATATTTTGATTAGATTTCTATCTCTAGATTAGCATGCAGGTTGGCTAAAGTTTATATATATTTTATTTATCTATTTAGTAATTTTTTTTGAATAGTTTATATTGTATATACACTGCTTCTCGATTAGGATTTTAAAAAAGATATTGTGTAACTAATGTTTTATAAGCACATACATAAATAATTTTGCGTATATTTTTTCTAGATTTCAAATGTATATCATTATATATCACAGAATCTTTTTGAACACTTAATGATTTTTTAGTGTATTAATAATATTGTATATTATATATTTGAAGACAACAGAAACAGAAAATAATGGTACTAAGAAATATGAAAAGGCATGGCTGGTTTTAAAATGGTATAACTTTGATACCAGGTAGGTGTATCATTAAATTATGGCACAAAATGGCCTTCTATGAATTGCAGCATTTTTATCAATTATATTTTCTCATTAATGGCCTTTTGATAATCAGAATTGGAGGAAATACCACTGTCAAAACCGTTATATAAAGTATTGGTGATAAAACCCATTTGTATTGTAGGTACATGAAACCACTATTGACTAATAGTCGACCAACTTTAATGGAAACTTTACCCCAGTGTTGTCTTCCACTGGCTAAATTATTAACTACTGAGGAACAAATGTCTCAAGTAAGTCCTTCATTTATTATCATTGATTAATTGTCAAAATTAATAAGATGTACCCTGATTAAATTATATTGGATCTATTATGTTTAAATACCTGCTGAATTTGTTTTGCAATGAGGAGTCATAATGGCTCAGTGAGGAAGGTGTTAGGTGAGAAAGTTCCTCTGAAATTTTCTATGCAGCTTCTCATTGTCAGTGATAGAGGACAGACACCCTAGCATGTCCTTAATAGCACAAAGCATGGCGTGTGTCTGTCTTCATTAGCCTGGTTGGTGCAGAAAAGTTGGATGTTAAACCCCATTTCATTTCATTTCTTGGAATCAACTGATTGATTTGGAATCTTTTATACATGTATTTATATTCATGAGACGAAAAAGTCACTTTCCGATAACTAGAATGGCAAAAGTTATTATTTGATTACCAGTTCTTAATTATTTTGATCATTTCTTCATGGGTTGTTGCTCTTGATCAGTTTTTACCGTCTTGTAAATGCTCCCACTAATAACAAAATGATTGATATGTTACAACCTGTATAGACTGCTATGTTTCGTTGTCTGAAAACCCATCTTTTACAGTATAAATTATAGTACAAGCCAAAACTATTGAGATAAATCCATTCATCCGTTGGGCTTGATTAAATTTTTGCATTGCTAATTTTAATTTCACTTTAGGGAACTACAAAAGAAAGAGAGGATTCTGAATCTGATACAGATATGATATTAGATCACAGTCAGTTATCTATGGGTGATTCCATGGAAACAAACGGTGCCATGCCATCATCCATAAACAGTATTAATGCGGATAGAAAATCAAATATACCGGTAAGTTGAATTTTTGGGGGTTGTTTGAAATCTGTAGATAAGTTTTTGCATTTAGATTGTTGTGCTTATGCAATATATACTTTTCTGCCAATTGCTGTCAGTCTATTGATATATTAAATGTGATATGACATGCATTGACCATAACATTAGTTCAGGGTATTTCAATTAAGATTGTTGCAAAATTTTTGGTCCTTATTTCTATCCATTGATGAGATAATGACATTTATACTATAGAAAAATTATCAATTTTTATAGAATCCACAGTAAATTCAGGTCAGTAATTTACACAACACCATAAACAAATCTCATTTAACAAGAAAGTGTTTGTTTTTTTTAATATTAGGAGAGTAAGAATTAAAGGTCTTTAGAGAATATAGAAATTAAAAGTATTTGAAGTGTCTACAATTAAAAGTCTCTAATGTAAATAAGAATTAAAGATCTGTATTTAAAGAGTCTACAATTAAAAGTCTTTAATGTAAACAAGAATTAAAGATCTGGATTTAAAGAGAATAAGAATTTTAAAATCTATTTGCAAATAGGATTGTCCAACTATTTGGGTTTGATAATGTTGCTAACACAAATTATCTTAAAACTGCTTTGATAATCATTCATATTTAAACCATTTAGATACTGCTTTGGCATAATAAACTGAATTTGCAGGCAATTTGTTAAATTAATCTGAATAATTGCAAAGATTTTCTGGCATCAATTATATTTGTAATACAATAACTTGCACTTGTTCCATTCTTTGTCCTTAAAAGTATTATTAGTGCTTTAGCTGAATAATATTAAACAATATTATGTTTTCATTCTCAGTAATGATGGTTTCAAAAAGGTGAGAAATGTTGCTCAATTGACCGTTTTTTGTTTATAAAGTTGAGATTGGTCATGTTTTGACTGTTTCATATTTCGAAATTGTTATTTTCTGCCTTTGGCACATGTTTTCAACTATTTAACATAACTATTTTTTAAGCATGCTTTGTTAAAATTTGGGGGGTTGGATGGCCGAATGGTTAGCACGTGCGTGCTGTATCATAAGGTCTGTCATTGAGTCAACTGGCCTGGTTTCGAATCCCCAGTTGTACGTGACAAGGAGTAGGGTCGCCTGTCCAACCTTGTGGGTTTTCTCCGGGTCTTCTGGTTTTCTCCCACTGCTAAAGACCCCTGCACGCAAACGAATTATTGAAATAAAATAAAACCATATGTTAGTCCCGAAATGACCTAGTTTGTGTCGAGTGGACGTTAAACCCCATTTCTCTCTCTCTCCTCTCTTGTTAAAATTTAATTCTGAATCCAACTTAATCTTTATAATTTTATTTAGACAGACATTTATAATCCAGATCGGACATAATTAACTTTCCGTGTAGTTCAGTATTTTTATCCATTTTGATGTGGACGTATATTGTCGTTGCCCCTGTCCGTTCATCTGTTCACATTTTGTTTGTGGACACTCTACAAGTCACAATTTTTATCCAATTTTGACAAAACTTGAAATATAGGTTTATATCCCAAAGATCTTGGTTCCTTTAGGATATTGACATGTATCAGAACATAACTTGATGGATTTTGGTCCCTGATTGTACGAAAAATCGCTTTTTTAGCCTGTCCATCTCTTGCAAAATGTTGACATATCTTGCTTGTTAACTTCACAAAGAAAACTAAAACTAAAATACGAATAGGTTTTAATTGATTCTAAATTCAGTTAATGTGAAAATTTCTCTAGGATTAAAAAAAAATCTACAACAAAAAGAATGTTAGGTTTGGGATGCTGTTTTTGAAAGAGCACAAAGTAATATAGCATTATGTTATGGTATTTGTAAGCTTACAGTACAGCAACATTTTACAAGCCCTATTATCCTGTCATCACAGCACATAAAGCAGGTGGAATATGGCTGTGTTGTATTTCTATGTACTGAATACTAATACTTTTATTTTACAAATATTTTGGGTTTATGTACAGGTAAATGGTAAAAATGTTTGGTAAAAATATACTATTAATAGTTTGTTATTGTCTAATGGGTAATGTAATGTACATGGGAAATTCTTGTTTTCATCTCATGGGTAACATTATGTAAATGGAAAATTCTTGAAATTGTTTCATCGGTAGCTTGAATTTGTTTCATGGGTATATGGGAAATTCTTGTTATGACCTCATAGGTAACTTTATGTACATGGGGACATTGGAAGAGGATATTTTGGAGGAGGGTATTAAGGAAAAGCAGTGTTGACCCTGGATTAATATTATCTGAGCATGAAGTGGGATTAACAAGATTCTTTTATTTATTATTAAGATTTTGTTTTGATGCACATAACAGTATTTCACAGTTTTGATATCTCCCCCCCCCCCCCCCCCAAATGCAAAACATGTATTAATCTGTCTTTTTCACTGTATACTATCAGCACAACTTTCTGTTATTAGAATTTGAAAGGGGCATAATGTCAAAACTATGGTACATCAATATTTATACTCTTACAAAACCCAGACATCCTAATGATTGGAAAATAAATTCACATGCTTTACAAATACTAATCTATGAAGAAATTAATGTATTATTTTGAATTTGCTGTCTGCATGTACATGTATGTGGTGAACTCGTAGCCTTAAACACATATCACAGTATTGTTTACTGGACTTCATCCATTTGGGGGCACCTTTCTCACCGTCACCCAAACCAATATACTTGATTACAAATTTAAGCAAAATAAAGAAAAACTGACACAATTATAGAAAGAGAAAAACACAGAAATTCTAATTGTGTAAAAGCCTCAAAGTTATGTTTACGATCTAAAAAGCTGCTGGTGGTCGGTCTTCTAAGCATGCTGCTCAAGTTGATAGACAATGGCTTAAGGCTTTATCTATTTTTTAAATTATATTTGAGTTTTATTTAATGGTGAATGCAGTTATCTTATGTTTGTTTTATTTTATTATTTTCTATTTTATTTCCTCTATATTCTGTCTGGAAGAATGAAGATATGCTTGTACGATTGGATAGCGATGACAGTCCCATATTCCCATGAACTAATACACTCTACCAAAGTTGTGTAAGAAGCATGAATCTTTTCATCCTTGTCTTGTCACACCACCTGCTTTTAATAAATCCCAGCTTTTAATTACCATTATCAATCCCATATTATCTTATTAATATATTCTTGTACAATATTAATTAGTTGATCTTATTGTTTATGCATCAACATTGACCATTTTTCTTTTCTAAAATCCCATATTTTTTTATAAAAGCAGTATCCCTACTAGTCATTCTTATTATTAATTATCCATTAATTAATAATGATAATTTAAAATATGTGTCAACGTGACAGAATGGAATTGATTGATGGTTAATTAAAGTATTGTCATCTCATGTCATCTGTATGGTTACATTGAGAGGTGGAGCAAATGGAAACCAGGCTCGTAAAATTCAGACGCTTAATTTCAACTTGTACCGAGATTGAGCCCAGTCCATTCAAATGGAGGCCTATAGCAGACTCAATATCATGATAATTAATTAAAACCAAATGTGACAAGACCAGATAACAGACTGTTAGTTCTATTTAAGGCCAAACTAATTTAACTTTTAGTTGTATGGCACTTGATAAATAGCACTTGAGTTGTGTGAACAATGTTTTGTTTAAAATTTGAAAACTTAAAAAAATATTTAGAACTAAAAGTTTTTAAGAAGAGAAACCAATTACTTTTTGTTCGCTCAAGAAATAGGAAGTGAAATTTGTAATAGGTGTTCCTGAAGAACAGCAATTCTGTTCAAACAAATATGGCAACTTAAAGGAAAAATTATACAATTTTGATTACGGATCTATTCGATAATATTCCTCTTAAATTACATGTGTGATGCTTAATAATATTATTATATACCGTTTCATATGAATTAGTATGAATTAAAGCAACCTTTAATGTAGTTAATAACAAAATGTCAATTGATTACTTAAACCCAGTCAGTAGGCTAATATCTGATTTTATGCGGCTTACATGTATATTGTTAAGCATCAAAGTTTTCTTTTGAATCACAACCAATCCTTAAACAAATTGATTTCTTTTCTCAGATCTATCACAAATTTTGCTTAATGGGTATGCATATCAATCTGATCAAAACACAGATCCTAGTTCATTTCGTTTCTTTATAGTTCAAAATTTCGTTTTACTTGTCTTTACTACACTAGGATCTGGAAGAGTTGTTATATTACTGGCGTTTTGGTTGAACTAAGGGATAAGCCAATGAAACGGTCAGTTATGGCGACTTCTTGGCGTGCCATACACGGAACTGAGGGTAAACCACTAGAAACGTCAACACTGATTGATTAATCAATGTCTGATGTCATAGGGTCAAAAGCCGCTCGTACGACCACTGACACAACCTTCGAGTACAACTTGTCAGATCTTCATGTAGTGTAGGCCATCAAAAGTATAAAAAAAAAAAATGAAACGAAATATAGATCTGTATTCTAATCAGATTGTATGCATATTGAAAGTTGATAATTAGTTAAACTTGTTTGTTATAATTGTATAATAATTGTTTGAATAAGTATCCTTGTTATAATAATATTATTAATCATTTTCAAGTTAAAAATTAATAGCTTCCATCTTGGGAATTATTTTAAAATTTTAGTTGTTATTATATTATTAAAGACAGGGTAAGTCAAAGTGATGTGATCTCAAATATCAGCATTCAAAGGTTAAGGTTGTTAGATTTGAACTCTGTACATATGCCAATTATATTCCTATTATCTATTCATTGTGTAGATATTTATTTTATGTTATGCATGTGATGTATAGAAATTGATATTATTCATTATTTATTCATTTATAAGCCATTGTTTTTATTTATATTTTATGCTCAATATAAAGAAAATGAGAATATAATTTTTAGAAAGTTTTATTTATTTTTTCTGGTTTTTAGTTCTAATTCAATTAGAAGTAGAATTTGGTGAGTTTAGGAATGCTTTATGTTCGAGTTTGAATGCTTTGGTTGTTAATGTTGCATTATGGACCAACTTGAAATTAGAGTGTTATTCAACTCAAGGCCCCCCTGAATTATTTACTATTTTATTTATCTATAGCGGTTGCAATAACTGGAAATGAAGTTAGATCTTGTTGGTTGCTTGTTTGAATATCCATCTGACTTCAGTGTAGTTCCCTACATTTTTTATACCCTGCCAGCCCGAAACATGCTCTTCACCGTGTTGTGGGACATTTGGCCATTGCTACAGGAATAAGAGTCCATATATAGATCTTCGGTATTAGTTGGAAGGCAAGGTGCTGGCTAGCTAAACAGGATGTCCAGGGTTTGATCCTGGTGTTGGCCGAGAAAGTTCCACAAGATTTTCCGGTGTGGTTTCCCTTTGTCAGTAGTGCAGGACAGAGGGGTTGACAAGGAACAGTGTCTAGTTATTTGGATGGGACAAAATACCAAGGTCCTATTGCGCTTTTGACAGTTGCAATTTCAAATGCCTGTCTTCATTACATTTCAGTATAAGTAAGTTGCCGAATATCCTCACACAAGTTGAAGTTTGTAGCAAAATTCATTTAATTTTGCTTCCATATCCCTGAAATCACAAGTGAGCTGATCCGTATTAGAGAATGAACTAAATTATATCCATAAATAATTGCCAGCCTGTAAAAATGCATATAGTGAAGACGAAATACACACTAAAAGTCTTAAAAATACATTACAATCTGACATTGATTTAATGGCCAATTGATCAAATAATGCAGTTGCATAGTCATCACATTGTTTTGTTTTTTAAGTTTCTGCTTTTGTTTCATGCGTCAAATGATTTCAGTGCAAGAAATAATAAGGATAGATAGAATATTTGTCAATTTGACAATTCTGTGATTCATAAAGTTAAAAACTTCAAATCTACAACAATGACTGTGTTGAGAAATTATTATCTGGGTGCTGGATTAAGATAATTTGGGATATGAATTGCGGAAAATATAATTTAATGAGTTGAATTTCATACATGTTACAAGTGCATGTTTAGTATGATGTTATTCATGAAGTTTTGTAAATGTTTTTATTATGCATGATTCTAAATGTACATATATAGAAGATATGTAAAAACAAATACTTAATAATATAGCAATCTATAGTCAATCAATCATATAAACACTTTTATCCCAATAAGTTTTTTTTGAAAGAAGCTTTATTTAGTTTTTAATCACTAATTAAAGGAGCTTAATCGCTAATCTTTGGGACCTAGAAATTGACACAAATGGGTCGCAACACATATAATAATGTACATGTAATATGAATGTATATAAACTAATTTACATTCAATAGTTTCAGTTTTTACTGTAATTTCTAATTAGTTATGTTCGGCAAAATATGCCATAAGTCTCAATCGAATGGCAACCTCTACCGTCAGGTTATTCCAGTCTACACTGATAGTATTTATTGTGCATGCTTTCCAGATAATTATATGGCATCACTGTTTGACATGACTTGTGGAATATGTCTAACCTCGTTCTTTGAGTCGCTTGGCACTGAAACGCTTATGGTACACGATTCATGTATCAGTGGGAACATTTTTATTTTGTCTTAAATATTGAATATCAGAAGCCCATCTTTTCCCGGTAAGATCACAACATCAATGTTGATTTAAATTGACAGATAATTTGTGTTTTCAATGTCAAAGACTTTGGATTATATTAAGTTAGAGACTTAGCTACTTTAATATTAATATAGAAATATAGTGATTCAATCACTGATTGATCATTTCACTATTAATAAGCAAATTTTAATACATGTATGTTACTCTATCAGCTATTCAATCACTAAATGACTATGTCACTAGTTGCTTAATTCTAATCAGCCAATTTATATATGTCATACAATATCTATATATAGCTAATTCTGTGAATTGTATTTAGTTCTCAATTTACATAAGTACTATGGGGTATTTAGCGGGAGCATTGTTGAGGTGTCAAACGAAAATTTGTAATATTAAATTAAATCATTTTAAAATTGTGTGGCATATTCCATCTTTTTTTGAAAAACCCTGACAAATCACAATGTATCTTATAATATATAGGAAAATATTATATTCAATTTAGTATTGTATTTAATTATTGTGTTGATTTGTGTACTAACCATTCATTTTTAACCTAACAATTTTTTTTCATTTCTTTTTAACAATTTGATTGCAGTTTGAAGTAACAGCTGATGCATGAGGTAGTTTATATTTGACGACTTCCATTCTTTTCTCTTCTCTTTGTTTCCAAACACTTAAATCTGGGTGTATATTGTTGTTACCAATTTCCATTAATGCGACAGCCAAACCAAAATGCTGGCACTTGTTTTGATCGATTTTCGAAGTTGACTTTAATGTCTTTTTTTTCCCTAGTGCACAAAAATTAGAAATTAATATTTTTGGAGAAAATAGTTCAAATTCGTTAAAATTAATTGGAAAAAAAAAAAAAAAGCTTTATCGATCTTGGCGGCTACGGTTCTTGTAAGCTGCTGTTGGGTGTACATTACCATGCTATGGCAGGCTGCCCTTTCTAATTCTGTGCTGTTGACACTTGGATATCAATTTGTTCTTTCCTAGTTATTAGCCAAAATATTCTGGGTATATTATAATGGATATTTAGCAGGGTATCTTTAAGGTCACTTACCACTGCCTTATACCTATGTCTTGTGTTTGTTGTGATGGGTGTTTTGGTGTCTGTAGTTTTCTAGCTTTAATTGTATTTCAATACATGTTTTTTTGTTTGTTATACTTTTTGTGTTTTAATTTTAGAATTCTGTTTCAAAATCTTTTTTTTTTTTTTTTATGTTTAACTTATGTTATGTTAATATAATTTATTAAGATATGTAGATAACTAGAAATGTTTTATGTTCAAATAGTTTATTTCTTTATAATAATACAAACAAAAGCTGATAAAAACTTAAAATGATCTACATTAGAATGTAAGAATTTCTGGTAGTTAAATTGGAATCAGAGGATTGCAAATATAAGCACCACTTTATTCATCAATTCATTGACCAAGTAAACCATATGTATGAATTATCTTCAGATCAGGACAATGCAACAGAAAAAGTAATGGATTTTCAAATTTTCCTGGAAGCATGCCTTTAGACACACTTAGTGTCAAACCTTTACTTTTTAATGTGCTGTGTGGTAGTCCCTGATAAACTACTATATGACAAATAGGAAAATATAAATCTGTGTATTGTACAGCGATACAAAGATCAAATTGGTTAAGACTGAAAAATTTACCTTTGCAGGATAGAAACTAGTGAAGACTGTTTTCATTTTGACTCATTTTTATGCCGAGTTTGACGATGACCTGACAAGATAGCTAGATTTATTCTTTGAATAATCTGATTTAATTTATTTTGTATATATACCATTACATATTATCTGCCCTTCCACAATACCAATAATCTTAAAATAAATTATCATACCGTACCATACTATATATTACTAAAACCAAATTAATTTTGATTAGTTTATTAACAATAATGATAAGATTCATAACATTATGATAAATTTATAAATAGTTTTAAAGAGTTCATTGAGTTCAGAATATTTAGAGAATAAAATGGAAATCACAGAATACACAGGTACATAATGTTGGAAAACAGAGCCAATTAATAACAAACTACAGTTCAAATGCTAAACTTAATTAGTGCTTCACTGAATTTTACATTTGATGAAAAGAGAGAATTATATTGATAAACATAATCATTAAATGAAATTACATGAATGATTTATTATAATGTAATACAATTTAATATACATGTGCTAAAACTATATAAATGCTTGCAAATTAAATCAAATTAAAATCTAGTTGATCAGTTAATTTGATATAACAATTTTAATGTTGAATGAATTTATAAATCAACCTTTTTACACATAAACCATAAATCTTACTATATTTATTTTGTTTTAAGACTTAAAATTGACTGACAGGTTAAATCTCCAAGGCTGAAATATGTTCAAAACAATATCCCTGGTATTAGATTGAAATACTTTAAAGCGTATATTATTTTATAAACTTGCAATGTACACTTAGATAATTATCGATTATACCTACATTGAACATACATAATATATAGATAACACCTACAGTCAACTGGTAAATAGATTAATATTTAATATGTTTCTATGTATACTAGCTTCTTATTTATTTAAGTTAGGGATTAAGTCAAAAGACTTTTGAGATCAATAAATAAGAATACTGCATAATACTAAGGTTATATACGAGACATTACATGACTATTAATGGAGATCCAAATCTTAAAGGGGGCTTGGACTTGACATCATTTTCTTTTAACTTGTCAATGTCAATATAAAAGAGATTAACTTTTAAAAAATATATTCTAAATTTAGTCATGCATTATCTACATTATGGGTCAACATACAGTTTGCCTTATAATATAATTTTATGATCAGCTCTTATCACAAGGTTGTTTAAACCAGGGATATATTATTCAGACCCACAGGAAGAGGATTTCATAATCAAATAATTTATAACCCAAACACAGCAGTGCATGGTTGAAATACTAATTTAAACTAGAACTTAAATAGCAGATTAATTCAACACCTGTTTATATAATAGAGAGATAAAGATTACATAGGGTAATAATGATCTCTTAATCAGATATCAGTTTTCTGAGACGAAGTGACATGACACATGTATAGAAAGCCAAAGATACATAATTCCTCAAAATTTATATGGTTATATTCTGTAATCATATGCTTGGCCCAGTGCATATTTCATATCTCCAATTAACTATTGGTCTAAATGATTATTTGGATAAAAATATGAAATAAACAGCAAATTGTTTTTTTTATTTTATGACCAAACAACTTAAAATGCAATGTTTTAGCTTAAGATACAATACGCTTGAAAACAGCAGTACCCAGGAAAATTACATACCTATCAATAAAAGGTCTTAGGAGACCTGTTGCATTGTGCATTCCTATCAAATGAAAAAAAATACCTTAATATATTACACCCTAATAACTTGATTATTTAGAAATTCATTACTAAATGTGTGTTTGTATACTACCGTAACCGGGTTGAGATCTACTACAATTACAAATTATTACAGTACAAACTGATCTGAAATTAATATTAATAGGGTACTATCACAGAATGTTCACAATATTTTACATTTATCACATTTGCATTGAATATCCTTGCCTAAAATGTCATTGTTCAGCTTGTAACAGATTTGTTGAATCGGACACTGGATCGGTCTCCTTAGGAACAGATTCAGAGTATGAGACATTTTGTGACTCAGTAATAGAGTTAATAACGTTAGCTGAATCTGAGACATTTACAGAGTCTGAGACATTAACAGATCCTGAGACATTAACAGACTCCTCACCATTCACTGAGTCTGAGACAGATTTAGATTTGGAAAATGCAACTTTAGACTGTCTGGGTTTTGCTGCTTTAGACTTTTTACGTTTAATTGTCACAGATCTATTTGGCGGTTTTGGATGATATTTCAACTGAGGGGGAGCACTTGTTGGTCTTGTGAAAGGGGTAAAAGGAAAGGTGTTGTTGCATGTTTTGACAATTCTTGACGAATGAACACAAGTACGATCTTGGGGATGCTTGTTTTTATTTTGTTGTAACTCTTTTATTCCACTTTCCCAGCACACAGTTTGACACTGGTCTCTGAGTTTTGCTATCCTCTTCAAATTTTCCATCCCACGGTTGTATTCATTTTGAAGAAGTTTCAAATCCTCACTAATCCATGGCTGAGGTTGACTTTCATCCATGTAATATTCAGAAAAATGATGGAACCGTCCTCCAGTATTACATGCTAACTCATACAGGAACTGGTTTCCATCTGTGTTATTACAATTAAAAGCTATTGTGTGGATTGGGAGTTTATTTTGATGGAGAACTTGTGCTATTATAGACTTTGGGGGTTGGTCGGGACAGCCATCTGTCAGTAGATATACTGCATCTGCCATGGGATCAGCCATGGCATATTGCAGGGCAGCATGGGTATTGGTTGATCCTGAACAGGTTAAAGCTTGAATCCAGTTCCAGGCACTCTGTAAAGAATGTGGTTTTATGTCAACTAGTCTTGAACTCCAGGCTTCAACTATTGAGCCAAAACTGATGATATTAAATCTCTTTTTGTGTCTCAGCTGTTCATGAATTAACCTATAAAGTTTCTCTTTCACAAATTGAATATTGGGCTCCATAGAAGCAGAACAGTCTATAATAATATAAATACTATCTTCAATTATTGTTCCAAAGACTGCTCTACTACCTTTTTTTAACCAGTTGATCCTTTCCTGTATTTTGTTCAGTGCCACAGTAATCCTCTGTTCGTAGTTTCTGTGAATTCCTGGAGTGACAATCACATGTTTGATAGTGCCATCACTCCAATTTACAGCCGGGAAAAGACTTTCACAGTAAACAGCGTCTACCAGTTTCTTATCATGACATGTAGCAGAATGGTACACATTTGTCACACCTTCAACATGATCAAAAGTCACTTTGGAAAGGGCATCACAAAACTCTAGCTTGTTGATCTCCAGACCATACCTTCTCAACCATTCAGCAGATCCCATACTAGATTCTTTTCTTACCACTATATTTCCATTTCTCCCTTTCCTTCGTCCCTTTGTCTTATCATCTTCCTCTTTAGGTGCATCCCAGTTACTATCTTTTATGAGTTGTTCAATGAATGTAAGGGTATTCCTTGCTTCTTCAAATTCTTCAAACAAAATTAGAACATCTTCTCTGATGCCAGCACCTTCAGGCATGCCACCATACATATTCTTCTTCAAAACTAGGGAGCTTCCACCACTGTCAACGCCATCGGCATCATAAGTTACCATTTCCATAGTGACAGCATACGCATGGAATCGGGCATTTGTACATTTTGCAAGATCTTTTAAATAATGAATTGTATCAATATTATCACAGTTGTAAGAGACAATATGAACTGGTATAGAAGGATTGGCACTGGACAATCTTTCAAGGAACACGCCTCTGCATGAATCTATAGTTGAGCCTTCTGTCAAAAAGTACACTGCCTCATTACTTTTATCTTCCAGCGCTTTTAGAACAGCTTCACAGCCTGCTGTTGAGGAGACTGGAGCTAGTCTATCACAATCCTTAATCCATTGTGATGCCTCATATAATGTGTCATGAGTTACAGGGACACATTGCTCTCGAAATAATTTCATGTCCTCAGCTGATCGAATTAAATTAAATTTACTTATTTGAGATATTTGTTCTTGTAGTACCAACTGAAATGCCCCAAAAAACTGATTGAATTGTTGTGGTGAAATGTTCTTTATATCTAACACAATAGTCACTGATTTTTCTTCCATCACTCCAAATGTTCGTCTGCTCTCCGAAGTCAGCCATGACAGCCGTCTATCAAACAAGTTTATTACTTGGGATAATCTGTTTTTAATTTGTACCAGTTTTTCTTTAGAACACTTCAAATTGTAGGTGTTTCCATCCTTACGAAAAGCTCGCATGAACAATGATCCTCCATAACGTGATGCAACTGGTCTCTTTAAATTTGTGTCGTAATCGTCGCTTAATTTAAAGCCTATTGTCGGTAGCAATTGATGCATAGTTAATTTGTTTTTCTTAAGTCCATAGTTCTTCAACCAGGCTCTCGATGAAACCAATGGCCTCACATCCAGTTCCCATTTTAGCTTTGACTGTCGCCTACTCCTTGCTTGACGGTCCACCATTTTGGCATTAAAAATTCTAACTAAATGCCGGCCTTTTTGCACAGAAGATGAAACTGTCAAATGTAACACATATCGATAACGGTTTGTTTACCGGTTGTGAAGGAAGCTCCCTAGTCTCTGTTACCTAGTCACTTTGACTGTAGCCTATTGCGCTTCTTTATAAGAACTAACTTATTGTACAAAGCTACCTGGTTATGTTGTGACGTGTCTGTCGGGTGTTTGAAAGACAACACTGCTTTTATAATTAACGACTGGTATAACTAGACTAATCATTGTGCGCTCGACACCATATTGAAGTAATCTTGGTAATAAGGGCTCAAATATGACAAATTATTCGGGTGGTATCGATAATAGTATGTTATAATAATACTTATATCGATAAGTACCATAAGTGGATAGTTCAGGATAGATGTACGTTCTTTGATTGTGTATATTTTGTTATACAAATTTATACCGCATATAAGCCGTTATATTCATAGTAGTATATTCGACGATCACTTGTAAACTTGAGTCGTATAAGCATTCTTATATATATACTGAAATATGCAAAAATCGATATCGAAAAGAAATAGCTAGATATGTGTGATCATACTCATTACCAATTGACTTAATCTCAATATTTAAGAATAGTGCTCAAATTGAGATTATAATTAGAACGACTTAATTAAGAGCGGTGTTTGCGGTCACAAGTAAAATGTATTTGGCGATTTATTTTGCAAGATAGACAAAAATATTATTTCTACCAACTGATGACCCGTCTAATATTATATGCACATTGCACGTCTTAATTTATTTATTAAAAGTTTGAAAAACGCCATTATTTAATTTGAAGCGATTTCATTTAATTTAAAACCGATCTTGACAGAGTTTCAGATCTTGCACGATGTTGTCTAGTAAAAATATTTATTAATTGCAAATCATTTTGTCTCTCTTTTTAGTATGAGGAACACCCGGGAGGAGATTTGGGATTGGGTCATGCAGCTCCTGTTAGTGTCCGTGTTAATATTCAAGGAGGACCTGGCCACAAATTGTGATAGGATGAACACTGCAAAGCAAGTTTGGTCTTACACCACAAGCTATTCGTTATTCCATGCATAAAATTGTTTTATTTTCCAAAAACAATCCCAAACATCAAAAGCATCATACACTTGTTATTTTTTATGTCATTGTCCCATTTTGATAATAAGACCATATTTATCATGTGTAGGCAACAGTCCCAAAGTTTGTACACAAAAACGGTATCCTTTGTGATAGTCTTTTTTTTTAAGCAGAGAATGTTAATAGAACCATACACTGTTTAGCTTTTGTTTGCAAATTTAATGTAGAGTTCCTATGTATACTTATTGTTGTTTATTTTTATGTACAAAATATAGAGTTATATGTAAAAAATATATTCCCCCGAACATAATTACACTATCTGGTCGACCCTGGATAAGAAACCTCATAATTCAACCCTCTGTGTTTCGAGATAAGTGATAATACTATATAGTTTTACCTGGCAAAACCCCAGTGCTAATCACACGGGGATTCAAACAGTAAAACGTTCAATTTTGTCTTCAAAACAACGATTGATTATTTATAACATTTCTACCAAATCCAACTACAGTTAATAATTAAGCATATAATCCTACCTGACACGAGTACAAATCATCTCTTTTAAACTGAACCGATAATGACTGACTTTCCGGCATTTTAAATTTGACATCTTTATGTTATGGAGGCGGGGCTAAAATATGTCATGTACAACAGCCATCAAAAGACGCGAAAGTAGGATAACGTTTATAGGTCGCAAGAATGGTTTTGTCAATTCTGTTAGAAACACCGCTTGATAACTTGACTGTCAATATTTACAGATAACCGAAAGTTGTTTAACTGCATTCGTCTTGGTATGTTTAACTAGTCTTAATAGTAAAATTAACTATTTTTAAGATGTTACATGCATTAATAAAGAAATTAAATCGGCCAGGTGAAACTAAAGGCATCCAGTCATAGCTAAAAACAAGCGCATCAGTATATCTCAACGTTTTTAGCTACACTCTCTTAGCTAGGTCGACTCACACAACTTTTTTTTTATCTGAAAGTTCGATATTTTTAGCTTATACCATAAAAGACCTTATTCATCACAGAGCTCCTACCATCGTGTCTGCCGTTGTATTACTAATTACTAACACTTTCCCGGTAATGCCACTACTCCTCCAGTTATGTGATTCCCAATTATAGAAGCTATGTTTCTGGTAACAAATGTATTTTTCCTGTTATAAACATAGGCCTATTTTTTAAAAAAAAATCCTTATCGAGAGTTATGCATTTAGGGTTGTGACTGTCGAGGTAATATATTTTTATTGTTAAATGTTCAAAATAAATATAGGATTGAATATTCCACAACCCAAAATGTGTGGCACCATAAAGACCTATTTATAGCAAAGTAAAATGTTTTAAATATTTTGTGGATGTTGTATTAATAATGTTGTCGAACGCAGATAAATTTGATTGATGCTTTACCGTCGATGTTACATGTTTTGGAGAGACATTGGAATTTGACGTCTTATAAATGAATATTAATGATATCTCAAACTAAATGTTACGAACTTGCACACCTAATGGACAAAGTTGGTGTCCACCAATTTTATGTGTGTGATAGAACTGGATAGAACACATGCCAAATATAATTTCAACATGGAGATCTTTGCTACAGTTGATTCCTAACTACGTTTTGAAAATTCAGCAACCGAATCGAAGTGGAGAGAGTAAATAGAGAGAGCCGTAGGCTACGCACTGACGAATTGTTGTTCCGGATCAACCATAGCAAGTATATGTGTTAAAATTATATTTGTTATATGCTAACCATTTCTATCATTTATGTAAAATTAGTGGACACCAACATTATCCTTTTAACTCTTCACATCATCGTTGAATATCCCCTTCTTTCAACTACCCGATTTTAAACCATATTTGGACATGGTTTAAATTGACCAAGTATGCGTTTGGATTGGCTATCATAGAAACGACATCGCGGGCAAAAATATCCTCATTATATGAAATCAAGTTCTACCCGTGTACACACACATTCTCATGATAGCGTGTTGTTCATTACACGTGATCAGTTATTTTTTGAGAACTATGCACGCCACTATGGCAACGTGACGTAAATTAGACCAAAGCATCTCCAGTTTTTGAATAATTAAGTGTCAGTTGTGGATATTCAACGTTGGCATCACCTGAAGTTCTGAGACTGTCCTATATACCATAATATTTATATTGTATAATATGTAATCCCTTTTTATCTTATGTTTACTTAATTTTTGTTATAATGTTATTATGTATTTTATTGTTGAAGTTATGAAAGGTTAGAGTTTAAATGAATTTTAAGAGTGAATTAGTCAAATTGCTTATAATATATATATAACTGTTATATTACTCACAGGGGAAATTTTAAATAAATATATTAATGAAATCATAATTTATGCATATTATGTGATATTTTTTATTCCAAATGTCATATTGTATCATACAATTGGTAAGATTGATATTAGAACTAAATGTTGTATATTATTTGCTGAATACTTACATTAATTTAGACTTATTAATTATAAACATGGAGTCTTCTAATTTATATGCCAGATTAAACTGCAAATATACTTTCAGATAATATATAAAAAGGGTCTTTTTCAAAAAACATATTGGTTCATTTATTAGATAGAGAATTGCAATTGTTTTAACAAAATCATTTAGTAGAAAATACGGTTAATTACTCATCTTTGAAAGCGAAACAACATTTGATTTTTGGGAGTATGGTCTTATTGCCCTAAAACTTTGAAATGTATTATTCCAAGCCCGATTTGAAGATTTGTTCTCAAGTTCAGTCTATTTATCTTTACAGTTCATAATTGAATTTAAAATTCAAGATCACTTGACTGTGTATCTCATCTCATTTTTATATTTTTTATCAAACTTTAATTGCTCCACACCATCGTGTTTTTTTTTTATTTTGAGTGTATTTTCTATTTTAGTGTTTGTGCATAAGTCAACCATTGTTTACCTATGTAAATCTCCACAGACTTTCGATTGTCGTTATTGTGTCTTATTTATTGGTTTTGTTACATTTTAATTAAATGTATATTAGATTGTATCGAAAACTAAAGTCTTTTGCTCGGATGTCAACTCTGGATTTCACGCAATGCTTTCATTAATTTTGCTTTTGTTCTGACATATGGCTGAGACCAACGGAACATTGTATCGACTACCAACAAATGTACTGCGTTATTCCGAACTGATGTCAGATAAAAACAAGGATAATTGTTTTGGCTGACGAATCATACACAAAATTAGTAGCAAATATACGTAATTGACCATCAAGATTCTAAACGTTAAAGAGGGCAATCGGTTTTCAAAAATATATCTCTATAAGAATCAATCAAAATACTCATGAGTTGAGTTCTATTAATTATAAAACTGTCTAGGAATAAATCAAATTATTTCAACATGGCTTTAAATAAAAGGCAGGTACATTTGTTTTGTTGTACATGTATTTCTATTTTAGTGATTGTCATGTTCTTTTACCTCTGTAAATCTTTACAATTATTACTATATTATATTTAAGACTTCGTGTCATTTCAGTGTATTTCCTGAATGCACAGTTATAATTTAATGTGTGATTTGGGGTGACAGTTGTTTCACAAAAATATTCTCCTTTATTATATGTTATTTATTGATATTATATTACATTGTATCGAAACCACTATCTCTGGCTCTGATGTTGAGTCTGTATAACACATAACGATGTTGCTATTTCTTGCTTCTGCAACAGGATTTAGACCATTGGAAAATGTATCGAATACCAACAAATCTAGGATTTTTATCCGTATTGACACCTACATAAAAGTTAATAGCAAAAACGGATAATGTAATGAGCTATCAAGGGTCGGTATTCAAAAATATATCAATATAACAGACAATCAAAATCTTCACTTATTTTATTTCTATAAAAAAATAAACGTGTCCAGGAATAAATCAAATTATTTCAACATGTACTTTAAATCAAAGAAATGTACATCGATAGAGTTATCTCCCTTTGTACGGTTTATTGCCATTACTTGCAGGGTCAGGCTAACCCTAAAACTGAAATCACAACAGGATAAACTGAATTTGAACAGTTATTTTTTTTTTCATTTTCGGTCAAAAGCTCCCAAAATGCCAGAATTACCTGCGTTTGTTTTTAAAACAGTTGCACGTTCGTTTTGTCATTTTCCCATTTTCGCCTATGTTCTGTTATTTCTGAATATGATGTGTGTGTGTTTGTTAGAATATGAATTATGTATATATACTTAAATAATAATAAATAAAGCTTGTTTTTAAACAAAAGTATACGCTGTTTGTTAATCTGTGGTGTAGAATCATAACTGTTATCCGAGACCGAACACAAAAGTAAAGAAATTCCTGGTCACTGTAAATATAGCACCACAGGAGCATGGGGTATGGAATCTAGTCTTCGCCTTATGTAAGGTGAATATGCCATAATAAGTCGTTGGGACCGTGGGGGGGGGGGGGGCGGCGTTGGATGGTCCCATGGCTTTAAATGAACATTAAATGTGGTTTAACGTCCCATTTTTCTGCACCGACTCAGCTAATGAAGACGGACATACGCCATATAGTGTACCTTCTCTTATTTCAAATTCTAACTGTAAAGGGTTCTTTTTCGTACACGCCAATTTGCACCCAATATATCCTGGGGTTTTACCCGTTTTTCGTCCCATCCGAATGACTACTTTGTTCTTGCTAGGCCCTTCGTGCTGCACAACTGACAAGGGAAAATCCCGGGGGCGAACCCAAGTCCTTGTTAGCGAGCCACCGTCCCACCCACTAAGCCACCGCGAATCCCATGTGGTTTAGATCGATCATAAGATCTACCATCGAGTTACATGGGTTGACTTTTATCACACACTTGTATGTGGCACGGTGTATAAGGTTGCCTGCCTAAACGCGCGTGTTTCCTATGAGTCGTCCGCCCGCACCACCGCACAAGACCACTATAGCGCAAGCGAATTATTGAAATAAAATTGTACCACCTAGTTCGTGTTGAGTGAACGTTACCCCCCCCCCCCCTTCTGTCTATCTCTTTCTCTCTCTCTCTCTCTCTCTCCCTCTTAGTTGTTGGTTCCAATACCTTTACATAAAATGCTCCTCGCTTGGTTATATTACATTACATTATGAAACGTCGGAATGCCGACGCCGTGGTTTTGACAAAGAAGCGTTCCTAAACAATATACATTTCCTTATTGACAACGCCATATTATTATTTGAGATTAGGGATCAGATAATACAGCAAACGATTGGTTTACCAATGGGAACTGTCCTCTTTTCTTGCTAATGCACGTTTATTTATGAATTCTGCTTTCAGGAACATAAAAGAAAACCTCATTACAATTTTACAAAGTAGCTAAAAGTCTAAACTATACGTTCCGATACATTGATGACATAATAACATCTATTGATGATAACGGAATTTTGAACAAATATAAAAATGAAATATATCCACCTGAACTAATATTAACATTCTGGCACCATAGCTGGATCTGTTCTTATTATAATTTGGATATTAATATAAATAACAGTAAATTTAATGTCGGTATTTTCGGCAAAACGGACAAATTTCGCTTTTATCCGTCAATTTATAGTAACATACCAGATGTTACTCAATATAATGTTTTATTTCCACAGGCATTACGATTTTTAACAAAATATATGTAACGTACAGTGGTCTTTTAGTGTCATACGTTGATTTATACCCTTTTCTTGTAATTTACCTCATATGAAAAATGGCAGTGAAAACGATAAAGAACTTTTTCTTTCTAGAATATACCAAGTTTGACATTTCTTGAAAGTATATAACTGATTACATAGCCTATTGTGAAATTATATCATTGAATAGCGATAGTGCCGCTGCCCGGGCAAAATTTCCCTCATAGCACACTGTATGGCGTATGCCCGTCTTCATTAGCCCAGTATAGGAGCAGAACAGTAGGACGTTAAACCCCATTTCATTTCATTTCATTTCAATTATATTTAAATTTGAGCAGTTTCCTAATTCTATCTGGATTATCGCCCTTATTGTACGATTTTATTCAAATACCCTTTAATCTTTGCATTTCTTATAGGTATCTGACTTATTATTGTATGCAATTACACTGCTGAATAATACCTAACTGTTCCTAAATTGATAGTTTTTGTCCCCCGTAAAGTAGCGATAAGCAATTTGATTGGTCAAGACTTTCGAACATAACAACTCTGCTTTTAACTGAGGTATAAATGTTCCTTGCCTTGACTGAGTTCAATGATTAATATTTCCCATTCTAAGCAGAGCTAAGTAATTTCTTTGGTCCATGCTTTGGGACAAGATAACTTTGATAGAGAGTGATGAAACTTAATGTTTCACCCACTACCAGGTACTTCAAAACCTGAGTTTGATAGTGAACATTTTATGCTTAGACTTAAGCATAAATCATCCCTTAATAAATTATGGACTTATATATGCCCAAACGTGGTTACTCGTACATGTATCTTCCTTACATGTGCTTACATTAAATTTTATGTAGTAATGTAGTATCACGACTGGTACTAATAATATGTAACAGGCATTGCCCGAGTACAGCAAAGCTGATGTGATTGTTTTTAAATAAACCTTTATTATTAAGTTTCTCAAGTGATACAAATGATGTAAATAATTTCGTTTTTCCGAATTGATTTTAATTTAGATCTAAATTGTATGATTAATTTTGTTTAAAAAAAAAATGTGACGTCATTCTATGAGACGCGTAATCTCGAATCTCGCCCAAGCGAGATTCGGTAAGTTGGCATACGCATTGCCAGTTTTTGCCCAGTGTATCCGATCTCGGTCTCAATTTTATTTAGTCAACAGACTGTGGGCACTGAACTAATATAATGTAAAGCCAAGCTTGAGCAAAACACTTTTCCGGTAACACAGGAGCGTAACTAAAATTGTCACCCACTTAATTATGAAGGTTTTATATTTGACAACAATCACATTAGCTTCGCTTTACTCAGACAATGCCTGTATGTATGTACTGTAGGCTAGAGTAGAGCGAAGGTGACGTGATTATTGTCAAATATAAAACCTTCATAATTAGTCTCTCAGGTGATACAAAAATGTTAAATAATTAATTCGTTTTTCCGATTTTATTTTAATTTAGATCTAAATTGTATGATTAATTTTGTTTAAGAAAAAAGAACAAAAAAGTGTGAGAATTATTTCCATTGACGTCAAAAATATGTGACGTCGAATAGTTCTATGTGACGCGTAATCTCGCTTCGGCGAGATTTGGTAAGCTGACATGCGCATTGCGAGTTTTTCCCCAGTGTAGCCTATCCAATTCCGGTCTGAATTTTTATTTTATTTTAATCAAGTCTGTGGGTGACAGTTTTAGTTACGCCCATGTGTTACCGGAAAAGAGATTTGCTCAAGCGCCGGGTTTCGCCCAAAAGCAATCAACAAATGACGTAGTCTGAAGCCACTGTCCGCCATCTTGCTGCACCCAGAAGCACGTGTAGTCTTTTATTTCCACTATCATTACCCGCTTTGTTTACAAGCAAATTCGGCGAAAACATTAGGCTAACAACAGAACATTAGATTTTGTCTAAAATATTGTTTACGTTTTCATATAGAATAAATTCACAAGGGTACAACATTAATTTTTTTCTTAAAAGTGCACATTCTCATTATATAATATATCGACTGATGGCATAAAATGTTTTGAAGCGAACCACGCATTTTGCAATTGGCACGGATAATAATGTCAAATGTGGCATAAGTATATAAGGACAGTGGAAAAGAGGACATAATGCTAAATTATACACAAAAATTGTCATTATTATTAATAGTTGTAGTTTTTTGGAAACAAATTCCTGTTATTTTATTTCAATGTTTCGTGTATAAATTTTTGTTATTTGGGCTTCACTTAATAAAGTTACGCCTGTTAATTAAAATTAAATATTAATTAGTATATGATATGGTGGTTATATTTATAATAGCAGTATAATTTTAATTACCTGAAAATGTATAGGCCTATACAATAAACACATTTTTCATGTTATTTAATTTCAATTAACTATTTTTTAGTTGCTCCATTTTTCCACTGATGCCTTTTTGTTCCGGTACCATTATTACCTAAATTCATTTGCAGCAGTCCTGGTTGAGATTTGTCACTATTATAATTAATAAAACACAAAACTTAAATCCAACAAATATTTACAAACAAGATTTCAGTTGGATACAAACATTTCAAGCGTCATAACTAGATAGGAATAGGAACTTTGCAAACTTGAAATGAAGTCAATATTTAATTTATTCGATGACATATGCACAGACACAAAAACTTTATACGAATATTTCACAGATCCACCATGTGTCATTATTTGAGGTATTTATATACTGAATGAAATATTGCTAATATGTGGTATCTATATCAACATATTTGTCCCATCGCCCATTATAACGATTCTATACTGCACGAGGAAATCAGAAATACCAAAAATTAGTCTGAACTATCTTTTGTTAACCATGCAATAATATTAACCAAATATGCAAAAACAATAGAACCGTTCGATTTTTCTACTGTGTATACTATGCTTCAACATGCAGATCAAAGTAGCTAAAAGTCTAAACTATACCTTCCGATACATTGATGACATAACACCTATCAATAATAACGGAAATTTCAACAAATATAAAAATGAAATATATCCTCCTGAACTAATATTAAATAAAGAAAATTCCTGTACTATAAATGCATCTGTTCTTGACCTGGACATCAATATAATTAGCAATAAATTTTATGTCGGTGTTTTCGACAAAACGGACAATTTTGGTTTTGAAGTAGTAAAATACCCGTCAATCTATAGTAACATACCAGATACCCATCCTCGGTTACCCAGTGTACTCATTCCGTTCTACTCCACTATACCCTGGGTTAATCTAGGGGGGGGGGGGGCACATTTTCAAGTTATCCGCCCTTCATGATTGTGCTATTTTTATCGACCAATCCCATAAATTGTTATTTGAAAAGGAAGTTGGTAAAGGTAAGTAACTCTCACCAGACAATGTTAAGAGTTGGCCTATTCTAAATGCGTAATTATTAACAACCAAGTATATGTTATGTTATCGTAGAACAGACGTTCATATAATAATGAAATGTCATTAGTTTTATTTAGAATCGTTCGTTCGTTCCGGAACTTTATGTCCACGTGATATCGTAGTCAAGTTATTGTGAATTGTTGTTGTAGTTAGTTAGTTGTATTTTACGTCCGCTTCCACCGAGGTGATATCGCAGAAAAGTTATTGTGAAG